ATTTTCCAGGCAGCAGTACATAGTGTTTCGACAATCGACCAAATTAATTCCTCTTCTGTGGAATACAAACCTTACACAGATTTACTGAACGACTACATCGATATAACTAGACCTAACGCTGCACCCACCACCTGCGCAGATAGCTCTGTGGCTCATCATATCATCACAAAAGGACCACCAGTTTTTGAAAGATTCCGCAGGCTAACTGGCGACAAACTAAAAATAGCGAGAGAAGACCTCGACATGTTACTACTCCATGGAATTATCCGTCCCTCCAGTAGCCAGTGGGCCAGCCCGATTCATATGGTACCAAAGAAACTTGGCGGCTGGCGTACCACCGGGGATTATAGAAGCTTAAACTCACTTACTGTTCCAGACCGCTACCCAGTTCCACACTGCGAGGATATTCTTCAGCGACTCCATGGCTCCAAGATCTTCTCCACTATTGATTTGGTGCGGGCTTACCATCAAATACCTGTGAACCCAGACGACGTACCGAAAACCGCCGTAACAACCCCATTTGGACTTTTTGAATTCCTGGGGATGCCGATGGGTCTCCGTAACGCCACACAAACCTTTCAGAGGCATATGGATAACCTTTTTAGGGGTTTGGATTTCGTGGGTTGCTATATTGATGACTTGATAGTGCATTCCGTTTCGCATGAGGATCATCTCAAACACCTTTCTATCGTTTTTTCTATTCTACGAGCAAACAGACTGACCATCAACCCGTCAAAATGCCAATTTGGCAGGACAGAGGTGGCATACCTGGGTCATACGGTGAGCAAAGACGGTTTCCGCCCACCGGAGGAGAGAATCCGGGCCATTGTTGATTTCCCAAAACCTGCGACCGTCAATGACCTACGCCGTTTCCTTGGACTGATGAACTATTATCGCAAGTCTATCAAGGGGGCTGCGAAACTCCAGGCCCCGCTAACCAATTTTTTGAGTGACGCCAAAAAGAAAGACAAACGCCCGATCCCTTGGACAGGAGAGGCCGAGGAAGCTCTAGAGGCTTGCAAGCGTGGCATCATAGAGGCCGTAAGAATTCCATTTTTGGCACCAAACTCGCCTTTGATGCTTAAGACGGATGCGTCTGACACGGCAATTGGTGCAGCCGTTGAACAACTTCAGGACGGAGAGTGGTTACCAATAGCCTTCTTTTCGAGAAAACTTAGCCAGACAGAAACTCGCTATAGCACCTATGACAGGGAGTTGCTGGCAATATTTGCCTCCATCAAATTCTTCCGCTATATACTTGAAGGTAGGTCTTTTGTCATTCAAACGGACCACAAACCGCTGACCTACGCATTTTTACAACGCGCTGATAAAGCCTCCCCGCGACAGCTCAGACAATTAGACTACATTTCGCAATTCACGACTGAAATTATTTACACTAAGGGAAAAAAAAATGTAGTAGCCGACGCGCTTTCTCGAATTAATGTAATAAATATGCCCACAAAGCTAGATGCCGAAACAATAGCCAACGCTCAACGGAACGATGACCAGTTAGCCGATCTGCTGGAAAACACGTCGCTTACCTTACAGAAACTGACAATTGATGGTCACACTATACTGTGCGACGTTTCCAGTGGCCGCATTCGTCCATTTATTCCGTCCAACCTCAGGCAGGAAGCCTTTAAAACCGTTCACGATTCATCTCACCCAAGTGGCAGATCTACGGTCAAACAAATCAGAGAGAGGTACGTCTGGCCAGGAATTAAAAAGGACACTCTTCTCTGGGCTAGGCAATGCATAGCCTGCCAACGTTCGAAAGTACATCGCCATAACCGCACTATCCCAATGCACATCGACGTACCAGATAATCGCTTCGATCATGTTCATCTTGACTTGATCGAACTACCGACCGTCGGAGGCCTACGTTACTGTTTAACCATGATAGATCGTTTCAGTAGATGGCCTGCTGCTGTTCCTCTCGCTAACATATCCGCCGACACTGTAGCTTCAGCTTTTTACAACCAATGGGTTTGTCAATATGGAACTCCGCTCACAATCACCACAGATCAAGGGACCCAATTTGAATCCGCACTTTTCAGGGCCCTTGCCAAGTTAATTGGAGCAAACAGAATTCATACGTCGCCTTATCATCCGCAAGCAAATGGCTTAATTGAACGCTGGCACCGTGCGCTAAAAGCTGCTCTAATGTGTAATTCTCAAACGCCGTGGCCAGACCTTCTGCCAACCGCTCTCCTGGGACTGCGTACAGCTTATAAAGAAGACCTCAAGGCTTCTCCAGCGGAGATGCTATTCGGTGCCCCATTACGTATACCGGGCGAATTTTTTATTTCGGAGGAAACCGAAGCGGACCCACAGTTCTTTTTAGAAAAATTTCGAGAACACATTCGAACCTTAAGACCCACCCCGACAGCCCACCACACGAAGTCCAGACTGTTCATTCTAAAGGACCTGAATACCTGCAGCCACGTCTTCAGAAAAATCGAGGCTGTTAGAAAGCCTCTTGAACACCCCTATTCAGGCCCGCATGAGATCATCAAGCGTCTAAACGACAAAGTATTTATCATCCGCATTAAGGGGGAGGATAAAGCAATTTCTACCAGTCTACTGAAGCCCGCCTACATTACCAAGACTGATGACAACTCCAACCGATCAGACGAGCAAATCACTCCGCAGATCAACCCCACCACGGATATCGACAGGCCAACGAGAACATACGCCCGTGCCAAGAAGGTTTCGTTCCTTACTCCTTCGCAACCTCCTTCGCCGTCTTCTTCGCAGCCTCCTTCGCCGTCTTCTTCGCAAGCTCCCTCGCAAGTCACTGGAGGGGGAGTGGATGTGGCGGTTCCTGCTCCACCTGATCCGGTAACGACTCTGCCGCTAGCCCCGAGAGGGCGTGTGAGTCGCCGAAAACAGCTGTTGACAGTTCGTACTGAATGTTAGAAAAAAGAAGATCCGAAGTCAACTGTCATCTGTCAACCAGAGCCGAAAAGAACCGCTCAATGCTCAACTCATGATTTTTCTTGTTTATTCCAATAATAATTACGTGTTTTTCTTGTGGATACAACAATAAAGTTTGTACATCGTTAAAAGCAGTTTTATGGGACCCCTGTAAACCCATACTTTCGAATCCCCCACGCCATCTCTCCACATACTCGTGAACTTCTACACAAATCTCTAGGTGCAATATCTAGTTATCTTGCTGGTCGATTATGTCATTCGCCCTTTCAGGGCATATCTCGATATAAATAGAACATATTAGGAGATTTCTATATTTGAATATACTAATATTTAAAACTAGATGGGTCTTCGGTATCGAAATGAAACATTATTTTGAACCAACAAGCCTTTTAATTTTTCAAATATGAATATAGTTAGGTATAATTAAATAACAAATAGAGAGTGCTTATAATATAGATTAATTATTCATTAATCAATGAAAGACGTTCGAATGAAAGAGAAAGTATATAGTTGGTGCACAGAGTACAAATGCTATATTATATATCATATATTTAATTGCTTGAATTGTGCCTATATACTTTTTGCTCCCGATTAATATATTGCTGTAGAAGTACACCGTTCTGACGAGATCAGAATGCTATCACAGTGTTTAATTTTCAATTACGACATCCAAAACATTTTGTACTATCTACCTAAAATATTATTTTTAGAAAAACAACATTAAATTTCATCGTAAACTGAAATACAAGCCTCGAATTTCTACAAGTATATAGCAGTAGTTTCTAATGGGGAATGTTGTTTCTCTACAAACTTAAACTTATATTTTCTCGCTAAATTAATTCACATCTAAATTGGATTTAGGTAAATACTGTTGTAATAATACGAACTGAAACAAGAGTTTTGAAAACATGAACCTAAATTTAGCAAAGCTTATATCACTAATTGCAAGGACTAGATCGTTATAGGAGTAAAACGTGTTTAATATTCAACTACATACGTATTTTATACAAGTATAACAAGAAGTAATAATAATTCTTAAAACGTTTTTTTTAGTAGAAAATCAGTCTCATTTACAAGCCTATACCGAACTTCTTAAAAACAGCGTATGAATTTTTATTGAAATGATTTTTCCGTTTTAAAATATTTACAATATTCGTTTATGGACAATATTTTTCTATTTACAGTTTTGTGATTAAATTTTTGTAAAAATGCCAACGATTAAACAACAATATGCCAATACGAATTGTTTTTATCATCGTTGTTCAATCAAAAACTCATAGAAACCATCCATCTCAAAATTATTACAGGAAGATAGAAAGATAAAAATTTGTTTAATTAATTAATTCTTTTTTGCTTGTTTTTAATTTCATTATTGGCATATTGGTTTTAAATGTGGCATGTTCAACGATAAGGCTTCTGCGAAAAACAAATTGGACATAAACTCGATGTCTGAACCACAGTTAGACGATTTGAGCATTTTAAAGAAGTCATTTTTTGTTTCTCGAAATAATTAATGATTGTTCGATGTTTAGAATATACACTAACGTTTTCCTTTAGTTTCAAAAATAACGTGCTGCTTCGTAAATATGCATTTACGCGTATAGAACAGAAATAGGGAAGTTTAAGTAGTTTGAAACAGTACAGTAGTTTAAAAAAAATACCTTTTTTTGTATAAAAAAATAAATTTTTATCAACTGGCATTTAGTATAGCGCTTTGAATTATCATTTGTGACAGCTAACGTAAATTTATAAATTTAAAGTAAACGATTACCAGTTACATTACGTATGGCACTGTATTATATAGGCAGTTATTTCAATTTCAGGTAGCTTTTTAATATGTATAAACAGAGTAACCGATTCAGAGAAGCTTCAAAAAGCTTTATATAAAACCACTATTATTACTTAACATTAATTTCTTATAAATAGCACATACAAATAGATCACCCTCTATAATAAAAATTGAAAGTGCTTTTAAAAAAAATATATGTAAATCAAACATTTCCCATTCAACATATTATTACGTATCGTTTGAAATTTTATAGAGCCTCCCTTTAGCTCGTTATTCATTCCGTTAGAACGGCTTTAAGCGACGACGACTGATCGTTGCGCAAAGCTAAATCGTTTCGACTCCTAGACAAACCCTTCCTCGCTTCGTTGTTCAGTCCCTGCAACCGGCCGATGCTCGAGCTCTTCTTGATCTCCGGCTTGGCGCTCTTCGTCGGCTGCAGCAGCGGAGAAGTCGCCCGCGGCGACTCATCGTCGCTGTCGAAGCTATCCGAAGGACTGACGGCCCTCTCGCGCCTCTTCAAACTTTGCTCTAATCTCCTTAAAAATCTGGAAACCAACAACAATTCGTTGAATGTGGGTAGTTAAATCGGCTATTTTGGCCAGAAATGTCATTAGTCACAAGTCATTTGTCATAAGTGTTCTGTCATAAGTCTTCTGTCACAACTGTCATTACCTAATTTGATGACTTATTGCTCTTAGTTTACTAAATTTTTGATGACTGCCGTAGTGAACTTTGGAAAAATCCGGTGATTGGGCTAGCGGAATAGACTCCGTAGGTTGTATTTCCTGCAATGCAACATCAAATTGGAGGAAAGCAGGTTTAAATATGTTTCATTATTTACTTGGTATAGTTGCTTTCCGGTTTTGGAATACTTTTCGCCGATCCAGGCGACGGGCGAAGACCACCGGATGGTATCCGGACTGGGACTGGACGATGAAAGTTTCACCTCTTTCGCGGTAGAAACTATGCTATCCGAGCTCGATGAAGAACTGACTACTTGAGACCTGGTGATTCTACGTTTAGGGCTTAATTTCCTAGGCGGGGGCACTTTGTACAAATCCTTATTGGGTATGTCTAGGTAGGGGCAAGCCGCTTTAGTGGGGCTGGGGGTTTTGCAGTTGCGCGTCGTCTTCTTCTCCCGCTTCCTGCCGCATTTCTTGTGGTGGGTGTTGGTGGTGACGTTGACCTTGTCCGAGCTGGGGAAGTCGTAGAGCCCGTCGGAGTCGGTGAAAGGCAGCACGTCCTTGTTCTTGCCGTAGAACTGCGGCGAGAATCTGCCCATGCCGGCGGTGCGATCGCTCAGAGGGCTCTCGCTCCGCGAGCTCATGGGGCTGAGGTGTTTATCGCACCCGGGGGAATCGCATTGCACCACTATAGACGGCAACTGCAATGAGTTTTTATTGAAAACGTTTACGGGAGGTAGTAGCCTATCCAGTGTGTCTTCTATATTCTCGGGGATGTCTTTAAGTTTGGCGAAATCGCCTTCGGTAACCATAAAAACCTCCAATTCTTTGGCGCTCTTCAGTTCCCCCTCGTCTATTTTCTCGTCGATGTGATCGGTACCGATGCCTTCGTCGTTAGATTCCACGTGGAGATCGTCCGATAACGTCTCGGAATCGGACCTACCTCGACCCTGTTGCGGCGAATCGGCGTTCGCCGCGTTCGATTTCAACACCGGAGTCAACGATTGCCTCCTATGGAATATTCCATTTTCGTCGATTTCATTGGGACACAATGGGTTATTCGAGCTGCAGCGAGAGGGGCCCGGACTGGCCATCGAGCTGTAACCCGAGCTGCTGAGGTTGCTTTCCGACGCCGTGTTTTGTATCGAAAACGGGCTCAAATAGGTCATGCCCGAGGAAGTGGCTTCCAGTCCGGCCGAGGATTTGATCGCTGGTGATATTGACTCGGTATCCGATTCGATTTCGCTCATGTTACAGGTGATGGTGATCATCGGAGGCGTGCACGGCAGGTCCAACGACGTGGGTTTGTCGAAGTTCTTGAGCATTTTTCTGGATTGCTTCGGCGAAGGAAATTGGAAATACTGCGCGTTCGGAACGGACGCTCTGTGAGGGGGAGGTGAACCCGGAAACGTTTGAGATAGTAATTTAGGTTGCGTAGGAGATGGTGTTTGCAATGTTAATGTTGGTATAACTAGAGGAGGCGGTTCGATTGTTATCGTAATAGCCGGTTTGTTCCTGTCTTGCGATTGACCGACCGGCGGAGGGCGAACCTAGAAGGTTGGAAAATTAATTTGAGTCCGATAATGTCGGCAATAACTTACTTTAGATCTGTACAATGATTGTTGTAAGGCAGCAGCTTCTTCTAAGATGAGCCCGTCTTCGGCTTGTAGATCAATAGCAATATCAGGACAGTGGATTTCCTCGTCTTCGACGTCTGTACTCATCGACATATTCGGTATTTCTATGGATAATCTATCGTCGCTCAGTTCTGCTTCGTCCAGCGACGAAGAAACGTTGCTGCGTCGAGACACGATAGGCGTCAGTGCGGGAGACGGCATAGGCGAAGGTAGAGGCGTAGGCATTTCTCTAATTGGCGAAAGGCACTTGTTGATTGTGCTCGGTATTTCGAGTAAAATAGTTGGCGGATGCAATAAATTACTTCCTCCGGCATGCGATTTGTGCGCGTTCATCGGATCGACGACCGACACCTCGATAGTGCTCTGCACGTTGTGCTGCACTACCGGACTCTCCAGCACTCCGCTGGAGAACGAAACGGGCGTGTGTATCGAAGACGTAGAGGAATCGTCATCGCCCGCTATATCGTCCTGGGGACTGGAAGCCGTCGGCGTCGACGACGGGGTGACCTTCAACGAAGACGTGCAGTTCGTCGACGAAAAGTTCCTGAACATCGCCAGTATGGACTCGGCGCTGGCCGGCTTCTGCCGCCCGTTCGGCAATCTGCTGTGTCTTCTGTTCATCAGCAAATCTGAAATACTCGAACTCAGAGCGGTGGGGATAGCGAGGTCGGAGCTGGTGAGCGAATCGCTACCTTGATTGCTGGACATGCTGTTGGGCGATCTGGTGTCGACGGTGGGCGAGGGCGGCGTGCTCGCCGGCCTGGCGAACAGACAGCCCATTCTGTTGGTTTGCATGATGCCCAGTTCCACCTCGCTACCCGAGCTCATCTCCGCCGATACTTTGTTCAGCAGGCGAGCGAACGTCACCTTCTTCTCCAGCTTGGGATCGATCAGAGCCGTCTGGGCGGCGTCTTCGATTAATTTCTTCTTGGGCGTCGGTTTGCCTTCGTCGTTCGGTCTCAATTCGCTCAATTGTATCAGCTCGCCCAGGCTCACTTTTTTGGAATTCGGCTTGGGCGAGACCAGTTGCTGCAGGATTTGCCTTTTATCGGCTATATTTTTTTTGGTTGGGGTTGAATTGTTTCTCTTCTTTTTAGGCGAAGGTGTACCTAAATCGGAAAAATAGATTATTAATTTATGATAGTAAATATTATAGACGCATAAAAGATACCAAAAATTTTTTAAAAGTTATATCCACCTCACTATGTATTATTGAAATAATGGTGGATAAGTCTGGATAAAAATTTTTTGGTGGTTTTATTTTCTGAATAATGTACCAAATTATGGCAGAAATTAATGTAGAAAGTATTTTGTATTTACAAACACCAATAATAGTGCTGTACAAATAACATTAAATAGCCTTTTAGTGCGAATTTATATAAATACTGTGCAACCTACCAGCCACACGCAGAAGGGTGAAGGAAAAAGTTTCTACAACAGAGAAGTATAGAGTATGATATGTTCAGTATACTTTGCATTATTAAAATAGACAATTCACCAAAATGCAACCTTAAAAAAAACATTAATTAACCGCAATAAGAAACACAGTGAATTGCCTATAATAAATCAAATAAACGTCGAAGAAGTAGTAAGTATAGGTAAGTATAGTAAAAGGGAAGTTTGTAGCTCATTAAAAATTACTAAAAAAAAAACACAAATAAAACGACAGTAGCCGCACGAATGTGGCCTTACGTCTCGGGGGCTTTAACAAATCGTCCAAACTAAAAGTACGGGCGGTGGCTGCCTCGTATCCGGTGGTGGCGTGTGGGCTGGTCAGGCTGAGAATTGACGGCTTTCGAATACCCAGGCGGCCGAATATCGAGCGCGTCGACGGTCCCGACGCCTGACCGCTGGCGCTCGTCGCGCCGCTCGCCGACGCCGACGCCGCCGCCAGTTGTTCGCGCACCGAAGAGCTTCGCAATGATGACACTACAATAAAAAATCGTAAAGATAAACAGCAATTATATTGAGCTTATGGAGCAAACTTTTCATTACCTGTGGATCTGTTTCTGCTGTCTTCTTCGGCTAATAATTTCTCTATTTTTTCAGGAAAGTGTCTCTTGGCGCACCAAACTAGCCCGATGACCGCCATCACAACGAAGACGGTCATCAGTCCCAGCCAAAACGGTTCGTGAAGCATCCTCTCGCTCAGCGGCTTGTAAGGTATGTGCAACATTCGTTTTTCGCATCTAAAAGTCCACCGTTATATTTTTTCTTATTGGTAATATTATTATTACCTTTGACCCTCCCACCAAGCGTGGCACTGACAGTAGAAAGTGTCTCCTTTTTCCATGCAGATGCCTCGACTTTCGCACGGATTGCCTTCGCACGGGCGGCGTTTTTGATCGCAAGTAACTCCACTGTATCCTGCTTTGCAATTGCATTTGTAACTCGTATCAGTCAATTCGCACGTTCCGAAAGTGCAAGGCTCCAATTCGCATTTTGTAAGGGCGCAAAACAATCCTGAAATTATGAAAGTTATAGTATATACCATTTTAAACAACAATTTATAAATTGATTGTAAGATTAGGAAACTTTACCTGTGTAATAACCGATGCATTGGCAATATTTGGTAGAATTCCTCTCCAGGCATTTGCCGCCGTTTTGACAAGGATTCGGCAAGCACGACTCGACCTTTCGCTCTTTGTAATTCCTCAATTTAACTCTATAATTCGAATCGTATTGGACTTTAAGCGTCCCGTTTAGCAATATTCCCTTAACGCCGTGCATTTGCCTCAAGTGTAAGGTGTTCAAGTACGATGAGATGTAAATGGGCGTAGACGCGGCGAATTCGGTTTCCCTGTCGTAACAAAGTTTCCACGTCGTCCCATTAGCGTCCGAATAGCTGTCGGATATTTCCACGTAACTAGTGGAATCCGAGCAATCCACGTCCGCTATTCTCATATTGTATAATTCAAGTAGAATAACGTTCCCGAACGGCGCTACGAAATGTTGCAGGAAATCCACGTTAGAAGGCGGCTCGTCCGGGTAGTTAATATGCAATAAAATTCCCGAAGTACGGTTATTTAGTACAATAACTTTTTCTTCTTGTACTGTATTCGTTATTTTGTAAGAAGCCCTGAAACCCAAGCCCATCGGGTGATCACCGGTGTGCAATTGCAACTTCATTTTATCGTCGGTCGACACGTAGCTGCCTTCCGTTAATAACCCGTCGATTTCGAACGCCCTGTGTGTGGCGGTGCGTTTGCCCAATTTGATGTCCAACGAGAAATCCTCGAACGCGAAATCGTTCTCCTCTCGATGGAAATCCAGCCAGATCCTTCTGGCGCTCGGCGCTAAAATGGTAATAGTGCAATCCAAATGGGCCAGCAGGAAGTCCGGGTAATTCGGCGTGATGAAGCTCCCTTCTTTGGCGGTCAACGTTTGCATGGGACACGCCGAGACGTCCACCGCGTACCAAATCAACGAGAATCCCTGATCGGATATCGAGTAGTCCGAATGGAATTTCAATTGCACCTCGTTCGTCTCCGACACGAAATTGAACTTGTCCATGTCCTTGTCGTGATTGCCGCACAATACCATCGAATCGTCGATTACTGTGGCGTTGTTTCTGTACAGCGACTTCAGCTGCACGTAGTCGTACAGGCACTCCAATTGGGATTCGATGTGAATGTTGATGAATTTTATGATTAACCTCGTTTTCTCCGGGCCCACGATCCTTATGGAATAATCCAAATTGTGGTAATAGTTGTTCGGGTAGTTCGGCGATGTTAACGAACCCTCCGTGCCGTTTATTGTTTGATTGTAATTCACGCTCGAGCTTGTTTGGTGTCGCCTTTTGCAAACGTACCCACCTGGAATAATATTGGAGTTCGGTTAACCGGAAAACATGTAAATGCGAGAGTTTTCGAAATTGTGGACCTTGCCTTCTACACAATAGTAATACAAGAAATGGAGGAATAAGGGAACAAAATAACTACCTATGGCTTCGCATCGATAAACTTTCCAATACAATCCGCTGCGGAGAGTGTGTCCCGGTGTGGGCATCCATTGTAAACTCAGGCAAGTCATTTCCTCGGCGTGCTTCAGAACGTCGTTATCGCTCGGCGCTAAACCCGGAATCCAGGATTGGTACATCATCGGCGACCCATCGATCCACGAGAAATTGCTCGAGCTGGAAGACATCGCGCCCAACCTGAAACAAAATTACAATTTAAAATCACACTAATCAGTCTCCAGTTACTCCTACATATTTTGCCTGCTTCTCTTGTTAAAAGAACTAAAGAAGTAGTAGATACTAATAAAGGAGTGATTTTAAAAGCGCTTTAATGCATTCGTAATAATTTTAATTACCAATAAATGGCGCTCGTTCGGTATTCGGGCGATTTTCGTATGCTGGAAGTGATGAATCGTTCCTCTTCTACACTTAAAACCGACGCCAGATCCGACCTCATTCCTCTGCAGATCTGCTGCGATGTGTTCCAATTCACCTCCGGGTAACTGACGATGAGATAGCAGGAATTGTTGAACATGAAAAAGCGATCGTCGGCGCACTGAAAAACTAATTAAATAATTCGAAACGTTCATTTTCATCGTCAACAACAGCGTTTGTTCGACGAACAAACGGATATAAATACGTCAAAACTTTCGTCGATATTCCGTTTGATATTTCAATTTCACTTAAATAAAAATCCGGCGAGGGAAAAAGGCCCTACAGAAACGGGAAAATATCGAAAGCAGCTTTTACCGTTCTCTATGGAGAGCCGTATTTTAAATCCCCCGAAGTGGTGAGAGTAATCCGAGATAAATCGCAATTTGAGTCTGGATGAGCGGCTCACGTATCGCAACAGCTTCAGCTTCGAACTCCAATCGCCGCACAATCGCCGATTCGAGTCCGGATCGATCGCCGATTGGGCCGCCGATTCGTTCCGAGGTACTTCCAGGATTTGCAGATAATCATAGCTACACCTAAATTAATACGTTCGTAAATAAGCATACACTTCTCCCTTCATTTAATCAAAAAAAAATATGGTACTTACGTTGGTTCGTTTTCGAGTACCAGCTCTTCGAAATCCAATATGATCTTGTAACCGGGCGATGCAACGATTTCCACGTCGCAGTTGGAATTGTCCGGGTACTGTCGCGGGAATCCCGGACTGGAAACTGTGGCTTTCGGCTGATCCCTCGACAGCGTTATCGTTTTATTGCAATTAGGCGACCATTCACCGTAGCGTTCTAAAAATGTTAAAGCCCAGTCACGAATCAAAAAATATATGCACTGTGTTTTAATAATCGGGTAAATATTGTGGAATAATTGGGCTTTGTCAAAAGAAAATGTAGTCGATAAAATCATAATCGTATAGATACTTTTGGAGTATCAGGAATTTAGAAAAAATATGAAGGGATATAAATAGCTCCAATTAATTTTAATATAACCACAATACAACTCCATTTATCACCCGAGGTATAACCCTAATTAAATTACAACTGCATTAGATTATTATTGTATACCGAATAAATGCAGGCTTTCGATACCTTCGAGGCATAATGCATAATCTACAATAACGCAACACCTACATACGATACCAAGAGCAAATTAATTTAATATTGCGGGAATGTCGAGTGTACATTTATAATGGATTATGCCAATTAAGAATCACAAACTGCCATGCTAATGCTATTAATTATGTACCATCGATTTGAAGTCGCTCGCAAATGAAGTAATTGGGCGTCGAGCAATCCCTGTCGTTCCACATGAAGTTATTGGCTAACCGGGCGTCGGACGTCGGCAGCGGATAGTATCTCCTGATTTCGACGCAGTCCTGGTCGCTCAGGCCGTCGTCGTTCGGCTGTTTGTTGTAGTAGTTGTGCTGGGCCCATCCCGGGAACCAATCTGAACGGAAAATATTACAACAAAAATGCTAATTTTATCACTAGATTTAATAAGCTTGTCGGATGCAGTGTGTATCACGACGAGCTTAAATTGTATCTTTACTTATATTGGAAACTTTGCCTGATTTTAAGGAAATTTTGTATGCAATATGGTTCATCCTTTTAAAAATATTTTGACACTTCCGGTCTGTGTATTAACATATATCTGAAATGTTCGTAAAATTTCGCGTATTTCTGTCTAAATCTAGTTATTACAATTTTTTTTAGATAATTTATATAGATGATTTTTTTGATAGAGTAAGTTGTTTCCAATATGCAGATTTAAACTCGTCGTGACATAGACTACAACATAAAAAGCTTTCTAATCTCTAGGGATCTTCCAGTATTGAAAACATAATCTCTGTAAACATAATAAAAGAATTCCTTCATTTATACAAGGCTTTTCTCAACATTGTACGATAAATAAAACTATATTATTATTCAGTCGCGTTGTAAATAGGGTGTGAAGTAATAAAATATTTTAATTTCTCGTAAAAAGACCGTCTAAGGCGCGCGTATTAAAATTATTTTGGACGCCGGCCAGAGTGTAATCAAGGCGTATTTATAAGTGAAAAAATTAACTTGCATTAGTGGCGAGAGTGCTTCTACAATCTTTTTATTTTTAGCGAAAAAATGTAGACGTCACCGATTGTTTTTCCATCGAAATTTTTCCGTTAATTAAACATCCGGCCCGGTGCGTACGTTACGAAATCGCTCTCCCCTGTCCGGTGTCGGATCATTCCAAATTCGACATTCCAAAAAAAAAATTACCAACACAGCCTCCGCGGCGCAGCAACCCGCAGAGAATAGAGAAAATAGACGATTTATTATTTTATCAAGTATCAAGTTTGCGGTTTATTTTTATCCCAGTCAGTTCGAGGAAGCTCACCTTCCTAATTTTTTCCCTCTTCTTATACTCCTCCATGAATAATATAATACACGCTCAAATATTCTCGATTAAAAAAGAACCACAGTATGTACCTAATAAACAACGTCTATTTATTTACGACTCGCTGTTATTATTTATTTTCGTACAACATATTCGGGTCGTGAATAATTCAGGATAGTTCGGTTACACGAAAACTATACGCGAAAAATCCAACGCTCGCTTGGCCAAGGTTGGAACTTGGAAAGGTTCGAGCGAAATATTTTCGAGCCGTTCTAAATATTTCAGTTATTCACCCGGAGGTCCCGAATCGAGCGCGACAAAGACGGCAGGACGGGGATCTCTATTTAAAAGATCCAAAGAGTAACATGTGCGTTTCGGGTGCTTCTCCAGCATTCCGAAAGTGTGACCATATAAGCCGTTGTGATCTATTTATAAAATCCGATGTGTGTGTGTGTGTTGTACCCACTACTTGAACTATTTCCAGCATTCGATTAAAAATATCTCCCGTGACGTTGACTCTTCGAGCTAAGAGACTTTATTAAGTCATTTTTATGTACCCTACTCCTGTCGGGTTAAATTTAGAATTTACTTGTACGAATTTGGTAATGTTTACCAAGTCGGATGTTTTTCGAAATCGATCGGTTTTTTTTTTCAGAATCGGAGGTGTTAAAAAATAGCTTTAAAATAAAATTTGAATTTTATTGTATATATTATATATGTATATATTGTATAAACTATGCCAAAAATTTATTAAAAAAAAAGTTACAATAGTTATTATATAATATAACATAACATCATATTCTCTCGTTTCGTTTTGTCTTCAAAATTAGAAATAAAAGAGGCAGGTTTTTTTATTAGATAGGCTTTATTTCAACCTGCCCAGTTACAAATTAAAATATATTTATATATAACAAATAAGGTGTTAAAATGATCTTGAAATGTCTGTCTGGCAGTAAAACAACCACGGTCGCATAATTGATGTAAAATACAGTACAAACAACATGATATAGTGTATATATAATATAGTAGGTAAAGTAAATAGCTTAGAAGCACTTGCGGTGAACGATTCCAGGGCCGGATTCGTCGTATTCCTGTTTGGAGATCCACATCTGTTGGAAAGTGGAAAGAGAAGCCAAGATGGATCCACCGATCCATACGGAGTATTTCCTTTCTGGGGGAGCGATGATCTTGATCTTGATCGTGCTGGGGGCAAGAGCGGTGATTTCCTTTTGCATACGGTCAGCAATACCAGGGTACATGGTGGTACCACCGGAGAGTACGGTGTTGGCGTACAAGTCCTTACGGATATCGACGTCACACTTCATGATGGAGTTGTATACGGTTTCGTGGATACCGCAAGATTCCATACCCAAGAAGGAAGGTTGGAAGAGAGCCTCAGGACAACGGAATCTCTCGTTACCGATGGTGATGACTTGACCGTCGGGAAGTTCGTAGCTCTTTTCGAGGGAGGTGGAGGCGGCGGCGGTGGCCATTTCTTGTTCGAAGTCGAGGGCGACATAGCAGAGTTTCTCCTTGATGTCACGGACAATTTCCCTTTCAGCGGTGGTGGTGAACGAGTAACCTCTTTCGGTGAGGATTTTCATGAGGTAGTCGGTCAAATCGCGACCGGCCAAGTCCAAACGGAGGATGGCGTGAGGAAGGGCGTAACCTTCGTAGATGGGTACGGTGTGGGTGACACCGTCACCGGAGTCCAATACAATACCGGTGGTACGACCGGAAGCGTATAGGGAAAGTACGGCTTGGATGGCGACGTACATGGCCGGTGTGTTGAAGGTTTCAAACATGATTTGGGTCATCTTCTCCCTGTTGGCTTTAGGGTTAAGAGGAGCTTCGGTCAAGAGGACGGGGTGTTCTTCCGGAGCGACACGGAGTTCGTTGTAGAAGGTGTGGTGCCAGATCTTTTCCATATCATCCCAGTTGGTGATGATACCGTGTTCGATGGGGTATTTCAAAGTGAGGATACCTCTTTTGCTTTGGGCCTCGTCTCCTACGTACGAGTCCTTTTGTCCCATACCGACCATCACACCCTGATGTCTTGGGCGACCGACGATCGAGGGGAAGACGGCGCGCGGGGCGTCGTCTCCGGCGAAACCAGCCTTGCACATACCGGATCCATTGTCAACGACAAGAGCCGCAACATCGTCGTCACACATGTTGTCTTCTGTGGTTGATCACTGCTCACTAGACAGATATAAAACACAGCTAATAAGCTTGAATGCGACTGAATGCTCTCGGCTCGCCGGGGCGCTTATATAGCGTCTGTTTGCAGCGGCGTCGCGTCGTTACTCAAATTTTATCTTACCAAATCTCGGCATTACTTCAACGCGCCTTACATGTTCGTCCAATACGACTTGTAACACTTGTAATTCAAAAAATATTCACATTTTTTCGCTTTTTTTTCGTCAAATCTATCTAAAATTATTTCCAACACAAATTTCTATTACACTAATCAACTAAACAAACATATGCTAAAGAGGGCTGCTTAGTCTAATGTAATTACTACAAATTCCAAACAGTATAATTGCAGGAAGATATCTTATGCTAATTAATTCGAAACGGCTGTAGATAGTTTCAAGTGCTTCCTTCGAACTTTTAATAACGTTAGCGTAACTTCTATACCTTGCGCTTAATATTGAAGTGCACTAGCCAAGTTTCGTCTGAACTGAAATTATTTTTAAGCCCGTTATGGAAGTTAGATGAAAGATTATTTTTAAAAAAAGCTAATTTTTAATTGCGCTTCTTGAAAAAAAGAAATAGGTATGCTCATTATGTAGAGAAATACAATCATCCAGGCATACTATAAAATCGAGGATTATTCAAGTATATACCTAATAAGATTTGTTAAAAGGAATTATAATTATCCTGGAAAGTTCTGGTATAAGGGAGAATGTTAACAAACGAAATGAAACTAAGTCTATATTATGTAGATAAGGAGCCTGTAAGTCTTTTGTTGAGGTATTTTTAGATGTAGTTGGATGGATATGTGTAGGAAAAATTTAATTAGTCGATTTTCGGTGTCCTCCCGAAGCGACGCCCGTGATTTAAGTCCATTACCCGAAATAACGCCGTTCCGTCCATGTATGGTTGGGACTGAGACGGCGACGCAGTCGCAACGCGTCGCCCAAATAAGACAAGTTAGCGGCGTCCGTGGGAGGTGCGTCGTTTTTGAGACGCGAGACCGATTTCAGAAACGTGTACGTTCCAAAATAGCTACACGTATCCAAAAATGCATGCCCGCTATTATAGAAGCGCCTCGGCCGACGCGCAAACGGGCCTTTTTTCCCTTTTGGTTTCCGTTCTATTGAGGTTGGGGCCCGAATTTTCATTTAATCGTCGAGCGCCCGACTGTCGGTATCTCGGGCAAGTCATATGTAAGTATGATTTTTTTTTCTAACATTATAATTATACCCGCTTATATTTCGATTCGAGCGCGTTAACCATTTTTTTTATCAATAAATATTTCAAACAAATTTCGTCTGTAAGTATTTTATATTGTTTGATTTTCACAATGAACCTTCAATAGGGTAATTTTCGAAAAAACCTACCGACCCGAACGGACTTGAAAAGCATTGAAAAGAAAATTAAACTTTATCGAGCGAAAACTTACTTGTATAAGAAAACAGGAATTCGTCGGACCATTTGAAATCGCCCTCGTGCGTTTTATCAGATGCTCCTATCCAGTAAGCGTTGTGATCACGATATCCAGGACTGGAACAAAAAAAGGCGATTCTTATCCAGTTATTTAATTGTTTCATCGACCAACAGGGAATTTACTGCGGGGTATTTATAGGGCATTTCATGAAAATATTTAGTCGACTAATTGCATAATAAAGACAGGAATTAATTTCATTATACATAAATATTTAATCAAACACTCTATTAAATCATTATCCTTTAAAACATTCAAAAAAATCCTGGCAATAATCATCGCTCGACGAAGCAAAAGTATACATACAAAATCCCTCCCGTTATCATTTTATTAATAAAACAAAGACACCGAAATTGGCGTGTCGCGGGCGAGGCTCGATAAATATTTCCAGCGAAATTGAATTTCCGAAATAGAATCGATCACGGCGCGCGATCCGCCAAAATTACATGCATATTTACTGAAAATAAAATCCGCCGGCCCATAAATCGGCTCGAAGAAATGCGGGAAAGTTAGATTGGAAACTAGAGAAGTTTTATAATATCTCCGGCTGCCGGGTTTTCGCACGTGCACGGTGAGCCGGGTCGCGGGGTTCACTCGAACAATTATAAAATTTAATTTCCATTTTGTTTGCGCGTTCGATATCGATTGGGGCGAACGTTTCGCTCTCGCAATTCGAATAAATAATTCGTTTACTAACGGGACGAACCGCATTTAGCGCCCGGAATATCGCCGAGAAATTTAATTCGAATTTTCCTCTCTACCGGGATTAGCATCTACTTCATCGGTGTCTTGTTTTGGAAGTTCTTAGTTCGCTATGACCTAATTAGTAATTACATTGCCGGGTGGATTATTTATAAAGATGTTTTTGGTACAGGGTGGCATAGTAACAGTTAATGTAAGTGGATTTTCTCTTGAACAGTCGAAATCCAATACTGTGCTCAATAGTCTAGAATTTAATTTTAGATAAAATTTTGCATAAAACAGCAATGAACAATATTTTAACCTTTTTTTTAAATTTAACGTCAAAAATCAAAACTAAGCAATGCTAAATTGGCCTTTTACGCCTTCGAAAAACACATCATATTTTGTGTATTTTTGCCGCTCTATTGGACCATCCTGTACGCCAAAATGTAATCAAAACTACTACATATCAACTGAACGGTAGTGACACCTTATTTTCCATAATACTCTCTTCCAACGAACGACAAATTTGACAGGCATCACGATATGTTCCTAAAATCATCGAACGAAGGCGCGTCCGTAAGGAAACCCGGTTACAGCTCGACGAATTTCCTCTGTAGGGGCTACGACAGTTTGCCGCAGTCGGTGCTGTTGAACGTATTCAAATATTTGCACGAGGACGAGTTGCGAAGGCACGTGATTTTCGTGTGCAAGAAATGGCGAGCGTGTGCCGAGCACAAATCCCTGTGGAAGACGCTGGAATTCGCCGGCTCGAAGGCGAAGAACGCGCTGATCATCAGCAGGATAATGAAATACGATTCGGCCGAGACGATTATATTGCGTCGAATAAAAGAACCGGCTCCGGTGGTGCAGCAAATCTGCAGATTCAACAGGAACATAAGTCACCTAACGCTGAGGCATTGCCAGGAAATCGACGAGGATTGTTTGAGACAGCTGCTGGAGACTTGCAAGAATTTGAAGAGCTTGGACTTGAAAGGTACCGGCGTTAAACTCTCGATCGTTTGCGAGGAGCTGGCCTGCGCCGAATCGCTTTCCTCTCTAAACATCGGTGACAACAAACACCTCACGGTGCCCCTGGTGGCTTCGATAATCGTAAATTGCCATCACCTCGTCGGGTTCCACCTCTGCAAGTTCCAGCCGGCGAACAAGGTGTTCCTGACGGACGTGGACATCGGGCTGTTGTTCGCCAACACCAACTACCGATTGGAGGCGCTGACTTTGGATTGCAGCTCCTTCGGCAGGCCTACGTTCAGCGCCATTATGAAATGCCGCAAGCTCGAGTACCTGTGCTTGAACTGCGCGCACAATCTCGAGGGCGGCGTGTTTGAAACTATGGCGGAGACCCTGACGCGCCTGAGGGCTTTAAAAGTTCGCTTCGGGTATCAAATAGCCGACGATAACTTCAAGAAATATTTTGGATGCAGGGAGAATTTCGATTTGGAGGAGGTGGATTTCACGGGGTGCGCGAAAATCGGCTCGGGCGGGTTGAAATCGCTCGCGGATTCCTGTCCCAAGGTGAAGTCGTTGGTGCTGAGGAACTGTCCTAACGTGGTGACTTTAGACGAGGTTTTCTGTAAGTGTCCCGGCATTGAAACGCTGAACGTCGCGTTCTGCGGCAAGTTCAATTTCAGCGACAACTGCGTGCCGGCTAATTTGAAGCAATTATTCATCAGCGATTACACGCGATTCGAGCGTTTCGTTAAGAATTCTCGAAACGATAAAGTCGCTGTAAGAATTTGCCAATCGGAGTACAATAAAACCTACAAAACACTTTACGTTAACGCGTTTGTCTCATTCGTCGCTAAATCACTCGGATTATACAGGATGTCACATTAATACGTTTCAAAGCTTCTTTAACAGACATTTTGATTAGACTGGAAGTACAAAGCTCACCTGTTTATAATTAGGTTGTCGATGATGTGATGGTCCCTGTCGCTTCTGATGCTCACTAAATGCCCTCCTTGTCTCTTGCACTCCATCTCCGCCTGCGACCAAGGCAATTTCGCGCCCTCCAACACCCCCACGCAAAACTGCCTGACGGTAACCCACCCGAAATCGCACATACCCACGATATTATCCACCGCGTTAGCGTGATAAACCAACCTCAAACCAAGCCTGGCCTTTTTCGACGATTTGATTCTGACGTTCAAAACCTGATGGAAAAAATATTCTAATTTTACATACACTTCATCCATATAAAGTCGTTCGAGCGAGACCTTAAATAGGTGTACTTCGAGAAGATTAAAGCGAACTTACAAGTTTGTTTTCCCTGGAGACTATTTCAATGTGTCTTTGTATATCGCCGTTTTTCGTGCAATGGGTCCAAAAGGCCGATCCGTCTTGAATTTCTAACAGCAACCCGTCGCAATCCTCCTTGCTGCCGGCGTCACGTAAGTTGAGATCGGTCTCCACGGACTCTGGAAACATAACCGCAAGTCCTGTAACTGAACGGTATCCTCGCGAGGGCCGGCCGAGACAAAAAAATATTACGCACAAAAAGCTCCTCCCGGTACGGCGAGCGAAAAGCGGTTCACGAAACGATTGAAAGCTTCTGCTCGCATACCGAATGATTCGAATTCAACAGATTAATAATTGGTTCGTTTCGGAATTAAGCATATAAGCGCGTTCGTTCATCGATTTTAGAGTTGCATGCCATACGGTTTTTCCTCGAATTTCGCGATTTTATGCAGCGAGATTCGTATCTGCATGTTTGGTTTTACTCGGCTAACTCGGTTTGCGAAAAGAGTTGTTTTCATACGGGCTATATTTAAACGAAATGCATAATAAGGTTTGTTCAATTTTCCATTTACAAGGTGCGGCTGATGGAAGACCAAATAATAGATCTAATGACGGAGCTATAAAATTACTTATACCGGGTCGATATGCGGTGATATGTATACAATGTGTGAGAAAAATAGTGTAATAATGCTTGAGAGGGATAAAGATGGGTTTATGATTGAACGTGTACTTGATCGTGTTTTCAAATTGTTCAGGACGCAGTTTTAGAATCGTTTAGAACTGACTTGAATCACTTGAACCATTTTAGAACTGTGTAAGGCTATTTAAAACAGTTCAGGGCGATTTTAGGAACTGTTAGAACTAACCAAAATCATTTAGAACCAATTCAGGACTTTTTGGAACGGTCCAGGATAAACTAGAAAATCCATTTAGAACGTACTCAGAACTATTTAAAACCGCATTTTAGAGATGGCACTGTAACTAAACGTGTACTTGATCGTATTCGCAAAATTTTTCAGGACAATTTTAGAATCATTTAGAACTGTCCAGAATCAGTTGGAACTGCCCAATATCATTTAAAACCGATGAAGGACTATTTGGGACGATTTAGAATAGACTAGATAATCTTATTTTAGACCCTTTTCAGAACTTTTCAGAACTCTTTTTTTAGAACTTAGAAGGTTGCTTTGAATTTTTCATCTGAAAAATCGACTAAATTTCTTGAAGTGTTCCTAAAAATTTTGTAAAATCATGTGAAAAATCGTCCTATAGTAAAATATTTTACTCATTTAGTACAATCTTCTAAAAAAAATCATCAAATTATCCATAATAAACTAAATTATAATAAAATTTTGTAATATAAATGTGTTCTCTGTATGTCCACATTGCCGCAGGCCGATCCGGTCGATACATCACAATGCACTTATTATTTATCTACTTGTTCTAGTTTATATTCGATAATGCATCGAGGAAAAAAATTATTCTAAAAAAAATTTCACCTGTTGCTTCCTCGTCGCCGATTCTCAATTTCAAAGCGACGCGGTTCCCGTAGGGCAGATGTATGCGAAAAGTGCATTGCAGCTCGTCCTGCGGCTTCAGCTCGAACGAGCCGTTCCTGGCCAGGAACGTAACGTTGTAGCAGTAATCCACTAAGCGATAGCGTACGGAGAAAATCGGATTTCCGCGTAAATGCATGGCGGGTCGCATCCGCGACGCCGACGGAGCAGCCGGCGAACCCGACGCCGGAAAATAGACGAAGCGATCGCTCTCCGGAAGCTCCTCCAGTTTGCCGCAAAGCTGCGTTTGTTTGTGGGTTTTCGCTCGGGCTGCAACAAAACGGATATTACCGGATTTTTTATGACACCGAGAGAATTTAATCGGTCTGTTCGATTTCTCTCGGAATTCTACTAAAATAATCTACGTGGTTTCAAACACAATTTGTAGTATATGCTCACAAAAGATTCTAAAAATACATCAAAGAAATTCTTTGAAAAAAACATTCTTTTACGTTAAAAATCCTATGTAATAAAGGGCTAAATTTGCACCTCTAACTTTAAATAAGACCGACTGCTCACGGAGCAACTGTTTTAAAATAAAAATTGTAAACCAGTTGATCTTGCAACTATTTTGCAACCTCGGCGATGTATAGTAGTATGGAACCGCACACAAGTCGATTCAAATGAAACTAGTTTGCAATGAGTCATAAACTTGTTGTACCCGACTATTTCCCGCGGTCGCAGTCGCTTTGCAGTTTTAAGTTGCTTTAAATTCTTGCCAATTTCTGGTGTGATTCATTCGACATTCGATAAATTACTATGGCAACTGATTGAAACTATTTTATAATAGTAGCATCCGTGTGCGTACAGAAGTTTAATATTAGTTGTAAACTGGTTACAGACTAAAGTAGATTGAAATATTTATTTCAAAACAGTTGCTCCGTCAGCGGTGGGCCTAAAGGTAAAATGATAAAAAATCGTACTTAGTGAGTTGTCGATGCGGGATCTTCGGGTGGTGTTCATGCCGGAGAAATGAACGTATCCTCTGGAACAAGGCACATTGAGTCGCGTCAATTCGACAACTAAACCGTGACCTCCGCTATGTCGAAGCGGAAACCATATTTGACAATCGGCAGTGTGCGGGAGATCATCATTCGTCACGACGGCTTCCTCTTCGATCAGCCCCAGCTGGCATCCTGCGAACGGGAATATAATCGTTTCAATTAACTGATCGAATCGCGCCCGATTCGCGGTGTTACCTTGCGCCAAAGGGAGAACGTATATCAGTCTGTAAACTATAGGGCCTTCGTTCGTGACGTAGTCCAATCTGAAACAGATTCCACGTCTAATAAATTGAAATATTTCTTGGAGTTGTAGAAGAAAAATCGTGCCACATTCGGCATTCGATATCGATCCCGTACGGCCACAGACAAATTATTCATTGTTGCGTTGGAAGTACAAACATTTCCTAATGACAGAGCAACCCCTTCAAAGTTCCGATAGTTTATTTTAGTAAATTGAAGCATAAAAAATATCATCACTACCGCATACAAACCTATTATGTAAATATTAACATTACCGATACAATTTAAATTTAAACAGTTTAGTCAATGAACGAGAGAGTATAATACGTTCAATTTAACTCAGCTATGACGTCACGAAATAAATCATTGCGACGTTGTCGGTTTGTGTATTTTCGTTAGATGTACTTACTGAAAGGTGGCGTTCGATTTGTCGATGTCTTTATCGACGTGGAACGTCCAGTTGACGGTGTTGCGGCTTTGCGAAGACAATTTACTACTAAACACGTGGGGTCCGCAGTCTTGGATTATCGAAAATACCCCCGAGGGTATTCCATCAATTGACGAACTTATTGCGTAATTTAGAGACGATGCCCCGTTGTTTTCGACAGTAACTGTAACAATACCAATTATTAATTAACTAATCGATTTGGCATGCATAAATCATTCCGGTCCGGTTGACCTAATTCGTTAATCCGGAAGAGCTCTCGGTAATCTACTCGGTCTATATTCGAGGGACGCACTCTATCACGTCCACGCTAACGAGGGGCATTCTCGAATTTTTCTTCTCCGGGATTTTCCCGTTTCGCGCGAGCTTTCCGAGGTGGTGCACTCGATAAAACAAAGTTAAAGCGGAACGGGGTCGAAGGTCGATAAACTTACCTGGTGACTTGAGCTCTCTTCGGACCCCTGACGTCATTGTGTACCTCGAATAGTTATCGATTTACCGGAATCGGACAAATTTTATGGCGAAATGTGTTGTTCTCGGGAATGGTTTTCGACCGCTCTCCGTGGGGTCCTTTGTTTGTGTCGGGAAAATTAATTTTTATTTGTCCTGTGCTAGGGAAATTGCTGCTTGGAATTCTTGTTAGTGTCACATTCAGGACGGTTGTGAAACCAGACCGAAACGAGAATGTGGATTAACGAATTAGCTAAATTAGGAAAATATTAATAGAGAGTAAATTGTTCAACAGAATGGCTCATACGAATTTTTGAAGCTATAAAAATGAAATTTGGCTCATGATATATTCGGTGCAAAACAAATATCAAGTCACGTCACATATAATTTATTACGTCACAAGTAGGCAGTGTTGTCGAACTTTTATAGAGTTTACAAAATCTAAGAATTTTCAAAAATTGTCAAATGACAAAATGACAAGAACAAATTGAAAATTAGGGGTACCTGTTTCACGTTTCTACACGGCGGACGTATTCAGGGGCTCATAATAATTTTGATTTTTAATATGTTCTATCGTCCTTTTTTCGCATTAAATAATTTCTGCAAGTATAAAGCTTAATTTATTTTGTTTATTTATTTTTAAAAGACTGTAGCTTGATTCAATACCTATTTCATTTAAATTTATTAATATTGAAGCATTGTCGCAATTAGTAAAAATAGTCCTATATTTTACTGGTGGAGTTCTTCAAAGGTTCTCCTTTAAAGAAGAACCAATAATGATAGCTTTTATTAAATAAGGACTTTAAAAAGGTACATTATGCTTAATAATTGGTTGGTATTTCATAAATTGTCATTTCGTTCATAATTTATGGCGTTACCAACCATAAATCCTTTAGAATTCCGTAGCCAACTCTAACCGCACAATTAATCGTGAATATGAATGCAAGTACACGAGAAACAAGTTAGATAATATCGGAATATCAATTAATATGCGGCTTAAAATTGGTTACGATTTGTGGGATACGCTCCGGCGACGTCTCCGTGAATTGTGGCTCCGCGAAAATGGGAAACATTTCGAGGAAAACTGCGAAATCGGGAGCCATAAATAGGCATCACTTAAACACATGAACTTGACCTTAATACGTTCGTCTGAATAAAAGTTTGCCGAAGGAAAATCGTAAATATTAACTCGTCCGTTTTTTCTGCGTTGTGTACCATTAGCGAGACGCTTTTCCAAGTTACTTCGTGCGCAAACAAGGCCGAAAAGGAATTTTCCTTGCGCGAAAATTGCACGCGAACTTCGGGAAAATCGGGCGCTTTTACTACCGCAAAAACCGAACGTTTCTAAAGAAATTACAGTATAAAGCTTAATAGTATTTTCTTCCCTTACGTTTACAAAACAACAAGCAAATTTTTGTATTCTGAAACTCCCGGACTATTTACGGTTTCTATGCGAGACTGTAATTCAATTAAACAATGTAAAAAAATTGCATATATTATTTATTAATCGATACTGGGGCAATCAACGCGCTCTCGACGTTAAAATGCTAATTATATCTTTTGTAGCTGTTACGTTGTTTGTGTATGATAAATTCATTTAGAAATTTTTAAATGCGATTTCACATCGATTTTCCGGACAATACATATACGTGAATTCGGTTACTAGGGAAACGACCTCGTAACAATTTTGATATACGAATTGCATACGATTAAGTACTCTTAATGGACTATACAAGATTGCCGGGGAAATGTGGGAAATCCCAGGGAAAACTGTTTATTACTGACTTCTCGCCTAGAGATATGTCGGCACTTAGTAACTTTTTAAATTATAAAGTTTGTAACTCAATTTATTTGAATTATGCTTCTGGTGAAAATAGAATTTAAGGTGTTTTGCAAGTTCATGATAAGCCAACAATGCATTTCATATAGTTTATTTTCTTTATCAAACTCAACACCTTTGAGTAAAAGATCGATTACTTTTGGGCGAAATAAATAAGATTTAGTAACTTTTAACAACTAAATGGTCCCTTAAGGGCGCAAAAGGAACGAATACAAAGGACACCCAATCAATTACCGTTCGGAAAACCCAATACATTTCACTTAGCACCAAAAGTCGTGACACGTTACAGAGTTGTATGTTGTGCACTGTTATTTTTTCTGATAAAAGATCCGGATCTAAAGTGACCTAAATTGGTAGCAAATTTAAAGTAAAAAAAAGTGAAAGATGTTGGACGACAGCCAACCTGCCACTAAAACTTCCACCGGGAAAAAATGATTAATGACTTCATCTAATGCGTTATAAGAAGTTCCCGGTTTTTCTGAATACATTTCGTCGAAGAAGACGTGAGGGAAAATGGTGAGCTTTTCATCTGTCGATAACGTAGAAACTGATGGGGAAGTCATGCAAATGAGTGGAATTTTCGGGTTTGTTTGTCCAATGTCGAGTGACTTGAGGTGATTTTTGGAGATGTTTTTTAGGTCGTTGCATTGATTTTTTAGCTGTTTTTCTCATGATGAGGATTTTTGGTGTTTATTTTTAGCTTTTTGGTGATTTTTATCTATCCTTTATAGAATAATAGCACCATTCAAGTTATTTATTTGTCATTTTATGGATAACTGAAACTTTGTTTTTGGCATTGATAGAACTTTTGAACTTATTCTCGTATTTTTCCTCGCCAATTGAAATGCTTTCTGCAGATGTATATTTGGTTTTCATTAGCAGTAATTACTGTTTTTGTTTGATGTTTTTCAGTCTCATTCTCATTAATCTTAGCTGACTTAGGGGCTTCCTCGAACCGGTCTTTTGTCTACTTCCGTATCATCTTCATTAATATTAGTTAACGCCAGCTTCCTTCCCGTCTTGACGCTTTGTTTTCGTTTTTACTCCAACCAGCGAGCGCAATTTTCTTATGCGAAATGAGTGGTGGATAAATACAAAAGAATAACAATCACCTGATATCTGTTGATACTGTTTTACTTGTTGGACTAGCGTAATTTAGAAGAGTAAAAGCAAAGAGAATTTCGTACCGAGCGAGGTATGATAAATTTATCGCATTTTCCGCCTCACCTTTGACATTTCTACTAAAACAAATACCAGAAGTGTGTACAGGCGTAGCGCTAAAAATTCAATAGGGCATTCTCGGCGGAACGTCTAGCTCTAATAAATCGACTAAAAGGTGATAATTTAAGGTTTGTTTACCTTGGTAGGTTACACCTGGCACCAAAATGTCTGTTTCGAACAACGAATGCGACACGGTGAAATTAACGGCTCCTCGGACGTGTTGCTCGACGGTTCCTTCGAAACGACAATTACTGCTCGAATTCCCCCGCAGTACCGGAGGTCCTGGCGATCTACCCGGAGCCGGATCGCCCACGAACCCGGAATGATTCAATGAAAACGCGTAAAAGCACTCGAAAAAATAAACTCCAAAAAACAACATCAATACGGATTTATTCATAATTATTATTAAATTTTTACTCGACTCGTATATCATATTATATAATATATATCACAGTTTTATCTTATGTACATTTTAAAATACTGCTTAGCTTAGCCAGTCACATACAAATCGGGTGATGAAATCATAGGAGGAAATTAAGTACCGAAGCTTTAGCTACACCGATGACGAACGGACGATTCGAAACATAGTATACAGACCGCGAATAAAGGAATCGGGGTCGAAGCGATGCAAAGGACAAACGCACACGGACTGAACGGCGCGCCGCCGACGAGGGTGTTCGTATAGCGTTAGCGCGACGGCCGGAAAAACCTGAATTTCTAGCCGCACGGGCCGGAGCCGAGCCGCATGTCTCGCGCTAAAAGCCCGATCGATTTCTTTGCTATGTGGAACGTAAAAATGCGAATACCTTGCCGCTTCGTATAGGAACGGCGACTTGATCTCGATTATTATTAATCGGAAAAGGGGGAATGCTGATTATGTGGAAAATTTTCGCACGTGGATATTTTTAATATGCTCTCCTTTCGTCGAAAGGGAAGCCTTCGCATTGGGATTTTTTAACTTTCACCTCTCATTAGGTTCCGTTAATCGAGTTCCCAACGCGATTTTCCTTCTAAACGTACATTTTCTAAGCTCCTATTAGGAGAATAATCGCCTGAGCACACAAAAGAGGCTCTTAATCTTCCGAAGAATAAGCTTAAGAAAATAACTGAACTCCAAACGAAGCATTGTTATGTCCTTAGTAAAGGATAAATCCACATCCATTCTCATATTACTGGAATATCCTACAAGACATGCACCGAGTAAACGGTTTTCCTATTAGATGCACACAAATGGCTAATTAAAAAAGAAATATTTAAGCATTAATGATTGATCAATTCATCTAATAAATAGACGGAGTCTCGCTTTAGTTCTTGATATTCTTATGCCACCAGTCCAAATTCCCCTCCTGCTTGAGCACGTCGTCTTTAATAACAGTTTGTATGATCTCGAATTCTTCATCCACCTCCCGTTTGTTCATAGCCCTGACGGGCACGTTCCTCAACGGCGGGAAGTTCTTCTCGAACCAATTCTCGTCCTTGCAATCGATCTTCTCTTCTACATCTATCGCGTTGGAGACCAGTATAGGGTAATTCTGATCGCTGGCGCCGTTCGAAAACGTATCGCTGACCGTGGAATCCGGCTCGGTCTTGGGCGACCAATTGGCGTAGGGCTGCTTGGCGCCCGGGTCCTGGGGCTCCGACTTCACCGCCAGCTCGTCGGCGCAGTCCAACAGCAGCGGGTTGGGCTGGATGACCTTGTTGTAGCCGACGCTCGGCCACTGGTTGTCGAACTCCTCGGAGTCGTCGATGACGATGAAGTCGTCGCACTCGGGCCGGGCGAACTGGAACGAGCTGGAGGCGAAGCTCATGAGCGAGTCCCGGATGGGCGATCTGGAGTAGTAGTTGTTCCAGGCGTTGGAGCGGTCGGTTTGCGTTTGGATGCACTTGTTGCGCATCGGCGGGTTCTTGGGTTTGATCATGCACGGGTTGAAGACGAGCAGCTGCGAGGGGAACTTGTAGATGGGGACGTTGACTTGGTGGTGGACGAACGTCGTCGAGGGCATCTGGTTGTAGGGTATGCACCAGATTTGGCGTTGGTCGCCGTGGAAGAAGTTGAACTCCTGCGCCCGGAGGTTGATCAGCTTCTTGAAGTGCGTGCCGTAGTGTTCGTTGAAGAACGGGTTCGGCTGGAAGACGATGGTGAACGATGATGAATAGAATTGGGTCATCATGAAGAACCTGAAATAATTGTTACAGTTTAACGTTTCTTATCCACAGGAATTATCCGATTTTGGGGGAGAAAACACTCAAAGACGAATATCAATACGCTGTTTCTGAAGTATGATAACACAACTACAAAAATTGAAATTTTACAGGACAAAGCAGAATAGTTAAACAGACAGTTAATAGAATAACCTACAGATTCGGTTTAATTCTTCTATGGGAGTAGTTTATAGACATTGTGGGTTATTATTGCAACTACCAAGTTATTTCAATTCATAAGATAACTTATAAAATTTTATATTTGCGTCATTATACATCCAGAGCAGCGATGTCGACTCAACGTTATTACAAATTTAAGTCGTGTATTCATGTATTCTCGGAAACAAAATGTGTATTAACACGCGTTTTCGTTTCATCCAGAACAAGTATGAATAATTTAACATAAATGTATATACGCTTGATGCAAACTAGGTTGAATCTGATTAGAAAAAGACTAGAAAATTTACTTGTCCGCACAATTTTAAAACATACCTCGAGAATATAGAAATGGGGAAGATTTTATAACCCATATCTTTCACTGTTCGACAATTTTTATCCTTTTTCGTCCGGTTTTTTTCCGCCCTTTTGTAATGTATGTTCAACACAACGTTTATGTGGTATCCCCCGCTGCCATCTAATGGCTTCACTACTACTTCATAGTCCTATTAAAAACACCAGTTAATTAATTAAAATGAAGAATTGTAATGCTTTGCTAATATTGATTGATAATTTAGATATAGTCTCCCGATCGTGTAGTTTTCGTTTCTACCTGTATATTCAGTTGTCCATAGAGTTTGGGATAGAAAACAATTCCGTTCGCTTCAGTTTCGATCGGCTGCAAATCTATCCAATGATTACCGTTCTTGACGTGCCTGCAGGGGACGCCGAATCTGCCGCAAACGCACAAACATTGTCCATTTATCGTCGAAAAAAACGGCCAGTAGCCCGTGTTTAACACGTAACCGGTGGTGAAAACTTGCGTGAATATATCGAACAGCTAAAAACGAGGACGATCATTTAGATTGTCTATTAATTAGAATGGAAATTGTTTGAGGAATGATCATTCCTCGGTCATTACTATTTCTTTAGGTCTCTCAGTAAATGGTTGGGGATAAAAACAAAGAAGTAGGAAGATTCAAGGGATGATTTAAGTGAGGTGGTGATTTTAATTGTACTAAGAAAAGTTCAATTATGCGAATTTTGAAAACGTATGAATCATAAATAGATTTGAAGAAGAGTTTTCTATGATGAGTAATAATCGAGTTGTAAGAGAAATTTGTAGTGTACTCATACTCTGAATTAAAGTCGTATTTATCAAAAACTTTTTAGGGAAAATTCCCCAATTTCCTTTTACTATAAAGAGCAATCCATCTACTATACACTCCTGGGAATAAACCGGGCTAGTGCGTGTGTAAGATAAGATATTAAAAAAAACTGCGGCAACTTACTTACACAAAAATCATTACCTTTGACGAATTGAACTCCTCCATTTCTTTGTTGCACAAGATAAAAGCGACTTCGTAACTTTCTTCGACGATACGCCTCAATCTTTCGTCGAACATTCTGGCCAACGTGGGATTGATTATTTCGTTATTGCCATTCAACGAACTCATTTCGCGTACGACAGAAAAATAATATGCGATTTGCACAGTGCTACCTGTTGAAGACGATTTCAATAACTTATCGAATCATTATTGAGCTCAACGTAATCGAATGTTTATTATAAAGGAATATTTATGGGCTGGCGGAGGTATCTTAATTGAATAAAATTTTATCGCTTGTGCGTTTAGATAATTCGACTATTAGGAGATTTTTTGTCATCGCTAATGTCTCTGCTGTTTTTTCTGTTTACGATGATAAAAGAGCGAGGCGTTAGAAATATTCAACAAGATTGCCGATTGGTAAAAAAAACAAAATGTCGCGGAGAATCTTGCGGGTGAGTCAAGAATAATTGGATAAAAAAATTGACACGAAATTTTGTCCAGAACTGTTGTTCGAACAAAATCCTGCAATTTTGCCAACTATTTATGATTTGAATGTTTCATACGTAACGTCAAAATTCATGTAAATGTAATCAATATCCTTGAAGATTTCATTTTAATGGGAATTGGATTAGCAGGATGGAGAAGCATCAATTTCGAGGAGAGGAAGGTAAAAGTGATGTGAAGGTGAAGAAACAGCCATTTCATGAACAAGAAAAGATTATTTTAGAAAAACAGCAGTTTCAAGAGCAATATCAACCTAGTCAATTAAGTTTATTAGGAGTATTAGCATGTAAGCAAACGTAGATATTCTAAAGATTCCTTTTTAATTTCGCGAGGATTACAGTCATCAAATACAGGGTGTTTTTTAATAACATAGGACATAGGTTCATAAGAAGTTTTTTTCTTAAAATGGACCCAAGAATCACCCCCTTCGGTAATAAAGCATGTTGTTAAAAAACACCCAGTATTGTGGATTATGGAAATTGCAGTTTAAAGGTAATGAGACTCTAGGATGGAGCTTAAGAAAACCCTATCGAGCCCTCGTAAAAGAAAATTTGAATGCATTTGATAGCCCGTTTAGATAAGAAAAGACCATTCCAAGTAAATTGCTAAAATCAATTTTTATTTCCAGCAACTGTAGGAGTAACTGTTCTTCTGGTTCTGTTATGCAAATAACAAGTAATGAAGCCTCTTAAAATTGTAATTTCTTTGGATTATATTAAATAACTGATCATAGTATGTATTTTTTTGAGGGACATAAAAAAACAACCATCGATATCCATTCTACAAAATTTTACTTATAAGTGTGTAATATGTATTATGTATACATTTTTATAAACAATAATATTTCAATCGTTATTGCAATTGTACAACAGAAAATTCTAATCTACTTAGTATACATTTAAACATTTAATCTGATAGGTACGTATTTTATCGCTTCAAACTTATGCGAAGGAATTGAATTTATCAAGCGGATAAAAGGAATACCCCATCAATTTGGAATGAGCTGCTTTAGAATCACAGTTTTGTGGCTCTTTTTTTATTTATAATATATTTCCAATAATTATTCATCACAGATTTTCAATCCGATAAAAAGTACATATTCCAACTCTATAGTTAGAAAATATCTCGAAATTTTCAAATTTAATTCATGAAAATAATTTGATCGATAAACAATAATAATTATCAATTAAACCCGCCTTAGTATTATACCAAAAAAATACTAAAGCTGAAAGCATTCCATTTCAAATTACTTATGTTTATTCAGCGAGTATTTTAACAAAATAAAATCGTGGACATAAAAAATGATATATTATGATTCTAGATAAGCGAGCTCATCATTTTCAATGCCCAAAAATAGCTATATTCTATTCGTTCATCGTTGATTACATTTTTCTTATAATTACGATAATTTGATAAAACTTTCAACGGAATTCATCCAAGTTAAGGCGAATCAAGACAGAATATGTTAAAAGGTATTTCTTATACAAAAAAAAACTACAACAATCAATTCGAATAGAGTATCGAAACTGTATTGCAATTTGATTATCGTCATTACGTAACGCAACAAGAATTAATTAATCATCGAGACTATTTACTGCATAAATATTCTTATTGAAGTACGAACATAAAACAATCAGTATTATCTACCATTTTCTGAATAAAGCTAGTACAAAAAGTCGGGTTTCACAAACCCCTGGAAAATGCTAGATAAATATTATTTGATAAATAAACAACAATCACAATAGACACAATGGAAACGGAATTTTTGAAATGAATGGAAACCGCAATCGAACAAGGAATATTAAATATATCACATAATTTTTTTATTAAAAAACATTTCTATAAATTAAAAAAATAACGCGCATTTCATCATTAAAAATCTTAAAACCTAATAAAACTGATACCGTCGATATCGAGCAATAAGTAATTTCGCGTATATCAATTTATTCGGCGCGGCTTGGCCGCGATTTCATTCAAAAATTTGTTTTCTTCGAAATTCAAGGAGGCTTTTATCTAAATAGTTCGGCGTAATTCCACAAATTCATCCGACTAGATCGTAATGCAACTCGATTAATCTATGCGCTCGACTATTTAGATAAACAGTTCGATCGTCCCTCCGAAATATAATTTATATTCGATAAAAATAACACGAAGCGCACTCGATATTTCATTTTACATACTTACTACAAACTATATCACATATACAGAGTATTCTTTAAATAAGAGTCTTTCATATGTTAGTTTTTTGAGCCGTCAAAGTTTTTTTTTGTAATATTGTCAACTTTTACAAAGTCTCTAGCAGTCGATTAGTTTTTGTATCTAAAAATAATTTAGTAGAAAAATAAATAAATAAAAAAAAACAGTCTTTAAATTTTTGGTGATTTAACTCGAAGCGAAAGTATACAAGTAATTTCGGATGCTAGTTAATACTGAACGACGGTACTAATATCATTACTAAATAAAAATAAGTACATAAATAAATAAGTAGAAGCATTTTTTCCAGTTACTAATCTAATCGACTGCAATGAATTATAGTAGAGTTGCTTCCTTTTTGATTAATGCCGTTACCAATTATTTTTTTTTAGTATAAACGACTCGTTTATAAAAAATGTGCAAATCAAAATCATTTATACTAAAAAAAAAAAGAAGAAAATCGAGTAACAACGTCACGTACATACTTTAGCAACATTACTAAGAAGAACGAAATCTCTGAGTGACCCCGTATAGTGACTAGAAGCGTTCTTATAAGGAAGCAAAGCATCAATTATGGAAAAAAACAATATGTATGTATACAATTCACTAATGTCTATGTTTTAAATATATGTATCGATCCGGCAGTAGATATGGTAATAGGAATCTCTCAGTGCAATTCGGTACTGGCTAGAGGCACCCCGGCTAATGCCACAGTCAGGCTTTTCACGTGAGTTTGCCAGGTGGAACTCAATTGGAAGAATTTCACCCCAACGTATTCTACACCATCGATGTATACTGAAAACCACAAACAATATTGCTTTACATATATTTCCATTATTCGGTCACTCTCTGTAAAGGAGGATAGTAGATAATAGAGTATAGAGGGTAGAGAGTAGAGTGTATAGATTAGAGGGCAGAGAGTAGTGTGCAGAGAGTATTGTGTAGAGAATAGTGTACAGAGAGTAGATTGTAGAAAGTAGAGTTCAGAGTGTACAGAGAGTAGATTGTAGAGAGTAGAGTGTAGATAGTAGATTGTAGAGTGCAGAAAGTAAAGTGTTGAAAGTAGGGTGTAGAGAATAGAGTGTAAAGAATAGAGTGTACAGAGAGTAGAGTGTAGGAAATAGAGAATAGATTGTACTATAAGTAGAGAGTTCAGAGTATATTGTAGAGAGTAGGGTGTAGAGAGTAGATTGAAGAATGTAGAGATTAGAGAGTAGAGTGGAAGGTACAGCAGAGAGTAGAGATTTAACCATTAATTACCTTTCATGGGCGTATTATGCGAAGCACGTGCAGAACATATCAGTCTTGAAACGCCTTCGACATTTTGACTGCGAGGCTCCGTATCCTTTTCCTTTTCCTTCTTCTTACCTAATCTCATAACTAGAAGAAAAAAAAGTGAAATTAATAATACACATAACACCCCATTTCCAATTCCTACAACTTCGAAAACATCCCTCGTACATCATACGATCGGTTATGAAATTATCCCAATTATAGTTGGTGTACATTCGAAAAACTCACTTTTCTGCTTCTTCTCCTTATTGGTCAAATGCATGGTGAGATTGAGTCCCGACACGGTGGTGGGCGACGCCTGCAAACCCCTAAAGACGGCCTTCAGCGACGTCTTGCCGTCCTGCTTCGTCTTGTCCTTCTCAGTCTTGATGATCGATTCGCCGAACTTCGGCAATTGCCAATAGTCGACTTGCAGTTCGAGCGGCTCCCACGGCGACTCTCTCGCCTGCACGTTGGGCGACGACGGCGGCGTCAGCGACGGCGCCGGCGGACTCGAGCATATCAAATCGTCCAAATCGACCGAAACGGATTGCGAATGATCGGCCGGTCCCACTCTCACCTCCTGCGAATCCAAATCGTTAATACGTACGCGAGAAGGAACATCTTAGATCGCGCTTACGCTGATAAACGGTATGAACAACTGGCTGTTCTCGTCGTGGCACGTCAGCATCGCCTCGCCGATGGGTATTTGGGCGACGGGCGCCGTCGTCGGTACGCCCAGGTAACGGTGCAAGCGCTGCGACAGCTCGTCGATTTTCAGTTCTTGCTCGTTGGGAAACAACGACTGGTAGCCCTGGTCGAGCGTCGACAGGTTTCTCGATATGCTGCAATTGCCCGCTGGGACTATGTAGACGCGCGTGAACGACAACCATTCGGACGGTTTGCTCGACAACAGCTCGACGTAGGGTCGCACGAACCAACCGATCAACGTGTCGCCGCCGATCAGCAGCAGCTTGACGAAGGTGCCCGGCTTGGCGCAGCTATTGCAACTGGAATGTTCCAATGATATGCAATTTTTAGCAGTATTTAAAACAAAGAACATCTATATTATTGCTCATTACAATGGTAGGGTGAAAAGTTCTCGGTCCGAATCATTTAGAATTATCTAAAAACCATATGAGATGTTTCAGAAACATTTAGGACACTCCACAATCAGAACGCCTCAGAACCTTTTAGAACTGTCTAAAACAATTTAGGATACATTCATTATCGCTGTAAACCCATTTAGAACGCTTTTGAACCATTTAGAAAGCTCCAGAATCCTTAAAACTGTAGAACCATTTACGTTCTACAATCATTTAGAACCCTCCTGAACTGTCTCGATTTAAAGATTTCGACTTAATAAGAAGAATAATGCAATTTTCCAACTGAAAATCGCGGTCTTTAATCGCGCTTTGATGGTTCGGTTATATTGATTTCCCCATTATGCGTGAACTTATTTCCAATAGTGCATATTTATTGATACTTACTACTTGTGAATTTTACCGAAGACGGCGGAAAGCACAGCCTTGGTCTCGACGGACGACAGCGGTTGAAACACCCTGTATTGCCCGCCCAATCTCGCCGCCAACGGTATAGTCAGGGCGTCGGGCCCGGTGAGAAACACGACGCATTCGGGTAGCGCCGTCTCTTCGCTCGGCAACAGTTTCGATACCAATTCTAAAAATACCTTTCGAGACTGAAACAGAATATCGATCGAGTTACGCTAGAATATACGCTAGAATAAATCGCTAGAAAATCGTACCGTCGGCGTTTCCGCGGGCGGTTCCGAACTGACGCTCAGCGAGTTCTTCTTCTTTTTATCGGACGACGTCGACGATCGGAACAGCTTCGCCTTGCGTTCGCTCAGCTCCTGCATGATGTTGCTGAATTCGTTGTCGCCGATGTGCTTGCGAAACGAGGCGGTTTGTTCGCGGGGCGGCGAACCCGTTTGCGGATCGCTCTGACCCTCCGGATCGGTGAAACAGAAATCGGCGTTCCCGTCCGATCCTACGATGAAATAAATAAAATAAATCGATCGTTTCGCACGACTTTGCGGTAAAAATGAAATTACCCGAATAGGTTTTCTCTTCGGCTTTCTCGGACTCGACGAAGGGAACGGTGGTGTTGTCCAAGAGGCTTCGACTGCTGCTGAAAAAGGGACGTAAACTCGGCTTGGGCGTGCTCGATATGGACATGGTGTCCTGTTCGCCGCCCGAATCTTCATCGCAGCTCAGCGATTCCAGTTCTTGGAAGAGGGCCTGTATGTCGCTGGGATTGTCCAGGCAATCGCGCACTCTTCCTCCTAAACAAACGACATCCAACTTTACTTTAAGGTTATCCAGAATGTGTCTAGGTTTGAACTTTTAAAGTGAGGAGCACTACCTCCAAACCACGATAGTCTTCACTTTAACCGGTTAAAGTGAGCAAGTTTAGGTGGTACTATACTATAGTCTTACACCATAGTGTATTTTAACGATCTCTTTCGATCAATCAATCAATTAAATACGAGGGTATGGTGAAAAGTTCTCTGCCGAACAATGAAAGGCCGCGATTTTCAGTTGAAAAATTATATTATTCTCCTTATTAAGTCATAATTTTTAGTTCGATACAGTTCTAAATGATTCTAGAGGGTTCTAAATTGTTCTGAAGCATTCTACATGATTCTAGAGGGTTCTAAATTGTTCTGAAGCGTTCTAAATGGTTCTGAAGCGTTCTAAATGGTTATGAAGCGTTCTAAATGATTATGAAGTGTTCTAAATGATTCTAGACAGCTTCTAGATTCTAGAGTGTTCTAAATGGTTCTAGAATAGAACGTTTTAAATAGTTCTGATGCGTTCTGAATGATTCTAGATAGTTTTGGAATTCTGGAGCATTCTAAATGATTCTTGAACGTTTTAAATGGTTCTACACAGTTTTAAATGATTCTGGAGCGTTATAAATGGTTCAGAAGCGTTCTCAATAATCCTAAACAGTTTCTGGATTCTAAAGCAATCTAAATAATTCTAGAACGTTCTAAATGACTATGGATCGTTCTAAATGGCTCTGAAGCGTTCTAAATAACTATGGAGTGTCCTAAATGGTTCTGAGACGTTCTGAATGGTTTTAGACAGTTCTTAATGGTTCTAAATCTTTCCAACTGGCTCTAAAGCTTTCTAAATGATTGTGAGGCGTTCTAAAGAACTATGGAGCCGTTCTAAATGGTTCTGAAGCTTTCTAAACGATTGTAGAGCGTTCTAAATGGTTCTAAAGCGTTCTAAAGAGTTCTAAATAACTATGGATCCGTTCTAAACGGTTCTGAAGCTTCTTAGATGGTTCTTAGATTGTTCAAAAATGATTCAGGCCGACAACTTTTCACCCTACCCTTTGCCAAATGTTCATTTTAATGCAGAACGTATAATAAGACGCGTTCGCTACCTTCGGAATCGGGCACTTTGAACCGCCTCAACAGCGACACGAACCGCTGCTTCAGATTGTGCCTGGTGTGCGGCAACTTCCTGATGGGCTCGCTGTCCGACAGGTCGACGGCCTCCTCCTCGCCCGAGCTGATGTCGTCCTCGTCGTCGCTGAAATCGTGGTCGCGGATCTTGTGGTCCTGATCGACGGGCGTCGAGCTCAGCTGGAGCACCGTCAGCCGGGCCAGCGGGCCCGACGACTTGTCTTTGCTGTTGGTGTCCGGCATCAGTTCGAGATCGATGTCCATTTGCTTTTGCAGCACCTGGAATACAAGCGTCGTTTTTTTTTACCGAGCGTGTTTTCTCGTTAATTATATAAATAATCCTTCTGGCGAATTTGAATATGCGTCGAAACTATACGCTGAATAATCGCGTTAGGTATTTTTAGGCGATCACATGTTTGGATGTTTCTATAAGCATTTTGAGGTAGGCTAAAAAATGCGAATGATAAAGAGGAAACGGCTAGGTTTGCATGTAATTTTTTTACGTGTTTTGGAACGAGCGTCGATTAAAAATAGACGAAGAAAAATAATTAAAAGGAACGCGCCTTTCGTCGGGTTCTTGCTAAATTCAAGAATAGATTTATCGTTTGCTTCTGTTTGATAAATCGCTATTTATAAACGTATGCACCTGTGGATTTACGAAAATAATCAATAAAAGCGAATTAGAATCGTGCGCTACATTGTTAATTTTATCATTATGCGTTTTGAAACAATATTCGTAATGAACAACTTCCCCCCTGTTCGTATTAACTAAACGAGCCTTTTACTAGTTTTTTATTACGCCTAATAATAACATCTGTTACGTTGTTTTGACAATGATAAAACTGTTTGTAGCCTATTAAACGAATATTGCCGCTTTTCCGCAAAAAAAAACAAATGTATTTTTAATACTGGAACAATTAAAATTGAGCTGTAAAAAATAACCTAAATATATCGGCTCAACGTTCAAATTTCAAGTTCATGTACAAATTGGAAGATAAATATTGTTAGTATTATTATTGCCTTAATTGCAACTGCCAAACACAACAATTAAGATTAGAAAATGCCATAAACAATTCCAAACTCAATAATACCAATGTTAATACAATCAATTAATCATTGATATTAGTTCATGTATCACCTTCTACCATTTCATTTATGAGTAAGATATTTATTCACATCGTTATGCAATTGCAATAAAATATGTGATAGTTTTTCATGTTATTAAAAAAACTGATTATTCCACATCGTTGCGCAATTCCAATTCGCGATAAATACATCAATTAGTTCCAATCGTACGAACCTGATCCATTCGAATGACGCCCTCGGCTAGCGTCTTGAAGCCCAGCATCGTGCGATTCTTGTACCTCTTTCGTCTTTGCAGGAGAATGTGGAGCTTGTTGCCCTCCCTTTTCAGGAAATGGGGGTACTGCAGGCAGAACGTCACGTCCAACGGGGCGTCCAGCAGGCCGCCTTGCATCAGAACCAGCTCATTCGATCGCAGGGTTCTCTTGCTGGATTGCATTTTGACCGCTATGGAGACGGTGCAGGGCGTCTCAGAACCCAGCGGTCTGAGTATTACTAATCTCGTTAGAGTTAGCGAGCATAACCTGAAATTATTCAATTGGATTTTATGATGAATTGTGCATAATAAACTTATGGTTTCTAATGTATGAAATTGAATAAACTGTAACGATGTTTGTTCTTATTGAAATTATTTCAATCAATGCAATAATTTTATTTAAGTGCGAGTATTAAAAATTTTAATATACTTTTATAATTGGAATTTTTTTATGTGAAATCATGGCACGATTACAAGTATTAACGTTGATAAAAAATATATATAAAACTTTTTGATAATGCTCAAACGAATAATGACTAAATGGAGCGTATATCTGAGAATCCCATAATTAATATTTACACCAAATTTCTACTATAAACTACTAACAATTATACGCAGTCACGCTATTATAAATTGTTTATACTAACCCATAATTAGATAAAAAATGAGTTATTAACATTAAGGACTAGCCAAATGACTGTAATTATTGATTACACTATAAAACTCTTCAATTAAACACAAAATTGTGTAGAAAACAATGGTTAACACCGCATAAAATTGATAAAAAACGACGTTAAAGAAGTCAACAAAGAAAACAGATTTTTTACGAGTGCGGCGCATTTGGCAACGCAATAACTGGTAAAAAAATTGTGAGGGCCTTACCTGGGTATGCAATTTGCCGGAGTTCGATCAACCCACGTAGCATAAAGTCTCATTTTATGCGGAACCGAAGCCCCCGCCCCTGAAGGAGCTTTCGGCGTTTTTTCACTCATAATGAGAAACAAAAGGAGTCGTATCTGTTCACATGAACGTTATTTCTCAGTAGAACAACCGCTCGAAAACGACGCAATAACAACACATAATATCCAATATTAATTTTCACTATTTACTTTTCTTTTTCCACTACAACCGCAACCGTATCTGATTCATAAATAAAAATCTCTAATTGACAAATGTCAACGGTAACGTCAAATGTCAAACAAATGACTCATTTACATGGAGCGATGAGTTTAGCATCGTTTGACACTATTACTTGTTCTGTGATTGACATTCTATCGTGAAGTTAGTTCCGAGCTGTTGTGGCTGTGGCGGAAAATTTGAAAAATATTCGAAATGGATAGCGATTAAAAAGTAATTAAAAAATGTAACAGATTTTAATAAGACAACAGAAATTATCAAACAATCATTGTTTTTTCTTTTTCTTCCTGCTAATACTATTAAATTCACTTTGTTGAATGGCCGCTTCCGAATAGATTCTCTTCGTTTTCTCCATTCTAATTTTATCACTGTAAAAAATATAATTGTTATAAATATCACATTAAATATTCCTGTAATGTACCTTTCAAGTCGTTGATTAATTTTAATCCTGCTCAAAAATGAATTGTCTTTTCTGATTTCCCTGAGTGCCCCCTTCCTCTCCTTCTTCACTTTATGCATTAATTTACTTATTTCAGCCTTCTCCCTAGATTGTACTTTATGTTGCTTGACATCGTAACTAAAAATTAAATCCGGTTAGAGGATTACAATTCATAATTAATTCGATTAAGGTAATCGAATAATGAATACTTACATAACTTGCACTTTAGGCTCGTACAATCTTAAAGCCTTAGGTCTCGAGGCATCGAGAACGAGATAATGCAATTTCCTCCCGTTTTTGTACCGTTTCAAATCATCTAAGAAACAATTTACGCCATCTTGCACAGTTTTGGGGTAGTTTACTAGAGGCACAAGTGCCAAGTAATTCGAGATCTTCTCAAACACTTCCACATTGCTGGGCATTTCTTTGAAGTTTTCCCAAAATTGTTGGGAAAGTTTTACGACGTTATGTAACGCTCTGATTTGGTAATCAGGCGTTATTTCGTCTTCTACTAAATCTATCGAGGATAATTTCAAAGAATCCGCTGCATCCAGGCTGCAATTCTCTACCAACACGAGAAGAGATGAAGTAGATTTGAACGGCGGTGGAATTTTTAGTAGTTTCACTCCTGTTTTAGGTACCATCATATGTAACAATCCTGCGAGGTAGTTGATAGCTGCTGGAAGGTACCTCTTCGATAGAAGTGAATACTGTAAAACAGAAGATATCAAGTGGCTGTAGATCCTTTAACTCATAGAGGAATCCTCGTACTCACCTCTAGTAGTAATGTAACGATAAATAACCCATAAGAAATGTCTCTTCTACTTCTTACTCTGCATTTTGTGAGCATAATTTCCATAAAGACGTAACAAGGCGTGACGATTTTGTGTCTAAAGTCCGAAGTGGGAAACAAAATGCTCACTAATTTGAGGAAAACGAGAATTTCCAAGTCGGGATATTTCTTCGGTTTCTTCCTGAACTCTTCGAATTTTTCTTTAATAACCTCTAATGTAGAGCTGTGGGCGTTTTCGCTGTTGATTTGAGCCAATGCGTAAATGTGCGGCGCGAGCTGTTGGAATAATTCGAAATGCTTTTTCAATACGTCCTTTTCGGGGCAATCCGAGAAGAGATCGTTTAAATATTGCAGTAAATAAGCGAATAGGAGGCCTAGTTTTCCTTTGTTTTGCTCGGATAAACTCGGATGGTTGCATTTAATCATCCTTTCTATTACGATGTTTTGGTGATTTTCATGTTCTTCGAGGATTTTCACGAGGTTTTCGTAACTATCTGGAATTGTAAATGTGAAAGGTATGTCGGGATTTTCAACTTCTTTAGTTTCAGCTTCTTTAGTTTCAACGTTTTCTCTGAATTCCCTGGACTGTTTGATTAAATCTTTGACTTCTCTGATGGCTTCTTTAGACTGTTTCGATCCAAATTTCACTTCTGTGGCCTCACTCGAATCTTTGGACTCATCTTCTACTTCTTCTTTATGATCGTATTTAGTCTCAGTTTTTTCAACGACATCCTCATCGTCACTCTCTTCTTCAGATTCTTTTAAATCTGAAAGGTTATCTTCTGAATCGGTTTCCAACTCTTCTTCTTCAGACTCTGATTGTTCTTCTTCTGCCTGTAGATATAAAATAAATAAATTACTGATAATGTTCCATTAAAATGTCATGTAACCTACCACTTGTTCCTCGTTAATCGAGTCATCGGTTGAAGGTTTAAGAGTGTTTCCATTTACTTGTGCTTCGATTTTTAAATTAGATTCTCCTTCGTTGTTGTAACTTAACATATTATCTTCATCATTGTCGTCGCTGTATACAAAATTATCGTCTAGATCATCGGCACTTCTGTGATTTATTTGGGTTGTAGTTTTGTCGTCTTTATTCATTCTCTGCAGCCTTTCTTCTTCTAGTTTTTCTAGCGTTTCTTTTTCTTCCTTTGCTAGTTCCTCTTCGGTTTTTAATCTGTCAGAAACCGTGCCTCTTTTTTCGAATTTGAGTTCTCTCATTAGTTTGTCGTAGTCGTTCACTTCGGGTTTTTTTTCAGGTTCCGGTTGGTTTGCGTTAGATTTAGTGACCAAAGGGATGAGATCTTTCCACTCGGAGTCCAGTTTTTCAGTGAGTTCTAAAGTAGCTTCTTTAGTTTTCTGTTTCTCCGCTTTACGTTTTTTGGATTCTATTATGAGTTGGTTGATCAGGTCTTTGTGGGTCATGGAGCCGTCTTTGCCAGTGTTTTTTAATAACCCTCCACCGAAATGAGCCTCCTCGACGAAATTCGTGTCCAAATTGCCGTTTTTATCATCGATATCAAACTCATCGTCGGATTTCGGATCATCGAACTTTTCAATTTCACTCAAAGTCTGGCCTTTGTGAGTTAAAACCTCATCATCGGCTAAATTAAATATGCTCTTCTTTGTGTAGGATTTCATTTTTAAAGTAGCAAATCGAGCCGTAGCCCTTTCATCATCGTCCATGCCTCTTTCGCCTATTCTCTTGTCGAGAAACTTGTTACTTTTATTTTGAACCTTGTATTCTTGTAGCAACGTAGATTTGCGTTTCTGGATCGCCTTCGCCCTCGAAATTCCCGGCAGGCCCATGTCAGTTTTCTGTTTCTTACCCAGCACTTTGAACTTTTCCTTATTCACATGGACTTCGAAGGGATTCATCTTTTTCTCCTCTTTCTTTTTGTGCACTTGATCCGAAGAAGTGCCTTTTTTGTTCTTTGTTTTAGCCATTTTGATTTATCTTTCGGTCATACAAGATTAAGTTGTAATTACAGTAATTAATTAGTTTATTTTACTGGTATAAATAATGGTAGAGACAATCATAACCTCAAAACGTCAAAAAATACGCATGGTATTGAAGTTGACAGTTTCTTCTTATGTAAATGCCATATTTTTATTGTATGGTGATCTTGTACAATGCTGTTATTCAGAAACAATGAAGTTTTTTGAATTTTTGAAATCAAATGTAGGAAATAAAGAAATATACGAAATAATAATACAAGTAGTAATAATAAATATACTACTAAATGTAATGACAATAAGTTTATTTAAATAACGATGTTTTATTAATACATTATTAACTCTACGTTTATTTAAACAAAGACATGTAATAAGCAAATAAATATTTTTACCATTAATAATAATGAATAATGATTACTCTTCCTCAAAAATCCTCTTTTAAATTCCTTACTTTAAAATGTTATATTTAAGATTAACGATGTAATTAAAGTGATGTTTGAAGATGGTCCATCCATACCTCCGAAAAGGAGCCCTGAACTTGGATTTATTCCAATTTTCCACGCAGGTAATTGCAGTTAATTGCGTAAACATTGCACCTGCATTCCCCACTCGAACAAAATCGAAAAAACAGCCGCTTCTCGATCATTTTAACGCTATGCAATATCATTGCACAAGATCCGAGATGAAGATGAGACCTCGCTAATTCCTCCGGCGATTCCTCCACGTCTCGACTCCTTGCGCCCGTTTAGTATTTCGCGATTCTCTCGACCATCTAGTCCGGCATATCTTCGGAATGTTAAGTGCAAGTGCAAGGCGAAATTAATTTTTCTTATTTATCGCCGGCCGGACGGCTCTCGTGGAGTATCCGCTCGAGTGACCTGGGGCTCTTGTGTTTCGACTCCTCGTCCACTGTATTTTTTTTATTTTAAAATTCCGTTCGAGGATCGTGAGAGTGCTCTTTTTGCCGACCTACTTTAATTTTTTGTACACTCTAAAAAATCACTGTAAAATTACATAAGTAAATACATCAATTTTAAGGTAAAATTGCAATAATTTTACTGTACTTCCAATTTCCACAGTAATATTCATGAAATTTTACAATTGATTCGGTTTTCATACACAACGTAAGTGGAACAATACATACTAATCACAAATATACAATTAATTTGTTTTAAAATAACAAAGCTATATGGATTTCTACGTAAACCATGTAAATTATTCCATTTGTTTTGGACTATATTACATAAAATATGTAAAATCACACTAAGTCTGTGATTCAGGCCAATAAGATCATCTCCTGTTGATCACAATGCATGTGACGTAACCCACGCGTACCTCCATATTCCTCCATGTTCGATTTTGTTTGTGCGTGGTCCAATTTCCAGTTTCCAGTTAGCGGTTTGGTGTTCACTATTTTAATATTTAAATAAGTAAGTATATTGAATAGTATACGTGCAAATATTGCAACGTAAAGTTTTCTTTGCGAAGATATACATTACATGTGTATTACCACAGAAATAATAAACAGGCATTATTTTATTGTAAACGTGGTAATTGTAAATTAGTTTTTAAAAGATACGTTACAGTTAGAAGTCAAGGGAGAAGTTAAGAGGGGACGATCTTCATAAGTGTATGAAAAGAGTTTTGCGATGAGACTCGTTAATTTCGGAATCAAGAACAAAGTGAACAGTCTGTAAATGTATTCGCTAAATATTTTAAAGAAGATTGTGCAGCGATTATTTATCAGGTTTGTCTTATACTCATAACTAAGCACTGGATAAATTAATAAACCAAATTAATTTTTTAGAGTGAAGATGATTTCGACAGCCAGAACGTAGTCCATAATTACCCGATTATAATTAAAAGAGGTATATGTTTATTATATGTATATGTATAATATTGTATGTTTATCAATATTTTATTATTTCAGGAGAAGAATATTTGGGGTTTTTTGAAAAAATACAATTGTGGTTTTTGCATTATTCTTCATTTTAAACATTAAATATCCTAAAGAAGCCAAGCTTAACAAAAAAAAGTTATTACGTTTATGACGAAATTTAGAGAAATATGTAGAGAGTGAATATGTAGTACATATGTACCTACCTATACCAAGTTTTTGTTCCAATGTTCCTTATACGTTTATTTTTGTTCAATAAATTTGTATTTTACATAATGTATTTTATTTCATTAAGGCAAGGTACACTTCATTTAATAATTTTTTACATTTATACTTTTACAACCATTGAATCATTTCATTCAATTTTTTTAACCAATCTATCTTCTGTTTTAGATCGCAGAAATTGGGATATACTCGTAAACTTGCAGTTTGTAAACTTAATCCTACTTTTTCAACCATTTGTTAATTTCAGACTATTTTTGGGAAATTCAGCTTTTGAGCTTTTGGGAAATTACATATTCGGTTTTTCAATTCAGATGTAAATTTAAACTCCATATGTAAACGAAGTTTCACGTGCTCTGTACTATTACACCTCGTATGTATTCAGAATTTACATCTCACTGGCAAATTAACGTATGAATTGTAATTTTACATTACATATGTAATTCAGCTTTTACATTAAAAATGTGACTTTCCACTCCGTATGTATTTTTCAACATTAACTGTAAAATTACCTGAAAGTTGCTGGCATTAAAGATGCCCTGAACTTTCAGGTAAAATTACACAAAAATTTTTTAGAGTGTACTCTAAATTAATGGAAGTTGGATGACGGGATGCATGCGTAAAATGTAAGCGGTATACACTCACAAAATTTAATGTATTTTTTTATAGCGGGACGGTTGTAGGTACTTCTAGATTAACATTCTAGATAAATTTTAGTTGCTTGGTTTTATAAATTTTTGCGCAAAGTTGTTTACGCCGCTGAGTTAGTACCCGGGTACTTACATTTATAACCACTCCTGCTCTCTTAAATCTAGATCGAACGTTTCGATATACTACATGTCTATCGCATACATAAGTACTCTGGACCCGATCTAGGTACTTCAAAACATGGAATAAAATGGAAATCCGCGCTAACGTTTAGTCAGGTGGGCGATCGCATTGCATATAATTTAATAATGATGTTTATTGCCTGGTAAACGCGAGAGAAATTTTTAGAATGCGAAATCGCCATCACCATCTATTTGTACCATTAAATCTATACAGTAGCGCTAATTTAATTGTGTTAATTGCAATTGCAGGAGCGAATCGAGCAGCGGAGTGAAGAGCTCCTGGAATCACGTAGGTGGAAGAAATTCGTGGGCATTTTCCGGTGCTCACGGCAGATTTATCGATGATGGTGAGTATTGACATGCCACAACCCGTTTATTTAGAAATCCGGGCAATTTCCGATTAGTTTAGAAATTTTAATCGCGCGTCTAAACCCACAAAAATTGTTATGTATTTAAATTTTATTATGCGCCTATTGCAACAGTAGAATTAACACCAGAGCCCAATAAATAAAAAACCAGATAAGCGAGTAATTCATCAAGACAATGACGTTAATTACATATCTTGCAGAGATTACCATCCGAAAAAAATCGTACCAAATCTCTGTTAAATCGGACCGAAATCCCTACTCTTGCACGTATTTAATTTATGTACATACTTTTCAACACATATCTACCAAACGGTAGTACCCATAAGAATACTATGCAACAAAAATGTATTAGCAACGCTCACGTTACCGCGTTTCGAGCGTTTCAACTCAACACGACTGGCTTTTATTGTATTCGGGCCAGAAACGTGCCTACTTTTGCTCGCTTTTCGAATGACCATTTGACTTGACAAATTTATCAAGCCAAAACGTGTCGATCGCGATCGGTTCCACTTTGAGCGGTCAGAAGGGAAGTTTACGCGGGTGCTCGAGAGGGTGCGGATGCCAAAATGACCTGGGATGAGATTCTTGTGGCGTGAAAGTTACCATTCAGTGTGCGAAGAAGTTTCATTCGGATGGTTGTTGACAAATTTTAAGGCATATAGTAGGTAAGTAATTTTTTAAATATCATTTTTCTATGCAATTTATCTATGCACATATTCGATTCAACAAGGATCATAATTATTTATAAAAATGAGTGTGACCACCCACAATAGTTAGATGGTTAATTAGGCGTTTTGTTATTATAAACATAATACATTTTCATTACAAAATATCGCTTGTATGCAACGCTCGCACAAATGCAACAACAGATGAAAACGTGATAACTGCGCTTTTAAATTTTCAAGTTTGTGTCTTTGAAACAAAATTTTGGGGGTTACAGGTAAGTGAAATACCCGATTTTATAATCTCTAAATTTGTGTTGAAAACAAGGAAAGTGTAATTCATTTGCAATTAATTTTCTTGCGATATTCTAACGGTTATCGAAATGCACGCGTTTAATTGTTTAACAAAATAACGTAAGTGTGTATAAATAAATGGAGTTAATTTAAAAACCATCGGCAATGTCAGTAAAAGGTTAAATAAATCGTTTTATTTCATTGCTAATACATTACGTATGCAATTGAAACTGTTATTGCTATTTTATTATACATACGATTCCCCTATTGATTTGTCCTTAATGAAAAAGGCATTGAAGATACAATTAAAAACTTGATGGCATTTTATGATTCTTCAAAATACAATGAAAATAAATTAACAATTCATATTTAGATGCGCCTAGATGGCGATGTTTCCTTAAAAGTAACGACCGGCTCAACTTCATTTTTGTGAAATTTCAACTTTCAACTGGCATATTTTACAACTAAATTATTCCAGTTTTTGGTTGACTATAAGGTGTAAAGAAAGAAACGCCTACCTGACAAAAGTCAAAGTTCAATACTAAGAATAAGCAGTACAAAGAAGAACTACCGTTTGCACAATCTCCATCCTTTCCTCATCACCTGCTTTATTTTCTGCTGATTGTGCTAACTCGAAAGTTAAATTATAACAAGAACTAAGTAAAAATAGGCACAACCTTGATGCATTAATTCGCGATTTTCACATATTTTTACACAAAACTCTTACGCAATATTGTAAAAAATTTGTAACAGTTAAAACGATAATGAGCTTTAAATATTCATTATTAATGTAGTATTATTATTTACTCTGCAACATCTGTAAATAAATGAGTAACAGCCGACAAACTTGTGACTACACATTCGAGCGAATTTGTTTATAATAGGACATTACATTAAAATTTAATATTTAGTCAAACATCCGATGAGGAAATATGATATTTGTCATACGGTAACTTTTATCCTTGTTAAATTCCACGGATATGTCTAGTAAAATGTCGTGTAAAAGCGTGTATTCGTTTTATATTAACGTTAGCATTCTTGTATTTCAGGAAATTTCGTTAGCAATGGAACGTGTAGATTCGACAAGACATGGGAAAGGGAGCCAGTAAATTGAAGAAAAAGTCTAGTTTACAGAGTAGGTATAGAAACGAATAATTTAGAAACCGTTCCTTTTAAAAAACCAAGGCTGAAACCCTGATATTGAGTTGATGTATTATGATGTATTGTATTCGATTCAAAAAATATGTATTCGACTACGTCGAAATCCATTTGCAATTCGATATGCTAATTTAATGTTCTCGATCAAAGTTCGAATTTCATTAAGGAAGTTACTGTTACATAAGCCGAAAATTACCACAGAATTCGAATGTATAAACCTATATTTATCTCATTAATAAAAATACTAAATTCGTAGGATTATTTTTCTACTTTTCACAACTAAAATCACTGGAATGAATTCTTCTCAAACGCATATCGTTAGCGCAAACAACGTTATCTTATCGATATCGTTTTCATAATATTTATTCTTTACCTATATATATTTCATATTTTTATCTACCCATTATGCTCTTTGACGTATGTTACCTGCCTATATACGAATATTAAACTCGAAAATGTGATTGATAAGCAAAAATTAATCATACTAAGTTTCATTGCGGTATCTCCTTTACAGCATTCCTTTGTAGCCTCCTATTAAATGTCACAAATTAGTAGAAATAATGGAATTTACAATTCTTCATGAGCCAATACAATTTTATACCAATTTACTTATTTTAATAACTTTTAAATAACTTTTTAAAGAGCTCTTTAATAACCACTCGACCAAAACTCAACGTCCCACAAAACTGCTATAATTGTCGAGTACTCACTTCATACTATCTACATTATATCGAACTAGATAAATTTATATCCAAACGTTATTCACATCACCATTGCGCCGTATTCTACCTATCGTATGCGTAAACAAATTTGAATAACACATTTTATAAATACGATATTTATATTATAAGTCGAGTGCATTGTATAACACGCCTAGCGAACTGAATTTCGTAGAATTATAGTACCACTTGAGCGTACGTGGGCTAAAATATTTCGTACTTATGAAATGAACGAGGTAATGGTGCTTACCTGTGATTAATAATGTTGAAATCTACGTTAATATGTGAGTAAAATAATAAATAAACAACTATAATACCAATCTAGTGCTGCTTAATTTAGGCTTTCCACAATGCCTGAAGCTCCTCTCTAGATCTTTTCGTATTTGTTTGAAGGTCTTTCTTGGAGCAAATTCGGCTCTTTGCCGCTGCGCTCGAGCAAGCACCAGTCGAAGAGGGAACATCTGCCGCTACCGCCGCCTCCGAAGAAGCACAAGGATGTGGCCGTGTGGCTGCGCGAGCTCGAGCTGGAGGTGTACCTGCCGCTGTTCGCGAAGTACCCGGGCGTCGAGGATTTGCTGGAGCTCTCTGAGCAGGATATCAAGGAGCTGGGTGTGAGGAAGTCGTCGCATCGGGCGAGGATCATTTCTAGTCTGACTTGTTTGAGGGCTAAATATCACGGTGAGCGCGGCATTTGTGTTTTTTATTCGTGTAATAACGAGCGGGATTGTTGCAGAAAATGGTGTCAAGAAAATTCCCGTGCGACACAGCATGGCGGTGGATAGCAGAAATAAAATCACCAGGGAAGATACCATGTAAGTACTGATTTGGATTAAATGCTAGAAATCGATTCCTTCGGAATACGTTCAATTATTCAATTAATTAGTGCCTATTGTAGAGCTCGACGCGTTGAAATTTTGCCTATTATATTAATCCAGTTAGCGTAATTAAAGGCGTGAAAATAGTTGGAAAAAAGTAAAACCCGACTGCCGATCACTTAATAAATCAACTTCCGCTATTCCTTATAATTAAAAACAACCTTGCCTGACTATTAGCAGTAAATTCTGCAAAGTCAATTAAGCATATAATTAAGGAAGATCGGGTATATAAATTTCTGCATCCTTCTAGTTATTAGAGTGCTTACAGACTATAGTCGATTAAAGAGGCAGCGCCATTGGCGTAGACGGGAGGGAAAGGACATAGAAAACTGCTTTCGTAAATTCGAATGGTGTGTGTAGAGAATGAATACACCACAATATCTCGCTTTTATCTCCATAGAATTAATTGCTGCGATACAATCCGTTGTAACTCATAAAATACGCGAGCGAAGGTTAACCCCTATAACCTTCTCACTTGCAGTGGAATTGTCGCTTTAGGCTAGGTGGGTACCTATTCGAATGTCTTGTGTTGTATTTATAGGAATTGAATAATATTGCATCTCTTATGCATATACCGAAGGAGACTGAATATAGAAAGAGAATTGAACTTGAAATAGTGAATATAAATTTTTTATCCATATTCATTGTGCCAATTTTAAGAGCGTTATTGTTGCAAATTAAATTGTTAAAAGATTTAACTTAAAAAAAACTTATTAGGTATATGTAATATTCAACCCCTTAAGAGATACTTTTATAAATATTTTCGACTCGATTATCGACAGTACGGTCCTGTGGTTCACATACTCGAACCATCAAAGAGTGCCGATACCTACTATGTGGTCGAAGCCCAAGAACGGAATTATACCTTTACATATGCAAGAAATGTACTTACATAAGTATTATAGTCTAAACACTAAAGAATTCGAAGAATCTACCGGCCAACCGTACGAAAGAGATATAAGCCATAAAATAATAATTTTCAATCAAACGTTGCGCTCTAAATTCGAGCACAACGGTTTATGTGAATACAACGCTGCTCTTGATAATGGCAAAATCGACTTGCGTAGTCGAAAAGCTCTACCTACCCCGCGAAAATCAATAATCGAGGGGTTAGGGTTTAAGCACATAGTGGGGGTGTGTCAAATCGAGCCCGCGGACTCGGTGTTTCTACGACCCGTGTCACTGCTTTTTTGAGCAACGAAACGAAATTAAAAAAAAAGAGATCTAATTAAATAGTACAATGCTACCACTGCCTGCCACAGTTCTTTCGTGTTCAGTGCTTTCGCTCGACACCAGCCTAGTTAGTGCCGTAGGGATTCGTTCCGTTTTTTCGTAATTGATTAATAGACTGGTCTATTATTATAAAGAAAAATTCAACATCTGCCTGTGTGAACGTAGAGCCGTCATGCAGTTCGATGGGATCGTTTTAATGATTTGTCATAGTGAAAATGCTCGATATTATCAGTGATATGTAAATGTGGTGAGTCGAAAAATTCCTTTTTTTTTATGAATCGTGTAGTAGGGGTTGTACTAGATGTAGTAAAATGCTTTCATTGATTAAATTTCGCAAGTGCTTAATTTGATTCAATCAAACAAATTTTATACTTATTTCGTTTTATTACAGAACTGACCTGAGAATAGTGAGCGAAGCCGTTCAGAGTAAAAGTTTGAACAACCTCATAATGGTGAGTTAATTTAATAGTTTAAATATTTTCTTTGGGCGCCCAAACAGTCAATATTAAAGTTTGCGTTTCTCTCGCACGTAAAAATCAAACTAATAGGGCGCAAGTAAAAATTGTCTAATGCAAAAACAAATTCAACGACCACGGTGAGCAAATAAATATTTGTAGCTGTAACTAGCTATAACCGATCCAACGGTAGGAGCTACCCAATACACCTAACGAAATAAAAATAACTTAATTTTTATTAGCGTGGCAAATTTGTTGAACTTACCCAATGAGAGCCGTAATCACCTGACCATACAGCTGGGCCAAAACTGCGTGCTGGATTCATGCTGGCTCCTGTATAAGCAGCCTGAAATAAACAAAAAATCCGATTCGTTACGCATCTGCTATTATAGTAATCGATTGTTTGTTTTTTAATTAGTAAGCATTTGATATTCAATTGTGTCAAATTAAATTGTCTACCAACTAGATTAGATAAATGCGGATTACTTACGCAAGAAATGTTGAGAGAAACGACGACTAATCCAATTTTCAACGGTACCGAATCGGATTTATGCGAATTCCTTTTGTCCCAACTCGACGCGTTTGCTATCACCAAAATAATCGTTAAAATTATTTCTATACCTAACGCCTACGATAAAAAAATACTTCGAAATTAAGTTAATACAGTTGGTAAACGTGTAACATCACCTCAACATCAGTAATCCCTTTTCCTGGGGAATTGACACAAACGCCTCTACCATCAGTCAAATTAAACGCCTCTGCTGGAGTCAACAGCTACAAATTCATCACCATAAACAACAATGTTTTTGGTTATATTACTAGCTTACTCTGTGGATTCCCGTGCCGCAAAGACACCCCACGATTTGACTAACAGTAAACATTAACGTTTGTTTGAAATCGATTTCGTCTAGAATATACGCCGAAAGGGTGACGGCTGGGTTTACATAAGCGCCAGATACATGCCCCAACATCTCGAATGAAAAACGAGCTCGATAAAAAATAAATCTCGGTGAATTTATTTAGAAATGAGTACCTGAATTACGACTGTAACCGCAAGTCCGGCTGCCAAGCTCGGATGAATGCTCGGTATATCATCCTGCACGTACATCGTGCAAGCCGTGCATGACAGGAAAAGCAAAACGGCCGTACCGAATAACTCCGATAGGCAGGAAATTATTAAATTTTCCACCCGTATTTTCCTTTCGCCGTTATCCGATATCACTATAAAAATTTAATATTTTTTACAATTTAGGAAAATAAATTAAGTAGTAGGTAGAGCTTACTTGTAGCACACATAAATACAGTTAGTAAAACATTCATTTAGGAAGGTCTTTATACGTGAAATTCTTATCTAGAAGAGAATATTAATAATAATTTAATCCTTCGGTATATAAACCTAGTAATTTCGTTATAAATTTAAATAAAGTTAACGCGGACTTACACCCACAAATTATCCTATTGTTATTTTACAACGCGTAATAATTCATTTAAATATTACATTTTAAAGAGTAAATAAACTATTAAAAACCTCAAGATTAACTCGAGTAGGTACCAATATATCGATCGTGTTCCAGGAACCAACAGCAGATCCAAATTTGAACGCGTCCGAGCTGCGCAAGGCGCTCGAATGGGAGCTGTCGCTGGACAGCCGAGACCTACGCAGCCACGCCTGGTACCACGGCGCCATACCGCGCGTCCGCGCCGAGGAAATCGTCCGGGAGGAGGGCGAGTTCCTCATCAGGGACTGCACGTCGCAGCCGGGCAACTACGTGCTGAGCTGCCGCACCAAGACCCATCCTCTGCACTTCGTCATCAACAAAATCGTCCTGCAACCGGACACGGTGTACGAGCGCGTGCAGTACCAATTCGAAGACGAGGCCTTCGACACCGTTCCCGATTTGATCACGTTCTACGTCGGCTCGGGGAAGCCCGTCACCGTGGCGTCCGGCGCTCGGATACAGAGCCCCCGGAACCGGATGTACCCGCTGTCTTTCTACGCTACCAAATACCCCACGCCGTTGCCGCAGAGCAGGCTCACGTCGCCGGCCACGACGCCCATAGGACACCAATACAGACATCCTCTGCAACCCCACAGGTCCAATAACTCCCCGACCAGACCGTCGAGAGACGGAGCCCCCAGGTTGCCGTCGAAGAAACAAAGATCGCAATCGTTAACACCATCAGAGGTATACTAATACAGCACCTTCCATCTACCGGGATATTTCTACTTGAACTGCATTGTTTCAGGTCAACAGGATCTCCCAAGAGAAGTGCAACAGCGCCGACGGCGTGATCCAATCGCCTCTGATGACCAGATCGGCCGGCGCCGATACCATCAACGCCTCGTTGCGGTTCACCTCGCACTCGCTGCCGCGCAATCCGCACAACAAGCTCTCCATATCGTGCAGCTCCAGCACGTTGGGGCGCGACACGAGGAGCCGGCTCGGCGGAGACGCCGGCTTCGATTCCGCGCTGTCGGAGTCGCCGCCGCCGAAGCCCGCCCGCCTGCCGAGCGCCGCGAAGCCGGACGCGGAGGCGGCCGAAGGGCGGTACAGCCTGGGCAGCCTGCAGCGCGTCACGTCGTACCACGCGTCCGGCTCGGATTCGGGCAACGGTTCCGGCGATTCGGCGCTCAGTTCGGCCACCGATCCGCCGGACGTGCCCAGCAAGACCGGCGGCGTGGTGATAAAGAACCCGCGCTACAACATGAGCGCCTCCGAGTCGTCGACGACGCTCAAGAACCTGGACATCGATTGGGCGACGGCCGAGGAGAAGCTGTCGCAGATGGAGGTGGTGCGGTGCGAGCCGGGCTCGCGCTTCGATTTGGAGAACTTCCAAACGTTGTTGTTGCCGGTCAACGAGAACAAGCCGCTGGACGGGCAGGCGCTGCGTAGGATCAAAATGACTCTGTTCGAATCGGGGCCGAGGGTGCTGGCCAATCACCTGACCAGAACTGATTTAGATTTAATTTTCGGTGAGAACGCGAGTGAGGATAGTGTCACGTCTAAGTTGACTGCGGGACTTAATTTGTGTGTTTTGCCGCACGGTAGGCAGTTTAGACTGGATCTTATCGAAAGGTAAGCACTGAAAATTGGCTCAATTCAAACTTGCTTGTATAATGTATCTAGTCCAAAATTGAATCTTGTTCTAATGAAATTATTAACAGCAATCACGAATTAATCATAACCAGCCCAATCTCATAAATCAAGTTAATAATCTGATTTATTTGGTGTGATTTGTAAGATTTTATTAGGTTTATAAAGCAGTTCTAATTTGATCTCATGATTTTTGACTACAAGTATAATAACACGTTAATAACAAATCCTGTTGATGAATAAATCACAGGTTAGCTAACAACACAGTTTTACGAGCAAAATTCATTAATTTCGTCGTAAAGATTAGCGATTAGCTACCCGCTAATTTAATCTCTAGCGTATTAGTAACCTGTTTCGCATTTAGGCATATAAATTCTCGAGGATTTATGGCGTATAACCGCCATTAGGCTTGTTCAATCCCATTTTTACGAGAACTACTTATTAAATCGGAGTAGACGTCCAATATCATGCTATAAAAAGTCATTAAGCTTGTTCATTTACAAATTCAACGCTTAATATTAACGACGCCAACGTTTAAGTACAAGATTTTATTATTCATCAATAAGAATTTCACAGGGGAGTTATTGCTTGTAATTAAAACTTTATGCTCTTGTTGCGAACAGCGTGTAAGCACGATGCTTCAATTAATTGGAGTGTTTTGTTCTTGTTCCAGAACTGAATGTATAAAATTATTAGTGGCTGTTACAATACTAACATGCGCTGACGAATCGGAGCGAACGGACATTTTAAATAAATGGATCGAAATAGCGATCGACACCAAAACAGCGCTCGGAAATCTGTTCGGATTCTGCGGCATCATGCTCGGATTATGTTTACCACAGGTAAATATCTCGCACTGATTCCAGTGTAACAAATTTTGTGATAATGGCGTTTATAGGTGGAAAGATTGGACACGACATGGCACATGTTGCGGCAGAAATACACGGATTCCGCCTTCAATTTCGAAGCGAAACTCCGTCCGACTTTGAAGAACATGAACAGCTGCTCGAATCCCCAAGCCCCCAACACCACCATTCCCCATCTACTGCCGTTAATTCTGCTCTTAGAGCGGAACATGGTGGACTTTTTGAATCCCAACGAACAGGACCTGCTGTCGCAAATGACCCTGGGATTCTGGGAGTGGAACACGCAGGATTTCGGCATCACGATACTCTCGAATCACTTGGACACCGCCAGAAAATATTTGGGTAAGTTGATTAATTCGATTTGATATACTCCAATAAATGTAGCTTGGCTTGAGAATTGGTACTTATTGCATAAAAGATGGAGGAAGTTTAAGAAAGACGGAGCCTCTCCTCTCTTGATACTAATATTGGTACAATGTTGATACAGTTAAAACACATTTAACTATTCCAGCCAAGCTACACTTGCTGAGGTATAATTGAACCCATAATAATCGTGATTCTGTTCCAGAACTATCCCCGACATATCAGAGGAACGCCGAAATCGTGCTGGGGGACGCGCGAACGGACGAATTAACATTAGACATGTTTCGAACAGAGTTTCATTTAAAATTCTTGTGGGGGAGCAAAGGTTCGTGCGCGGACCCGGCCGAGAGGCATTCGAAATTCGAGCAAGTCCTGACCGTGCTGGCCGAAAAATACTGCCGGGCGAGGAGTGATAGTGAAGTGTAATTGGCGAATGTGATGGATCAGATTGGCGAAAACAGGTCTCATCAACGCGGATTCGTTCCGGTACGAGTACCGGACCGGTTCGAAATTTAGTGCGCTTGCGTAGGATCGTTTTCAGTTCGGGAATTTTGTCAAAACGAACCTAGAGAAATACTGTTAGACTGAGAGATATAATCGATAGATAATGTAGACTAAAATATTCACTATTTAATGGTAAAAGCGTTCGTGCCAAATATATAAATAATTAACTAAAATTATAAGGAAAAAACCACATATATTTATACAGTTTTATAAGTCTTGCAGTATTTTGAGGTAGAAGTTTATTCGATGTATTTATTAAGAACTTTATCTGACCAATTGATCGTCTTTTGAAGCAACGAAATGAATCATTCTAATAGCAAACTGATTCGATAATTAGATAATTGATGAGACTGCGCTCAATTTGCTCAATAATGTCTCAAAATTGAGATTGAAATTACAAAATAGGGGATTTTTTACCTACTTAATAATCAATTTGTATACTAATATACCACTTACGAATGTATAAAAACTCTTCTATTTTCGATTCAATTAAATCACTTACTGGTTTGTTTGAATCGTTATACATATCAAAAAATGTAATTAATGATAATAACCAAATCGCTTGGTTTATGATTTTAATAGAAAAAAAATAGCGTAAAAAATTATAAGCTTTAAGTAGACTTTTAGAATTTTTATAAAAGGGTGCTCATTTATTATTAATATTAGGAACAATTTGGTCTAATTGCAGAATTTTTAAATTGTTTAATAGTCTCATAAATGACAATACAAAAGAAGACTGGTAATTTCTGTTGCAATAAAAATGTCATTCTTGTGCAGTTTTTAAACGCTACAAACATATTCGAAGTGAGCTTATATAATATTTATTAGCTGTTATTTACACAATATTTTTTCTTGTTATATATTTCATCCAATTTGTACCTACAATTATCCCAATGAATCTAAATTTACTTGTAACATACAATTTTATGGAGGTTTAATCACAGGTTTATTTTAATATTTAGTGTCTTCCAACTTTATATTGTGTCCACAAACTGCAATGCCATTGATGTTTTTTATTTATTTTGCTGTGATTAGCTAACAAACAGGCCTAAACTATTGTTATTTAGCTTTCTTATATTGTTTTCAATTAGTAGATCCAAACCTCGTTCCTATAAGTTATACAGTTAAGTGCAAATTTGTATGCAATATGGTCTATGGGTGCAACAAAGACAACTTTCATTAGTTTCGTATAAAGGAAGAAGAGTGATATAGTGATAAGTGCAACTTTCTCACTCTAACCACTGTTATTTTAATAATCTTTCTTTGTTCAACTCATAGAATTGACCATATTGCAAACAAATTAGCACTTACCAATATATCAAACTATGTTGCTGTGAATTATCGAGTACCACGGACTATATACAATAAAAAATCAAAAAATTTTTGGTTAACCCTGTATATATAACTCAATATTTTGTCACCGATTTATTTTATCTCGCAGTTCCTTTTTATTACTCACGAATGACAAATATTGATTATGAAATTGTACGAGTATAAAATATTTAATTGTGTGTTAATATAAAATTATAGTTTCAATATATTTATTAACGGATCTATTACGAGTAGCGAATAGAAGAATCCTATTGTAAACAAAAAATATGTATAGCAAAACTTCTGTGTAGTTCACATGTTATAAATTATAAAATAAATAAAAGAATACATACATGATAAACATAAGTTCTTTCTTTTTAAGCATTTATTGTAGAGGGCAAAAGAAAATTGAAGAAGACGGTTAAATAAATAAAAATATAATTACCTAATTCGGTTTATTCTCTAACAAGGCTTGCCTAACGTGTTTTGGTAATTTAATTCTCTTTCGTTTCTTCTTATCCTGTTCTGGTTGTCCCTCTTTTTTGTTAATAGGATTATTCGTGACGGTTTTTTTCTTTTTCTTCTTACACGATAAGGGATTCGGACCTTTAATCTTCTTCTTTTTCTTCATTTTTTCCTCTTCTAAGCCCTGCTTCGATTTCAACTCTTCCAAGGCTTTGGTTTCCGAAGCTCCTAAGGCGCTGAGCCTATCCATCGAAGCCTTACTAGACGCCTCGGATGGTTTCTCGAGCACCGGTGTTTTCATATGTAAATACAGTAAAGGTACACCCACTATTTCCCGGGCCTTCTCTTGAAGATCTCTATCTTGCGTTGCCAAAATGTAGTGATTCTCATTGGACTTTCCTAGCATGTTTAAAAAGCATTTCGAACCGGCTATGGGTTTACCTTCGTGGCCGCATTTATGCACAGCGTATTGCTTTAGAATTAACAAAGCTCCGTGCAATTTCGGACCCAAGTTTTCCATTTCTATGATGGCGCATTGCGTGGTTATTAACTTTATTTCTCCTTGTAAGTATCTCGGAACGTTATCGGCTATGTTAACTTTATTCTGAAATGGGATGAAAGGAATTTAAGAGAGTTTGGAGCACATGCTAGTTACTTACGTTAAGAGCGCAATAACAAAAAGTTCCATCGACTAGAATTTGATAGGGCTGTCTGAATCCGAAATTGTTGATGAAGAATCGAAGGTTTTTGTTAACTTTCTTGTAACGTTTTACCTTCATTGCGATTGAATTGTTAGTAAATATTCAAATTAAAATTATTGAAAACATAAGTTATAACCTTAAATTCTTTAAAAGTTTACAATCTTCTTTTTTAGTTCTTCAAGAAACGATGTTTATGAATCCATTACTCTTCAGTTATTCAGTAACCATTTATACTCTTAGCTCGAAGATAAAATATGCATAAATAGGTACATACATAATATAACTTTCTTTGTCTATATTCATACTATTATTATTATACATATTTATAATAGAACTTAATAATAGATAATTTACTATAATTGATTTAATTTAAAAACTTGAACAAGGAATTGAACAAGGAATTAAACAAGAAATTGAACAAGGATTAAATAAGGAATTGTACAAGAAGTTGAACAAATAATTGAGGAATGAATTTAAATAAGTATTTAAAACACAAGTGCTAATAATGCATTTCTCTAGGAATAATGTCCATGAAACTAGTAAATAAAATAATTATACCTACTTAGTATATCTTAAAGTTTTTCTAATAAACGCGCATTTTTTAATACTTATCAGTCGTGTAAAATGCATAATTCGGCTAATTATGAAAATAGGTAAAAAAATTTCCCATATATTATCATTTTCACGAATGGTTTTTCGCAAAGTATAGTTAAATCGTCACCATGAGAACGTTAGTTGCTTGTGCAATATTTTCAGTTTTAATTTGTCAAGGTAATATCTAAATATACCTATATTGTTTATTATTTTTAAAGTTTTTCTTTAATATATGCACGAAGAAATTATTTTATAAAATTATTTCAACCCAATAAATATTTGTAATTTACGGAAGAAAATGAAAATGAAAAAGAAAGTGAATTAAAAACTGAAAAAAAAACTTCTTTCTCCCTACCTACTCCTCTTTGCACTAAATCCTTTTTTTCTATTATATCTGCGATCAATCAGTCAATAATTGCTGGTATTATACATTTATTTACTTAAATTTTCCCAGCCTGGTCAGCTTTTAATTGTTTCGACTGCACGGGCGGCCCGGACACGAACTGTGGATATATCTTAAGCAGGGACATGGTAGATACCTGCTCAACCCAATGTTACGAGGCCTACATATTGTACCAAAGTGAGTACTGCTTCCTTGTAATGATAGATTTACACATAACACATTTATAAGTGATAATAATTCATTATTCTGATAATAATAATAGGACCAATACATATAAAAATGATAAAAAATCTCAAAGAATTGAATCTTTTGACCAAACATGCAATTATAGATGGGGCTCTTCCCTTGGTGCAACGAAGGTGCTGGACAAAGCCTAAGGGTACGACTGCTACAAATTTCTGTCAATGGTTCAACAGTTCACAGATAGCCCAAAATTCAAACGCCAAGTTGATTACCTGCTCCACGTGCAATTCTGATAGATGCAACGGTAACAAGAATCTGGTAACAAGAACGACAGTTAAACCTATACCAGGCGGTTGCAGTAAATAATTTTTGTGCATGCATTATTATATGATAAATATAACGAAATATGATGAGATTTTTTTGTTTATTCCTACCCATTCGAAGGTTTTGTGTAGAATTGCAACAAATTTAATGGAAAGTACAACCAATAAAGACTTTTATACAACAATATTAATAATTTTAGAACTATAGTAATCTCTATCTACAGTAAATTTTAAACCGGTATTACTGCAAATTCCAACATCCTTTATCAACGTATAATCTTTTGAAATTTAATCTTCACTCTTTAATAATTATTATCAACAAGTCGAGACAGAAATAAAATTAGAATCGCTGATGCTGCTCGATGGATATTGGATTTATTACAATTGTTAAGCCAGGTATACAAACGCGACTTAATTTAAAATACCATTTATTTAAATCGATTACTCGAACACTTCTTAAATCGACACTTAATATTATTTAATTACATTAATTGATATTTGGTCCTTTGTGAATCGTAACAAGATGTCCTTTGAATGATAATGCAAACATTGAAAGAATCTAGAGTATCGAGAGAAGAAGTATTTAGAGTCTCTTTTCGGATTTAATACTACTAGGTATATCGTTAAAATATTGTAAATGCTTTTATAAATAATAAATAAAACATTGTAAGTGTATTCAAGGCCTTAATGTATAAATTTCTTTCCTGCATATTTTGAAACGTATCCAATCTATCCCCATATTTTCCCACCTCTTTTAAGCATACGTAAATATTTTAAAGTGGTAAGCAAGGATTCATTACCATTCATCAGAATATCCTTGAGAAAAGCCATCAGAAAAAATATCAGCTATTATGGGTAAGTTTTTTAAAAATAAGTTTTTTAATTGATAACATAATTTATTCACATCTTTTATTTCAGATTGAAAAAATAATACATTGCCCTCTGGGTCTCTCAAAAGTTTCAAGCTACAATTTTATGTTACAAGTGAATTTCTTTCATTTACATTTTGAAACATTCCCAATCTATCCCAACACTATAACACCTCTTTTTAATCATACGTAAATATTAAAGTGGAAAGCAAGGATTCCTTACATTCGTTAGAATATTCGTCAGACTGTCCTTCAGAATATCCATGAGGAAAAAAACATGAACTATTATGGGTAAGTTTTATGAAAATTAATTTTGTTTTTGATACAATAACTTATTTCCGTTTTTTTTAGATCGAGTAAATAATACACTCTCGGTCCTCTGGAAGAGCGTGCAAAAGTAGGTACAATGTTTTTAATTTATTTTATTAAAACTTATGTATTTTTTACTTTAATATAGTTTAGAATATAGTTTAATATTAGTTTATTAGTCTAATAGTTTAATCTAATGTATTTTCTATTTTAATATTAATATTTTTTATATTAATTTAATTTTATATTTTTTACAATAAATAAATGTATGTTGTAAATAAATTATTTATAAACAATTTCCTATTTTTTTAATGACTTACCTTGTCAAATTTTTATCTTGAAACCTTTGAAATGCTAATTTATAAATAACCGAAAACGTTATCTCCATTTTATAACTTAATGGACAAATTAAATTCCCTTAGGACACTTTAGAACAAAAAAAACGAATAAAATGACGAAGGTTTTATTATGCGTTCCAAATTAACTAACCATTTTCCAATTTATCCTATCAGTTTTATTATCAGAATAAATAAACGAGCTTTTTATTAGAACATTACTTATGTCAACAGTCATGTTTTCATGTCAATTAATCAAACAAATCGCAGTAATTACTAATATCTTGGTAAATTTGAAATATCTCTACCTCGCCAAATGTAGCATGGCAGTTGAAAATTGGGACGGAAAGATGGACAAAGTTAAAAAAAGACTGAGTTTCTCATTACCTAAAAACTGCTTTGGTACAAGAATTGGTACTTGTTATCTTACCTCCTCGATTGATCAAAATGAATTAAGCTCTTCTCAATAAACTTCCTCGTTATTCCAACTGTCAAGCTACATTTGATGAGGTATAAATAAAATTAAACATAGTAAAATTCATTACAATCGTTAAGTAGATAGATCAAAGATAATCAAAGTTTATTACCGGTAGCTCGCTTTCAGCATTAAGGTCCTTCCTTTGAAGAAGATGGCATTTTCTGCTTTAAGGAAACTATGGAACCCTTATTCCCACGATTGCTTGATCTGCGCGTTAAAACCCGCCATTTATTTCAGCCTGGGCATGATCTACATAGTTCTGCCGGAGTGTCCGCACACGAAATCAACGTTGAACTCGAATTTCAAGAAATCCGGGCTGGCCCGAACCATTAACTTCATCTACTTGTCGATTTTTCTAATCGGAATGTCGACATCGGTGATTCAAATGATTAAAAATTCATCCATTGTGAACGTCTTGAAGCAAGGAATCGTGCTGTCAAAGTTGCTAAACAGCGTTTGTTTCACGCTATTTATTCGAATCAGGCAGCCGGTGATGATCAAACAGGCTCTGCGTTTATGTAAATTACTAGAGAATAGAGGTAAATTTGGAATCGAGACAATTTTAAGCCCGGAAAACTCCAAGTACCACCAGAGGAACAGTTTAATTATTGCTATAGCTACTGTTGTGCTGGTGTTTCTTTTTTTTGTACCGAGAATATGGAATTGTAATGAAGTATCTGATGGGATAATTTTATTCACAATGAGCGTAAATTACGTTGCTCTTGGATGTCTCGGCTTGTACGTGAACGGAATCCTGGATGTATACAGATACATGTTCATCAATTTCTTCAAACTCGTCGAATCGACGATGGACGAGAAAAAATCCGATCTTCATGTAAAATTGAATTATCTTATAAAATACTACTTGAAATTGATCGGCGTTCACAAAAATCACGTACTGTCTATTGGAAATATTCTGTTTTACGTTGAATTGTTCCTGTGCGTTTGCATGGTGTCCGTTTTTACGTATTTGTACTACAATTTTTGCATCGAGTACAAAGTCTACTTTGACCATGTACTCGTTGTGGATTTGTTGGTGATACAATTGTTCACCGTGAAGTTTATAATGACTGCTGGATGGATTACTTTTTTGGTAAGTATAACCTAACAAATATGCAGTGTTTTTGTAAAGAAAAATTAACTCAAATTTTACAATATTTTATTGTACTTACAAGATTTTGTTTTCAGGGCAATGATCTACTTTCATTTCTCTACAAATATCCAATAAGTCGGTTATCCCGGAATGAAGCCAGTCAGGTTATATTCGAAACAAATTAACTTAATAACATTTAATTATCTTGTAATTTTATGATTTTATAGGTTGAAATGTTAATTTTGACTTTAACATTGGAGAAACCCGTATTAAGTGCATCCGATGTTTTCATTGTGGGCACCAATTTACTATCATCGGTAAAGCATCTATCTACATCATTGGTAAAGTATCTACTTGTTTTGATTTAATGAATTTTTATTTTAGATTACCGGAAATGTAATTACTTACCTATTAGTAGCATTGCAGTTTAACGCAGCCTTTTCAAATTGAACAAATTGAATCGAAATTGAATAGTTTTCTTTTATCTTATGTTTTATATGTAAAATTTAAAATTATCAAAGTTATACAGTGTGGACCATATGTAAAATTAAATAATAAACTATAATACTCTGTAACCTGTTCTATTAATTTTTAAATACGTGTATCAGCTGGCTTAAAATAGCATAAAGAATCGATGAAATAATTTATTCGTCGTATTTTCGGGACACGCAGTATTTTATGTTGATTTAAGAATTTTCCATAGCGACGGTAATTTACGTAGCTTCGATCAATATTTCGCAAACTGTTCTAGCCGTGCCGTGACTGGGCTTTTTCTTGTCCTCAAGTTACCCGATTTTCAAACTTCTCATTGTCAGTCAGTTTCCAATCAACGTGTTACAGAGTAAGTAAAACCAATAATTTCTAATATTATTTTTTACTTGGATTATTGTGTCTAAATTAGTAGTTATATACAGCGTGTGTAAATATAGAGATAAAATGCGATAAATGAAGGGGTTGATTGTTTGGATAAATATAGACTATAAAGTTTTGAAGAGCATATATGAAGTTTGTTTTATATATGAAGAGCATATTATATTAAAAAAGTTTATTTGTGCTTATACAAAAAAAAATAATTTTTGGTTGATTTGAATTTTTTTCAAAATGGTAGGAAGAATATTCACAATAAAATCGAGGCATTACGTTCGTAAATTTTTTCAATAAAATATGTACATTTTGGCGACGGTACGGAATGCTAAGTAGAATCGATAATTTCCAAAGTAACAAATTTCCGTGACTAAATCAACTAAAGTATTTGGGTCACATTAATAAATTTCAATATTAACATCGAATTCCTTTCTTATTTGTGCTATAAATCATCTAAAAACATCTTACTACACTTTTTTTCTTAAAAAGCCTGATTAAAAATTCCAAATCTTGTAGAATACATGGAAAAGATGGATACTGAAACTGGCGAAATGATCGTAAAACGAGTCAGCGTTCCCATAGGTTTAGAAGAATTGATGGAAGGTTTAGTAAAGGAAGTACTGCTAAAAAAACCCGATGACATCTACCTATTCGCAGCAAGATATTTCGCCAATCTTCTAACTATAAGGGATAGACTACCCATAAATCGAAGTATAAATATTTTCTTAGATATCCTTCCCTCTAATTACTTTTTTCTTCAAATATTTTTTTAGCAAAAACCGTAAGGACCATCCAAACGATGAAAGTAAGAACAGACAAAACTCCCGCTCTAGCCAAAAACTCCAGGTTATCAAAACCATTGAGCACCAAGGAAGAGTTGCCCGTGATAACACCAATTACCTCTCATAAACCCAAAATGCATCAAAGAAACGAACTGAAATATAACAGAAGAAGACATACTGGCCCTCAGACTGTCATACCAAATGCTCAGCAAGTAGCGATTAGAAGAAAATACGCCAAAAGCGTCTCCGGAGATCAGCAGAAAGTAATAATGGAAACCAACAATAACAAAAACAAAGCTCAAATTTTGAGAGAAAAGTTAACTGAGAAAAGCGCCACCGAACGAAATAACAACCTGGCAAAAAGTAGCATCCAAAATACTGAAGATACAAAGGAAGAAAACTCGAAAATAATTGAAAAACAGGTTGATCCTATCAAAAAATTCGTTGATGAGTCAACGAAGCTGGTAGCATCCGAAAATATTGATACTTCACATATAAATCCAGAAAATTTTAAACGTGAAAAAAATAGCCAAAGTAGCACTAATAATCTGGAACAAAGTGGTTTAAATGACGCTACTAAAGCTATTACAGTCGAAACAAATAGTAACACAAGCAAGAGTAAAATTGATGAAATTGTTGATCAAAATACTGTCAACATTGACAACAAAAAGGAAGAACATTCCAATGCAGAGTCAAAACCTGAATCTAACAATAAATTAGATATGGATGATAATAAAGAAGAAAACATAACTGATGAAGAACTTCACACCGTTAAACCAGACTTTACTAGCAATGAAAAACATGAGATGTCTAACAACGAAGATAAAGGAGATAAAAGTAATAAAATTATTCAAAAGAGCGAAAATTCTCTGAAAGAAATAATCAGTAGAAGCAGTTCAGCAGTTCAGCTTGATGATGAAAACAAAAAACATGAAGAAATAGTTCCACAAATATCAACCAGTGATAAAATAGAACAAAAAAAAGAAAACGATCTTTCGAAAAATCAAATCTCTACTAAACACGATGTAACTGATGAGAAAGAAGAGAAAATAGAAGTTAAAAATGAAGAGTTGAATAAAAATATAACAAAGGAACAAAAAGAAAATAATTTAGCAATCACTGAAGATAACGAATTGATGAGTAAGAATAAAAACGGGCAATATCAAGATAATGATAAACATTCAGAATATACGAATGTGATTCCATTCAATAAAACTGTGGATGATGAGGTAATAAGTAAAGTACTGCTTTATAATGTACCTGACTTGAAAAATGGCGAACCAGCAAAAATTGTTGAATTAAATGTGCTAAAATCAATTTCGAATAGTAAAGAAGAAGAACCAAAAATTAAGGAAATTACAAATTTATTGGACAAAAAAGAAACAACGGATTATAAAACATACGAGGAAAACCCAAAGCAGGACGAAAAAGAATTTAGTGAGGACAGTTTGGAATTTATTGAGGAGAAAAAAATTGAAGGAAAGAAAATAAATAATAAAGAAAACGATGGTAAAAATGAAAATTTTAAGGGCACTTCGAATGAGTTGGAAATAGGTGAAACAACAACAGAAGAACCAATATTAAAAAGAATTGTAGAAGAAAATAATTTAAAGGAAGATTATGAAAAATCTAACTTACAAGCAGCAGATACATCAATTGATAAAACGGAAATTATTAATATTATCAACCCTAATGTACAAGTAGATGTAAACGAAATCAAAAGTAATGAAGAAATAACCGACGTGAATAAATTGGATAAAGAACAATCTAGTCAAAATATCGACATTATCGAAGAGAAGAACATAAAACCTCCTAAATTGAATGAAAAAGAACTTAATAAACAGGCTTCTACAGAGACTTCTCCAAGAAATGTCGAAACCCTGAATAAAAATGAAGCCAAAGAAGATGAAAAAGACCGAAAGGTAACTGTTGATTCCATTTTAGACCAGAAATCCGTTGATAATAAAACATATCACGATATTGATTCAAATAAAGAAAATAGTGATCAAGCACCTTTCTTGAAAGATTCTGTTGAACAAATTACAAAAACAAATTCTGAAGATTCGGCAACAAACAATGCACCAATTGAGAAGAGTTTAGAAGAAACAAAAATCGTTAACAGTCTAGTATTAGAAACTACTCCTGATTTTGATGGTACAAAACAAGAAGTTGAAGTAAATACAGATAAATCTAACGATATTAAATCAACCGAAAAAAATAATCGAATCACAGATGATGTAAAAATAAATAATGAAGCAGGTGAAGTTTCAGAAATAACTAAACAAGATAATGTGCAAATAGAATCAGCAAAGATTATAGCAGGAAATAATGCGGAATTCGCAAATATCGATGGAAAAGAAAAACAATTATTAACTGATGACAAGCAATCAAATAATGTTCGAATGGCTGATGAAATTATTATGCGAACGGAGAAGAATGTTGATTTGACGAGCAAAGCTACTACAAAAGTGACTAATACAGACGAATCAATAGATACAGCTGAGGTTAAAAATAATAAAAACGAAACAAATATAGCGCAAGAAAGCAATGCAAATAAATCGAAGATAGATAAAATATACAAGGAGAGTGACAGCAACGATATGATAAGGAATGTTAATTTGAGTAATAACAAATCTGAAGGAGCAAATGAACACCTGAAAAATATTAGTAAGATAGAAGAAACAACAAGGAACGTACCTGAAAGTGACAGCAGTAAGAGTGAAGTAAATGTTGATGTTAATAAAAAAAGTAGTCAAACAAATAATACTCAAGGTTCTACTAAGGATTCTGTAACAAATTTAAAACCAGTTGAAAATAAAGAAGAGAACAAAACTGAAATATCAACAATAAAAAGTGACGATATCATCAAAAAGGAAAGCGAAATCAGCGATGAACATAATGTTGAAGTTAATAAAATTATTGAAAAGAACAACAGTAGTGAAGAAAACAAAATTGAAGAACGAGTTAAAGAAAGTACAAAAAGTAAAAGTGAAACTTCAACTTCGAAGCTTAACGAAATAATTGAAAATCAAAAAAATATTGAAGAGAATTTAATTAATGAAGAGAAACGAATTAACGACGAAAATACAATTAAAGACGAGAAAACAATTAATCAACAGAATACAATTAAAAAAGAAAAAACAATTAATCAAGAAGATGTAATTAAAGAAGAGAAAACCATTAAAGACGAGAAAACGATTAATGAAGAGAACAAAGTTACATATGAAAAAGTTGATGCGTTGACCAATGTTGAGAAAACTGGTGAAACATTTAAAATGAAAAGTAATTCGAAGGATGATTTAACCAATTCGACACATACTGAAGAAAATAAAGACACAGAAACAAATCTATTGCAAAAGGAAGAAAATAAACAGAACAGAAATGATGATTCAAGTATAAAAGGTGATGAGTTATTTACAAAAGATTACAAAAGTAATGCTAGCAATCTTACAACAACTAATACACTATCTTCAAAAGAAGATATATTAGATACTGCGAACCATAAAGAAAATAACGAACGAGAAGTATCCATTGAAATTGCAAACTCAAGTGACGATAACAAAAATATTAAAAAAGAAAATTTGTTAGTAACAAATGCCAAAGATATTCCATCCGAAGAAGAGAGCCAGATACTAATAAAAAATTCAGAAAATTCCGGTGAAGAGGCTAACAAACATTCTGAAGAAAATGAAGCAATTATTAGCGACGAACAAGATAAAGCTACCGACACATCCAAACGACTAAAAAGAGCAGTGTCCTTCGAAGAAGAAGATTCTTCAAATTTAGCTGAACTCGATAAACAAGAAGCAGATAATAATCTAGTTGACAGAGTAGCTAAAAATTACGTTTCTTATGTTATCGACAAAGACCGATATGTAACAAACGATAGAGAATCACTAGAAAAAGTTGATGTAAATGTAACTAACCAGGGCATAAGTAGCAGTAATGAATATAACGAAAATCGCGAAACTCAACGAAACAACGAAAATACTGAAGAAAAAACTGAAATTGGATCTAACCTCACAAGAAATTCTGAATTACACGAAGATAAAAAAGAATTAATAATAACCGCTGCTGAGCAATTGGTAAGTTCCACACTATTGATGGCTGAAACGGGTCTCATCGAACATAAAGTCAAAAATTTCCTAAACGATTTTATTAGCAGAGAACAGAACAATACTTCTACAGTAGATAATGCAAATCAACACCATAAATTACTAACTAAAACCAACAGTTTGGACGACATTACGACTAAACCACCAAATGGCGTGAAAAGAACAATCAGTTTCGACAGCGCCAAACTTCACCAAGAACTGAGAAAAGTAGAAGAAGAATCGAAACTGGCGAGCTTCAAAACTACTTTTAATCCGTTCCTGCTGCGAAAAGAAATAGAGGAGGCCTCAAAATCGGAAAACACTGTAGTTTTAACCTCGTTAAATTTCGCTCAAATATCCAATGCGACCGTGAAGATCCAAAGAGTTTGGAGAAAATTTCGCAAAATGAAGCAACTAAAATATAAAAGTGAAGAAAATGGTAGAAGTTCCGATAAAGGTGAAAATTTAAAGTGTGACAGTGGAGTAAATAAAGATCTTTCGACGACTGTTCGAGCAGCTCTCTTGATTCAGAAGATGTGGAAGGGGTTTAGAGCAAGGAAAGAATTGCGATTGATGAAAATTGAGGCACATTTAAAGAAAAATACTTCTAGTAAACTAGAAGGTAAATTAGGTAAGTTGAAAGCAATAATGATTTTTTTAAGATTTTATTTGTCTTTTTAGTTCTTCAATTTTCTTTCTTTTAAATCCCCAATTTTTTCGGTAATATTTTTCTTGGACATTTGTTCAATGCTGGTATTAATTTTTCTCAGGGTATAACTACTCCATTTGTTCGTCTTCTTCCTTAATTGTTGACAAGTTTATCTATGCAATCTCGAATATTCGGTTTTATGTTTAAAAATAAAAAAAACTTTCTATTCTTAGAAAACCCCGAATTATTCACGAAAGATGGAGCGGATGAAAATAGCTCGGAATTAACCAACAACCATAAGGTAATATCTAGTTAATAGTAACCATTATTTTTAATTTTTTTTCCTTATTGTATCTATAACAGTTCACAGAAGACGGAGAGGACAAAATTGCTTCGGAAGACAGAAGATTATTCAGTGCAGATTCCACTGGTTCCACAAACACGGTAATATTCAACAGCAACAGCTCGAAAGAAGAACAATTTCACAATGACGTCGGTCTTCTTCTTGACGAACAAATCGACTATCCTACCGTCGAAGAAGAACATCTACTGGACAACTATCAGAGCAAGTTACTGGACAAAATATCGGGCAAAGAAGACTGCTCGAAATTTGACATTCAGGCTTACGAGAAGATCGTCTCCCCCAAACGAATCGATTTGGAACAACTTAAAGAAGAAGTACATGTGCCGATAGTGCCCAAAACTGCACCGAAATTAAACAGATCGTTGAGCTCGAAATTGGAGATTTTGGAGGAAGAAACCTCGAACGCCGAAGAAGATAATGAAGATAATCAGGATAACAAAATCACAGAGAAAAGTGACAAAATTGGAGATGAAAAATTGAATACGATATGCCCCGACCCCACGCTTGTATCACACGATAAAATAGCTGATGAAGAAACGGTACCTGACAATACAAGTAAATCTCCGAGTAAACTTACAAACCTAGAAAACTTGCAAATTCAAGAAACTCCATTGGCTTCATTACCGATAGAATTAAAAGATAAACTAGAAACGGAGAACAAACCGGAAGAATCCAGTATCAAAACTGATTTAGGTGATTCACCTCCAGTTCTTTCTAATGCGAGTATTGATAATATGAATATTCAGGATTGTGCTAGTAATCATCCCCATGAGGTTCAAGAAACTCTAATAACACCAATAGAGCAACAAAATGAACCAGAACCCGGGTTTAAACCAGAAGACACCAGTAGCAAAACTAATTTGGATGATTTACCTCCAAATCTTTCAAATGCGAATAGTGATAATAAACATCTTCAGGATAGCGTCAGTAATCCTCACAATGCTGTTCAAGAAACTCTTGTAACAAAATTATCAACAGAGAAGCAAAATAAACCAGAAACCGGCATCAAACCAGAAGAGAACAGTACCAAAACTAATTTGGTTGATATACCTCCGGTTCTTTCGGATGTGAGTAGTGAAAATAAAGATCTTCAGGATAGCACTAGAAATCATCCCGATAATGTTCAAGAAACTTTAATAACACCATTATCAATAGAACCACAAAATAAACAAGAAGCTGGGTTTAAACCAGAAGAGGCCAGTAACAAAATTGATGTAGATAATGTATCTCCAGTTCTTTCAAATTCGAATATTGACAATAAGAATCTTCAAGATAGTGCTAGTAATCATCCCCGTGAGGTTCAAGAAACTATATCAACACCAATAGAAACACAAAATAAACGAGAAACCGGGTTCAAACCAGAAGAGACCAGTAACCAAACTAATTTGGATGATTTACCTCCAGTCCTTTCAAATGCGAATAGTGATAATAAACATCATCAGGATAGTGTCAGTAATCATTACAATGGAGTTGAAAAAACTCTAATAACACCATTATCAACAGATCAACAAAATAAACCAAAAACCGAGTTTACACCAGAAGAGAACAGTAACAAAACTAATTTGGATGATTTACCTCCACATCTTTTAAATGCGAATACTGATGATAAAAATCTTCAGGATAGTGTCAGTAATCATCACAGTGGATCTCAAGAAACTCTAATAACACCATTATCAATAGATCAACAAAACAAACCAGAAACCGAGTTCAAACCAGAAGAAACCAATAGTAAAACTGATTTGGATGATATACCTCCAGTACATTCAAATGCGAGTGGTGATAATAAAAATCTTCAGGATACTACTGGTAACCATCATGATGAAGTTCAAGAAACTCCAATAACAACATTATCAATAGAGCAACCAAATACACCAGAAACCGGGTTCAAGCAAGAAGACACCAGTAACAAATCTAATTTGGTGGATTTACCTCCAGTTCTTTCTAATACGAGTAGTTCTAGTACGATTAGTGCTAGTAATCATCATAGTACATCAGCATTACCTTTAGTACTTCAAAATCAGGAAACCGAGGGCAAATCAGAAGAAGTCAGTAGCAAAACAACTATCGAAGATTTAACAAGTATATCGAAAATAGTTAATAAAAACCTTCAGGACGGTACAAGTAAACAACACCATGAAGTTCAAGAAACTCTAGTAATACCAATACCGATAGAACTTCAAAATAAATTAAAAACCGAGACTAAAATTGGCGGGATTAACGAGAAAACGAGTTTGGAAGATATATCTTCAGTACTTTCGAGTTCAGGTATGGATATCAAGAATCTCCATGACACCGTCGCTTTGCCACTTAACGAACAACAAGTTGATACCGGTAGAGTCCAACCAATATCGGTTCAGTTGTGTGAGACTTCAGGTCAAGTATTTCTTATTATAGTAAGTAATCATTGCACTTTTTCATTATACTACTGATGCATTTTTTGGTAATGAACTTATCCCCTATTTTATTATTAAGTATCTATAAATTTTATATACAAATAAACATTTTGACATTAATAATGTGCACAAAAATATGTTCCTCATGCCAAAACAAACTTTCATTATAGTCCAGTCATATTAGCCAAAATAGGGGAAAAAATTTCTCGTTCTGAAATTTATTTTACTCTAACTATAATTATTATTAAACTAAGGGGAAGGGAAACAAAATCACTCCCACCGAGTGACATTAGAACATTCTAACGAACATTCGAACAAACCGAAAATTTCCAAAACTTAGACATTTTATTCTCCTATTCGGGTCAATTTCACGGCCAATACGACCGGGCCATTAACACAACCTCCAACCTTCCGATCGCCTTCAACTCCGCAATTATCCAACAGAGCCCGAAAACTTGATGACGCCGCGACGCTCGTCTACGGACGTCACCGACGCCGGCGACGCCGCAGGGACGCCTGCGCCGGGCAAAGCCGCCTTACGAGAGGAAGCGCCAGCGCCCGACCGGCTCGCCAGTGATTCGACTACGCGGAACATGGAAAGCGAAAAGCGCAGAAAAGTCGACGGCGCCAAGATGGAAGCGCAAGCCGCTGCGAAGATCCAGGCCGGGTTCAGGGGTTACCAGGTTCGGAAACAGCTCAAATTGAAGGTTAGTGCCCCTTTTAATTATCTTTAGATAATAGTAAATTACTAATATTTTATTCCTCTTCTTCTTCTTTCTTCTTTGCTTCAATTGTCCAAGGCTTTGTAGCCTATTATTACAGTACGCATATTTTTCTTAGTTTTCCCTCGCTTCACATTCCTCGCTTCCTCCTTTATACCATATTTTATTTCCAAGGCAAATTACATTTTTCTGAATATTCTACATGGGTGTTAATTAATTGAGTGCCGATACAGTGAATATTTGGATGGTTTTAAGAAAAGTTGTCCTAAACCTTTTAGTTTTCGAGCAACAGGGTGTTACAGTTTTAGAAAAAAATAACTTTTCTATCATAACTTTCTTATTACCTACTCCAGATATATTTTTATGAAATTTTGGACGGGGATGTTACTGGTAATAGTAGAAAATTAATTTTTATCCCCAAAAAAAAGTGTTTCCATGCATGGAGGTTTTAAAATTAATTTTGATTGTTAGAAAAAAAACTGTGATTAACCATTTTTCTTTAAACATATTCAGTTCAAACCCCGTACGGATGTCACTGGTCAAAATTTCAAAAATCTTTTACCTCAAAAAAATGCTCCTTATTAATCAAAAATTGTGTACAAAATTTCATAAAAATATCTCGAGTAATAAGATAGAAAAGTGATAAAAAAGTTTTTTTTTAACATTGTAACACCTGTAGCTCGAAAACAAAGAGGTTTAGTACATATATTGATATTTCTTCTTAAAATCATCCAAATATTCACATTCTAAAGTATTGGTACTCAATTAACTAACACCCTGTAGATAAATGAAAAGAAAATAAATGTTCGATAAAAATAATAATAGTAATTTGAGAATTACAGAATCTCATATATCTTTTAAAAATACTAAAGAATGTATGTAGTAAAATAAATCAAATTCATTAACGTAAATATTATTTGTATACCTACATAAATGTATAATGTGATTTAAAACTGTAAATATTGCAAATATTCTAGAAATCACTAAAAGTATTTTTATGTTGTGTTTAACGCATAAAAGGAAACATTTAAAACGCATTAAATAATTACAAACTGTTTAGTTACCTAATAATTATTTAATTGGCGTTAGATTATTTCAATTAATTTTTGTGTTTGCAATGTGGTCAATTTTATAAGTTGAACAAGGAAAGATTATTATAATAAGAGTGGTTAGAGTTGCAATTCCACAATATCATTCTTTCTTTTTCCTTTATATATGAGACTAATGGAAGTCTTTGTTGCACCTATAAACCATTTTTCACTCATTTTTTGCCCATTTTTCTGTAATCCAAATAGTTTGGTTCGTAATTTAGAGTAATAATAGATCATCTACCGTTTATTTGAACTATTGCGGTATCGACTAAACATATGTCAAATTTAATAAATGAACTTTTAAATTAGAAATTCCGAAATATAAACTTCACTTTAACGGACTGGAATAAAATCGATATGTTTTCGAGGAAATTCCGATTGTTGCATTGCATAAAAACCACATAAAAACAGCAATTAAAACAGCAATTTATTGCAACAAAATTATCTATAAATGTACGGGTTCGTTATTTACGATCTAGTCTAAAAGTTTCCTATATTATATTTTTTTAAACAAAAATACCAATAATTTAAAATTATTTTAATTTAGAACCTTGTGTAATTTATGAGACAGATATTATTTTGAACAAATATTAAGAATTACTAAAAAATTAAATAAGATCAAAATCTTCAAACCTTAATTACCCCCTAGAGCAAATAGATCCTAACTAAATATTTATCAAACAAAGAATTCCCAGGAAGAAAGCCAAATTTTTGTAAATTTCCATCTCTCAAAATAATCCACGCCACAAACAACATTTTGTCTGTTTTTCCTGCGATTCTATTCCATTTCATTTGCAACAAAACTGTCACGAGAGGAAATTGCGCGAGAAAATCCGAACGGGACAAACGGGATTTTTCTCGCTGGCCGACGAACATAATTGAACGAAATTTTTATTAGTTTGACCCTGTTCTCGATTTGAAATACGATTGCATCCAAAACATCTGCGTGTAAATTCGACAAATTTATGTGGCCTGACGCTTCGTGACAAAATAAATTTTTAGCAGGCGATCAACAAAATAAATAAATAAATAAGGAAAATCCGTAAATTATCGATTGTTGTTGTTCCAGGAGCGTGTTTGAAAGATGGTATGTTGTTTATTGTTATTTATAGTACTGTTAAGTTTGCAAAAATCTCTATAAATTGTTGAAATTATCAAAACTATATCTTATTTTTGCATCTCCTTCATAATAAAGTATAGGTTTTAAAAGGCATAGATATCCCATATTAACCAAGTAAAAGATTCCTATTCAACCTAGAGAAAAATTATTTATCCTTCCTAACTTTATCTTTTATTTAATCTTTATTCATTTCATACAACTATCCATTAGTTTGTTACATTATTTTATTTAAAATGAATTATTTTAATACAATTATTCTGTTATTAATTATTGTAGTATTCCCATATCCTAGGTCCACCGAACTGAAAAAAAAATCCTGTCAAAAGGTCAAAACAAATTTTATTTTCCTGGAATAAATTCTGCTCAACTAACGTCGTTGAAACTCGTTAAAAATAACCGTGTAATTACAGTCGCTTACGTCAAACGTCAATCAAAATTTCGAAAATTATCCAAAAAAAAACGTTCGAACCCGATCACATTCCAAATCTACAGGATGTCCCGAAAAGAAATTTGTAAATTAAGCTGAGATAAAATTGAAAACAAGAAGAGGTCTGGAAAGCCTTTATATTTCAAAATACTTTACCAATTTTACCCAACAATCATATTCATCTTTATTTCCTATTATGCTGTAATAAATCAAACGATCTTTAGGACACCCTGTACAATCGAGTCTAATTTTTCGACGCTAAACATTCCCGATGAAAATAATTACGCGTCTACGTGTTTTAGAAACCTCCGGAAGTTTGTTTGTTGGTCTTTCGAATTACAGTTTTACACGAGGTGTATTTTTAAATGGCCGCTACGTTCTATTTTTAAAATAATTAGTTTTAAAAATTTTTGGTGTTCGATGACGCAGGATTGTCTCGCTATTTTAAGTTACTAATATTTCAAAAAATAATTTTATAGAATAGCAAAGTTAGAAGAACATTGTTTAAAAAATTCATGTTTTTGCAGAACGGTTCATCGGATATGACGCCTGCAAAAAAATCTTCTAGATCCAAATTATCCGGGCAGGATTCGTCCAAATGCCCGTCCGAGAATTGCGAAGACATCGAGGAACAATCGGCCGTAAAAATTCAAGCGGGCATCAGAGGTTTCCTCGTCAGGAGACGACAGAAGAAACTCAACAGCCAGCACACATGATATTACTTATCTTATATTAATTAAGGACGTTCGTTATAATAGATTCTAACTGTGAATTCTAAAATCAACTTTACAAGAAACTCATTTAAGCTAATGAAATATCACGCAATCGGGTTAGATATTAGGACTTTTCCACTTTCCACATATTCCACAAGAGAATTAGCCATTGATGGATTGATTAACTAGAATCCACTAATTTTTATAAGTACTTTAGTGCATTTTAGAATAAATAGGGCGGGAAGAAATGAGGGCATGTTTAGTTTGATTGAGATTTAATTCAAATTTTGAATCAAAATTTTTTTAATGTGAACTCATTTCATCTCACCCTATACATAAAACAATATTTTTATAGAAAATAGATTAGCTTGTTAATAGGGCAATGATATCACGGCATCAATTGTTACATATTTTTATTAAATGCGCTCTATTACAAAGTAATATTAAACTATACTTAGTGAGGGGTAAATGTGACTTTAAAAGGTAAAAAATTACAAAATTAGAAAATATTCATAATTATCATGTTTCTAATAATGACGTATTTTAGCATGTAAAATTTCAGAAGTTGCTTAATTTGTAAAACTATGTGCTCATATTTCTTAATCTCAATAAATGCTCAATTTTACATGCATAACTGGACATTTTATTTTTATATCTTCTAAGCTAAATGTCTCATTTATAGTCTCTACATTCTTTAGACTTCTTTTTGGCTCTGAATTCCTTATTATAATTTAAACTAGGAACATCGACAAGGGACCATTTTGATTGAATTTTAAAATGTATAGAAAAGGTAAAACATAAGAAGCAGACTCTCCCGTCGGTTTTAAAATACATACACTGAGTTCATTGATTAGTCTCGTTATTTTCGCTCGTATATTTAACATACAGTTTTTAAACACTCGATTAGAGTTAAGGTTTATTTTGCAATAAATTGAAGCAATTCAGGAAGTAAGAACGCAAATTGTAAATATCAATATACTAGTATTTTCTGGGATGTATTTTTAGAATACATTTAAAAGTTTTAAACAGTTTACCTGTACAGTATGTTATTCATAATTTATAGCCTAAAGTGTTCGTTTATTCCTTCTATAAATATCATTAACTATTCCACCCCAGTTTATTTTAATCGTGTTGTTTTAGTTAAAAGTTTTTCTAAAATAGGAAGAGATCTGGAGATGTCCCATTAAAAAAAATGAAATTTGATATTTTTAAGCTTAACTTTGGTTTTCCGAACAGATTTAAATACTTTTATCTTGCTAGTAGCTGCCCTACAACGGTGTACTGGAATTCCCCAATACAATAATAATCCCTTTTTGGGTAGTTAAATTACTTTACCCTTTTGGAATTCCCCACCGAACAAAATTAATACCTTTACAATATCAACAAACCTGAAGAGCAGTGTAGGATGGGGAATTCGCGGGGAATTTCTGCGTGGGATTAGAGCAGGTAACAAAATTTTCGGAGCGGAATTTCGGCATGGGATTAAAATTCAGGTAAATTCTGTGCGTAATTCCGATGCGCCCGTATAACTATACCTACATCCTTAGTAGGTTTGCGTTTGCTGAAGGTTCAAGTGATTTCAGTTCAGTTCTCTCGGGAAAATTTCATAATTGCGCCAATGGACACGATGCTCAGCGAACGTGGAAAACGAATTCTATTGTATAAAAACTACAAGTTCTGTATGGGACGGGTGTTGAAAAAAACAGGCGAAAACGCTTGGCGTTGTGTTAAAAAGCAATGCAACACTCAACTTTACACTCTGGGAAGTAAGGAGGAACCGATTTTTTCAAGGATAAGTGGAAATCATAACCACGACAGCGACCCCGCGGCCGTTTTAAACCGGCAGAAGATATCCAATGCAGTTAAAAGGAAAGCGAAGGAGGACACATCCGATAAACCATCGAAGGTAGTTCATCTGGAGATTTCGGAAAGCGTGCTGCGTACTATAACAATTAGAGACATAAGATATATTCGAGACAATTTTAACCGAGAAAAAAGAATTAAAAAATTTACCACAAATCCTGCGTAATATTACATAGCGTTTTGGTGAAAGATTATCATGTTATAGAGATATAGAGTTATAGACTGGTCTGATAAGCTATCAATGAGTAAATTTACAATGATTTTTTATGGTGTAAAACTTTTTTGTTTTACCATTATTGTTGTATAATTTTTTTTTATAACTATGTTGATTTTGTAAAAGTTTTTAACGAAAAAAATGCAAAAAATTATAATAAAATTGTTTATTTGATACTTTGTTGATGAACTTTTGTTAATTATTTTTCGATTATACCGGTTGTTTCATCCAATCCAAAATGTTGTAATATGTTGATTGATAAGTTGTATTAAAAACGTGTTACGTGCTTAAATTGTAAGTGAGAGTCATTAAGGAGTTGCTTAATTAATATTATCGAATAAAATATGTAAATAATATAATAATTAATTAAATAAATTGTTTGTTTAGCGAACACTCATAGTCGATTTTTATTTAATGTGCCTATTTTGTGAAAACCTTTTAAAATTTGTTAGATTTTTATCCAATTGTGGAGAGCCGAAAAAAGCGAAGTATGTAGGAATATTTTTTTACTCACTGTAATAAAATTATTCCATTATGTATCTACATACATAATAGTTTAATTCGCGCAAATAAAAAAAACTTCTTATCTAAACAATATCCTTTATTTAATTGCGTTAATAATTTTTTTTGATAAGATAAAAACATGTGAAATCAAAATTGGATTAAACTAAAATGTTAACACTACAGTATATGTAGATTTTCTCCATTAGGACTTAAGTTTCTGTTAACTGGTTTATATCTTTGAAATTAAGAGGTAATTATAAGGGTAAGAATTTTTTAATCAATTAAAATAAACCCTACATGTTTCATTTATTTAAATAGACTAAACTTTTTTCTGCAACTTTTTAAGAAACGAAAATTTTTGAAATATTAAGAAGTCAACCTTGTTTATCTTACCATTAAAAATGTAAATTAAAATCCTATACCTCTTTTTATTTTTTATTAATATTTTATATTTTTTATAAGAAAATAATCGTTTTTTTCTATCAGAATCGACATCATGAAATCAGTAAAATTTCTGAATGAATTACCCGCAAAAGAACAAAAGGATTTTTTCGAATCATTCGACACCATTTTCTTCGATTTGGATGGTAAGGAAACTCTTTATTATATTAATAATAAAAACATTTCGAATAAGTAACTTTAATTTTTTTACTTCAATTATTAATTACCCTATTTTTATACACATCTTTTTTTTTTCATAAAAAAATCCTCTTTTCCAGGCGTGATATGGCACAGTTACGTCCCAATACCGGGCGCCGTCGATTGTCTGAATAATTTGAAAAAACTGGGAAAGAACGTTCACTTTGTCACCAACAACAGCACGAAAACCTGCCAAAACATTTTGGAAATTTTGAAAACCGCCGGCATCAATGCCGACCTACCGGACATCGTCAATCCTCTGAAAACCATGATTTTTCTCCTGAAAAAATCCAACGTTACCGATCCCTTGTATGCAATGGCTCCTAAAGCCTCCAAAAACGAGTTACTGGAAAACGGGTATAAAATCTTACCCGAAACGGTGAGTTTTTGATCCAGAAAGGATGAGAGATGAGAGTCATGTCATGAGAGATGATAGTCATGAGAGATGAGAGTTATGAGAGATGGAAGTCGTGAGAGATGAGAGTCATAAAAGTGTAGAGAGAAGAGATAGTTTTAGAGCCGTTAATTTTTTTCAGCCTCATGTGGATATGGATCAAATACCAGAAATTCTTTTGCACCATGACCAAGCCAAAGAGCAGACAATCGGAGCCGTTCTGCTCGATTTAGATTTGAACCTCGATTATATGAAGGTGCAAAAGGCCTTTTGGTACCTGAAATACAACCCCAACTCATTGTTTTTGGTGAATTCGATGGACAAAACCGCCCCGGTGGGACCGAAAGGCCCGATTTTTGGTATACCCTTTCAACTGGTGCATCTATTCGAATAAATCGAATATAACTATTTTTAGCCACGTATTACTTCGTGGAATGCTTAAGGGAAATGCTGAGAGTAGATAACGTGAATCGAGGAGATTTCATACAAATTGGTAAACCGTCACAAGTAATGGTGGATTATATCAAAGAAACTTTTAATATTTCACAATCTAACAGAGTAATGTTCGTGGGAGACTCGTAAGTATTGTGAAATTGTGAAATTTTATTCTCTCATCTATCACGTAGAATAAGGAAAGAACCTAGTTTCAACCTGGTAAATCGGTGATTGATATCATTATTAAAGCATTGCGATTAGTCTTACCAAACACTATACTCTTTCTTACTTTAGCCGCTTTTTCTGGATATTATAATACTTTTCCAGAATAGAATCTGACATGGCCACCGCCGCCAAGGGGGATTTCCAGAAACTCCTGGTGCTCAGCGGCACCGAGAAGCGGGAAAGCCTGGATAACTGGGGCTACCCTGACAACTACAAACCTGATTTTGTAGCCGAGGACCTAGGCGTTTTGAACGATATTTTAAAAAGCCTATACGATTAAAGTAACTCCTACCAGGCGTTATTTTTTCCTATTAACTACTTAACAATAAAAATGTTTTACCCATTGCATTTTTGATTTATACAGGGTTCAAAGTAACATCTGTAGGTCTATTAAAATCACTTTATTAGAACCATTGACTCAATATAGGGCCATAGAGTGTTAGAAACCATTACTTAAATACAACATTATTGTGACCATAAAGGGCATTACTCAGAACATTGGGTGATCGGTACGCACGTCCCATTGGGTCTGTCCAAAACGAACCCTTTCCTGCAGGTGCACCCTTCGATGCAAACCGTAGGGCAAATCACCTCGTCGCATTTGTTTAGATCTAAGCAGGTAACCTCGCAGCAATGAACGCAGCCGATGACTTCGTTTACACCGCATCTGTCTTTATAAAACGAGATATTTTACCTAATAAATTAATTTTAAAAGAATCACCCACGGTCAGAAGAGGAAGAGTTGAAAGAGTTGAAAGAGTTGGAAGAGTTGGAAGAGTTGGAAGAGTTGGAAGAGTTGGAAGAGTTGGAAGAGTTGGAAGATTTGGAAGAGTTGGAAGAGTTGGAAGAGTTGGAAGAGTTGGAAGAGTTGGAAGAGTTGGAAGAGTTGGAAGAGTTGGAAGAGTTGGAAGAGTTGGAAGAGTTGAAAGAGTTGGATCAGTTGGAAGAGTTGGAATAGTTGGAGGAGTTGAAAGAATTATAGAATAGATGAATTATTTATAGACATAGACTTACTTTTATTAGGACAATCTTCGGTTTTAATGCACGGTCCATTTTCGTTAATTTTAACGTATTCCGGTATGCACTCGCATACGGTGTCGCATCTTTCTATGCACGTGTCACTGGTAGTGCTGGGATAGGGGAAATCGCAGGTGGCTGGGATAGCGCATGGTGATGAGCAGGTGTTGAGCGTTTCGAATTTTCCACAAGGAGAGTCTTCTAGGAATAAATTAAAAAAAAACTAACTCGGTTAGAGTAAGAAGTAAGAAGAGTAAGAATAGCGAAAGAACCATACTACAAAAGGCTTCTATATGGGATTAAAATATTACCTTTTCCCCAATGAAATACCCCATATAAATATCGTGTAAAGTATACTTACCAGTGCTGCAATCCTCGGAAGAAGAATAAGAAAGTACCGCTGCTGTTAGGATAAGCACGAGATTTGTAAACATTTTGAATATTTATAGGTATAAATGTCGCATTAGTATTTTTGCAGCCAATTTATATAAGATTCTTTAATGCAGTAAAAAAATAAGGAAGATGTTATTTATTTAAACAAGAATTATACGTTTGTTAAGTGGAAGATAATATTTATTTTTGGACGGTTTTGCTTCATTCAAGGCTTATATTGCGTGTAAAATTATTTCCTTATTTCTTTCATACAATGGAAAACCAGCTAATTTACCAACATATCTTCAAAATTCGTCAAATTCACAAAAAAAAATCTTGTAAAATCACCTGAATAATCGATTGATTTCGGAAAAAAAACCTTATAAATCGCCTAACCCCCAATTCACTTGCCATTGCCAATTCTTAATAAATCTTTAAAAAAAGCTATTGTAGTATCAGTTTACCGTCCGATTAGTTTTATACAGCTCAGTTTACCGTCCAACCGAAAATAACCGTATCAACAGTGCCCACCGAGATGTACCCGTCGAATTTTAAATTAATTATTTTGTTAACGATGCTACGTAATAGCAGTAATTGCGAGCAAATTTCACGTTGAATTGTACATCAAGGACGAGCGCCAACGCGTCCATCAGTTTGTAAATAACTTAATAAAAAAAGTACCTGGTATTTACAAACACCGTGTAACCAACAAACAAGTGTACAGTTTGAAGTGTAATGTTCGAATGTAAGGATTATTAAATTTATATTGTTTTTAAATAAGGAAAAATGTGGATCGCGTTGGCTGCGGTCGCTTTGGCGACGCTCGCTTGGTTTTTCATCGATCAGTTGAACTACTGGCGAAAACTGGGAGTTCCCCAGCCGTCGTTGTTGTTCAACTTCAAGGAGATGTTCAACCTCTTCGCGCAGAGGAGAAGTTTCGCCGAATCCGTGATGATGCTGTACGACATGTTTCCGGAGAAGAGGTAAAAAACCAAATAGTTCACTTTAGTCCAGCGATGAGAAAAAAAATCAAAAAACAATTCAATTCAAAAACTCTATAAAACTACGCTCTGTAGGTACGCTCTTAAAGGGTTTCTCTAATTCCAGATTCGGCGGCATCTATTCGTTCAAACAGCCCATTTTGATGATCAGAGATCCGGATCTGCTGAAGGAATTGACGGTGAAGAATTTCGATCATTTCACCGATCACACGAACATCATATCAGAGGTGGCCGAGCCTTTGTGGGGCAAAAATCTCTTCGCTTTAAAAGGTATTAAAAACATGTTCAATATCGAGAAAGAAACTCAAAAATCTCAAAGAATCTTAAGGAATCTATGTCAAAAGTATCTCAAAGCATCTTAATGAATCTCAAAGAAGATCAAGAAATATATCAAAGAATCTTAAAGGATCCTAAAGAATTCCAAAGAATCTCAAGGAATCTTGAGAGGAAGCAAATTTTGCATCCATTAGATAACCCAAAACTTAAAGAGGTGTATTTTCTAAAATATTTCTCATTTGCTCCCCAAAAATCCTCTATTGCAGGTAAAAGATGGCGGGAAATGCGCCCGATTTTGAGCCCCTCGTTCACTAGCAGCAAAATGCGCGGAATTTTCACGTTAATATCCGAATGCGCGGAAAACTTCACCGATTTCTACAGAAACTTCAAGGAGGACACCATCGAAATCGAATTAAAAGACAGTTTCACCCGCTTCACCAACGACGTCATCGCCACGGCCGCCTTCGGCGTTAAATCCGACTCCTTGACGGACCGAGATAATCGATTCTACGTCATGGGCAAGGAAATGACGTCATTCGGAGCGAATACTGTGTCCGGAACTATGAAGATGTTGTTCTTGATCGCCTTCCCCGGAGTTTTCGAGGTGAGTTTTCCAGGCATTTTTCCGTCGGAGAGTGTATACAATTTTCATTGAGCAGGCACTCAACCTCAGGATATTCAGGAAGGAAGTGGCGGATTTCTTCATAAATACCATAGAAGATACGGTGGAGACGAGAAAGAAAAAGGGCATCGTCAGACCGGATATGATCCACTTGTTGATCGAGGCTCAAAAAGGCTCGTCGGAGACCAAGGAAGCCGAAGCTTTGGAAGATGACAGTTTCGCGGCTCAAACGGAATCGGATTTAGGCGAGTATTCAGAAATTTGTTTCGTTTCTGAGACATTTTCCACCCAAGTTCTTTCCCATCTTTCTCTCTATGCCCCAGAAACTTTCTTTTAGTTGAATCATCTAGTTCATCTGTTGATTAATTTGCTTTAGGTAGAACACAGGGTGTTCAAAGGGAACTGACCAACATGGATATCGCCGCTCAGGCTATGATATTCTTCTTCGCAGGCTTCGAGTCCGTCTCGTCCATGATGTGCTTCATGGGATACGAATTGGCCGTTAACGAGGAAATCCAGGACAGGCTAAGGGAAGAAATCCTGGATACTTTGAACAACAACAATGGAAAATTAACCTACGAAGCTCTGATTAAAATGGACTACATGGATATGGTTGTATCAGGTAACGCAGGCGCTTCGTGAGATTCTGGTTATGATTTGATAAATGCCATGAATTTTTAGAGGTTTTGAGGAAATGGCCGGCAGCTGCAGCTGTTGACAGGCAATGCACCAAACCGTACACCATCCAGCCGAAACTTCCAGGCGAAAAGCCGGTTACTATCGAGTTGAAACAAGCCATCTGGATACCGATTTTCGGGATACATCGCGATCCTTCCATTTATCCAGATCCGGAGAAATTCGATCCGGAGCGTTTCAACGAATACAACAGGACCAATATCAAACCGTTCAATTACATACCGTTCGGAGCCGGTCCGAGGAATTGCATCGGTTCCAGGTTCGCCTTGCTCGAAATCAAAACGGTCTTTTTCCATTTGCTGGCTAATTTTAAATTGGTTTCCACGGAAAAATCGCATATTCCGCTGAAATTGTCGGCCAAGAGTTTCAATTTGACCGCACAGGATGGGTTTTGGTTCGGCTTGGAGAAGATTAATGATTAAGTAACAGAATTATACAGTCACAATAGACTGAAATTTAGTGTACTAAGTAATAAATATAACTAAAGGCACAAGAAAAAAGTAATTTTATTAAAAAAAAGGTAAATTGACAATTGGCTGTATTACTCAAAATGGCGGAGACCGAAAACCGAGTACAAAAAGAAACTGTCAGTTGTCAAAAAATGATTTAATTTGTATTTTCAACTTGGTATTTTATAAAAAACTGATAAAATGTTTGAGTTTTGATGCGAATTTTTCGTATTGTTTGAGTTAATTCAAGTAAGTTTGCCTAATAACAATTAACTTAATAATTTGGGGCTCTCGAATCAACATAACCCCACAATACGAGCACCATAACCTCATTTTTTAAATTCAATTTCCTAACTTATATTCCTGTTATTTTATAGTTAGAAAATAGATAAAAAGCGACATGTTCAAATTAAATTGTCTGTTATTGCAACGTTGCAGTAATAATGTAAAGTATGCAATAGCAATCAGAAAGGAAAGTGGAACAGTATCAAAGGAAAAATGGGATATATTCGCAGCAGTTTGTTTGGAAAGAAAACCTGTTATAACTCCGAAATTAAACGAGTTGGAAAAGGAATACGAAGAGTTAAGCAAAACCATCGAGTTCGAGCGAAGCGTCAAATCGGATTTTGAGCTAAGACACGAATCGGAAGTGTATGTTATTCCTTATTAACAACTATGAAATTTTATCACTCATTTTGTCTATTTTTTAGAAAGAATTTGGAGATTTTGAAAAAAGGTGGTGAATTGGACGTGGAGGGAATGCTGAAACAAACCGCACAAGATTTGAAGGATTCGTGGAGCTCGGAAGCCCGACAATTCCAACCTGCAGATCGAATAACAGGTTTGAAAAATATCCTATAGGAAGCTTTATATGGTATCCTTTCATTAGAAATAGATATAAAATGAGGAAGAGAGGAATTTTCTCTTGTTCCACAAACTACTAGATCCAAATATTATTCCTCCTGTTACTAAATGGAAGGTTACCATGGAAACCACCATATTACTTATTTAACAAAATAATAATTAAAAAATCTTTCAGATGCCGATAAGAAAAATGATGGGAAATCGTTGAAAAGAAAACTAGATAAGCATCTGGTCTTTGTTACTAATCAAACTATCGGAAAAGATAAATTTTACTTGCTTCCCCAAGGATCGAGGCAAGATGGGGAAACATTGAGACAAGTAATAATCTTTTGAATAGTTGTTCTGCTCTACTCTGCTCAACTTTACTCTAAATGTATAACAAAAATTAATGTCGAATTTTGTTTATAGACGGCTGAAAGAGTCTTAAAATCGATAGTAGGCGATGAATTGAAGGCTCAAATATACAGCAATGCTCCCATAGGATTCTACAAGTATAAATATCCCCTTGAAGTTAGAAAGGAAAATAACGTCGTGGGAGCTAAAGTAAGTTATTTTTAACAATTTATGAGCTTTATTTAGTCTATTAAGCGTTACGCATGAAAAAAGAATGTTTTTTTTTAAATTTTGCCTGACTTTCAGATGCGTATGATGATACAAAATGTAAACAATAATTTCCAAGTTTCCAACTGTCGAAATGACACTAGTGACCTTTGATTAATAGAGTTGAGAATCGATTTTTAGTATAGAGATGTTGGAATTGATGTTACAAAATAACTGTTACTTTTTTCACGCGTATTTTATACCCCCATTTGGATAAATGGGGTATATTAGATAAATGGAGTATATCAAGTGAAACATTTCGTTGTTTTTTTTTTAGGTATTTATTTACTTCGCCAGATACTTGAAAGGCCAACTGCCTCAAAAATTGGATTACAAATGGTTGGATAGAATGGAGTTGGATAAAACCTTACCGACTCCTTACAAAAATAGTGTACAACAATTTTTAATAGACGAATAAGTCAATTCTACTAATTATCTAGTGTTGTCAGGTTTTTTTCTGTAGCGGTCGAACGAACAAACTATCCTCCGGCATCAAAATCCTGCAAAATATAACATTTTTTACCAAAGATTCCTGCGGGAATAAATATAAAAATTGGGTAATGTTGTAGTTTTAAGACGTAAGATTGTCAAGATTGTCAATTGTCAAGGTAGATTTGATGAGATGTAATTACTTTTTTATTAACTTGTAAAAGAGACTTTTGAACTCCCCATTTTTCTTCCCCTTTTTTCAATTGCCAAGCTACATTTGATACAACATTACCAAATAAATGGTACTTACACGTTGGCATTATTGGCCATGCCCGGAACAGAAATCGGTTGGAGCTTAGTTTCTTCCGGGACTTTAACAGTTAATGAAGATTTCGGGCCCGTTTTCCACGTGTTACACAGCTCGTCTACCACGGAAGCCTCGATGGACAGTAAATACTGGCCCCCTCTGGGAAAAGCCAGCAGAAATTGAGCGGTGAAGAAGTCTTTGTGGGGCGTTACGGTTTGAGTCAAAACGGCCACTTGTTCGAGAATCTGAAAAAAATCAATTCACTCGAAATACGAAAAATTAAAAAAAAAACTATTACCTTCGAATCGATGACTTCCTTATTTTTCGGATTACTCTGCAACTGCGACGTCACCGTAATCACGACCTCCTTGATTTTCCTGAACAGCCCCGGTCGCGCCCCGTGCTGAATGACCCCCTCCACTTTAACGGCCAACTGCGATCCGGATTGGACGCTGATCAATTCCCCCAATACCCTCGGCTGAGGCGACACGGCCAACTTGACGCTGGTAAATTGCAACGTTTGAAAGAAGTACCGCGGTATCGGCAACGAGGCGTTTACGGTTATTTCTACGGCCTTTTTTAACACCTCCACTTGCTAGAAAATATATATTTAAAATATGCGAGAGTAGTAGTTAAAGTACTTACATTATGAGTGATCATCACGCTGGCCGTGTCTTCTTTTATGTTTTGGACGATTTGTAGAGCGCTCTTGCAGGCTTTAACCAATTGCTGCGACTCTAATCTCGTATTTTTCGATCCGAATTCGATGTGTTCCTCTTTTATTTTCGCCCCGCTCACGCACAAACTTTCCACGCACTTTTCCAATAGCACGCACATTTGCTGCAAACTACATCATAATCATAATTATAAGGTTTTGAAGCATTAAACAAGGATGCATTCTTTACTTACATTTGCATATTCTCCAAAGTACCGGGATCCGCATCGAAGGAGGCCTGGTACAGCTTCCAATGCATATCGCCGCAGTTCTTGAAATCCTTGACGCACTTGCGCAGCTGATTCGTCACGTAGCCGTGCCTTTGGTACTCGTCGCGCGTGTTCTGCACGATGGAGGCGGCGATGGCGGGCGACGGCACCACGCACAGGCTGTTGCAGGTGTAGATCAACTGCAGGAGGCACTGCAGGTATTCGGCGCGGATCTTCATGTACTCCGCCTGGAAGAGCAGGTTGTGCTGGGGCGTGCTGGCCGCCTTCAGAGCGGCCACCGCTTTGTTGTAATGTATGATGGCGGCGTCGAGGCGGTTTATGAGAGGGGCGGCGGCTTGGGGGCAGAGCTGCGACTCGGCCTCGGACAGTTCCTTCAGGCACATCAGCCAAAAGTGGAAGTGCTCGCTGCTGACCTGTTCGGTCAGGCCCGTGAAAATGTAACTGGCTACCTGGAAGTAGGGGTAGACCCAAGTAGAATCTCCATATTTAGACTATTTTTGTTTCTTTCTCTTTATTTATTACCTTATGATGCCCATATCGCATGGCAGCCCTGGCTATGCAATAATTCGCCCACAAGTTATTCCCATTCACTACATTAATTATTCCATCGTAGGCGGCGTCGCTCCACTTGTATCCGGACAACGTTTGAAATACCAGCGTGCAAAGCATCGTTTTCATTTGGATTTGAAGTTTCGTCGGCGTAGCGACCATTCTCAGGGCGTCCAGTAGATTCAGAATCGTATCGATTAGAGGTATTAACGTTTCGGGTTTTAAGCTACCGATGGCTCCCAAAACTTCGCATATTATTAACGTATGATCGCCTGGAATAACAATATATCATTACCGACGTATACTCGTAGATGCTGGATGTGTTAAATACGCGTGAAAAAGTAACGGTTATTTTGTTACGTCCGTTCCAACATCTCTATACTAAAAAATCGATCCCCTCTCTATTAATGATGTGTCACTGCTGTCATTTTTGACAGTTCTAAATTATTGTTTACGTTTTGTATTATCGTACGCATCTTAAAGTCCCTCTTATTAAGCAAATATTGAAAAAGTTAAACTAAGTAGGATATATTAGAGAAAAGTACTAATAATCTTACTGTCGATGTCTTGGATCCTTGTGCCTAATAATTCTACGAATACTTCGCAATATTGATGTTTGGCTTCGCATAATCTAATGGCGCATTTTAATACTGTCTTTAATTGTACCGAATGCTTTCCTTTGATGCACGTCAGCAAAAGTATTAGGGTTTCCAAGGCTGATATGACCTCCTCCTCTCCGTCGGTTTCCAAATTCTCTCTATAACTAAAAATCGAATAATGAACCGGTACAAGTAGATTGATTAATTACCAATAGCAAAATATCTGGCTGAGAATTCCAATGGCTTGGGCGGCTATTTTGGGCTCGGGCGAATAACAATGATTGCTGCACAATTCGCGCAACTTCGAGCCGCTCGATCTGTGTTCGTGGCACATTATCGGGGACTCCACCAAAACCTGCAGAACATCTAAAATACAAATTAATTCCTATGTACTATTTCTATCTCTTTCCGCTTAGTACACTTACCTAGGGCAGGCGATAGGATCCTCTTGTGCTTCGACTGCAACACGAATTCTATGATATTATCGATGGATCCCGGGGGCCAGAGATGCGCCCCCGGCCCCGCCAATTCGTACAAATGCTCCAGCGCCTTCGATTTCACCTCCCATCGCGGATCCTCCTTCAAATAGTTCAACAGCAAATTCACCTGGCTGGGAATGTCCACCAGCGTAGCCGAGGCCAGTTTCGTCAGCGCCATCAGAGTTACCAGCACGAATTCCTGAGCGGGGTAACCTAAAATTTCAATCAAATATAATCAATTACTATAGTTCTACAGCGTTCCAAATCATTCTAGACAGTTTCTCTCCCCAATTCTGATTCGTTCAGAGGCAATCTAAATGATTCTGTATAGTTCCAATTCGTCCAGAATCATGCTAAATGGTTCTGAGGCATTCTAAATGATTCTGGACTGTTCTAAATTGCTATAGACACTTCTGATTCGTCCAGAATCATTCTAAATGATTTTGGACAGATCTAAATTGTTCTAGACAGTTCTCATTCGCCCTGAATCATTTTAAATGGCTCTAAAACATTCTAAATGATTCTGGGCAGTTCTAAATTGTTTTAGACACTTCTGATTCGTCCAGAATCATTCTAAATGGTTCTGAATCATTCCAAATGGTTCTGAAGCATTCTAAATGATCCTGGGCAGTTCTAATTCGTCCAGATTCATTCTAAAATGGTGCTGAATCGTTCTAAATGTATTTACCTGGTAACAATTCAATACACAACGATCTCACCATGGCCGCTGTGTTAGTATCGTGGTGCATATATTGCAATATCGGTATTAATTTCAACTTCATGTTGGCCGGTGTGGATTGCCTTTGAATCATATCAGACACTTTATTACACATACTGATCGCAAAACTCCTGAAAAAAAAAACGTTCATTTTAATTACATAAATCTCCACTACGTATTTGAATACTGACTTCGATTGTGCTGCGAATCGTACAGCTCCGTATATAGCGGCTTCTACTTCTACGTTATCGTGGGAATCCAAGCTGCTCCTTATGCAATGGTGGATTTGCTGTCGTTCTGGTATAATGGCCGCCACGGCTCCGAATATCCTCAACGTAACAGCCCTGGCGATGGGATCGTTGCTGTGGATCACGCTGTAGATTCTCTTTACGAATTCGTCCACGTTGGAGACTTTGTCCAAGTGCTTGTCGCTCTGTTGGCATACTCGTAACACGCACAGTCTCAGAAAATTGTTGCTGAAATGAAATGAATATAAGAGGGGTTAATTTAGCGTGTAAATTAGAACTTACCCGAACCGAAATACATCGGCTAGTTTCAACAGAGAAGCGTTGATGAGAATAGGGAAAGGGTATCGTTCGAATAATTTGGGAAATCTCACTATGGCTTCGCATTGTTCGCCTACTTTGTTTGATCTCAAGCCTGCGAAGTAATTATCGATACTTTTAATAAGTTTAATGGATGTTGTTAGAAATAAAACTAACCTTTATCTAGTTCTGTTAAGGCCGAATTGGCGTCTTGGTCGGGTTCCCCCAAACCGTTTTCGTTAAACGTATTTACTCGCACCATAATCATTTCATTCGTAAATTAATAGGAGCTCTTTTAAATAGAAAAACATTAAGAATCTTTAAATATTTGTGTTTATTTTCCTCGCTGTTTTTCTTCTTTTTTTTATATTTTTTGGCCTCCATCTTTACTAGTATTTGGCCACCTTGTCATATTAATTTTGTTCATTTCTCATTTATTTAATAGATTCCAATCTGAGAAAGGAATAGTGAATAGTGTATTTTTTTAAAGCGTGTGATTAAAAAAACAAAGTAAGAAAGTCGATTATACAGGATGATTCTTTTTGTTAAAACTTGGACAATATCAGCGGAATTATCCTGTATCGAACATTTATTTTTCAATAAATATACCCTATTATTTACAAGACAGAAGTTAAACGTATTTCAAAACAGCTATAACTAAAATCACCTTCAACATATTTAACGACAAAACTCCATAAGTACAAAGTGAAAATTTTCTTACTTTTTATTTTACCGGTAAAAGGATCAACTTGCACTAGATTTAGGACGGCGACACGACCGTCCTCAACTACTCTTGATGAACGGTTCAATTGGTTTTATAACAGCATTTTTCAATAAATATTTTTAAAAATGAATTAAGGAACTTGAAAAGATCTGTTTGTAAAAGACAGTATATGTCAAGAAGAGCTTAAAGTATTTGTACATTTCTTTTTCGATTAGCATATGATATAGAAACACTCTGTGTTTCATTTTGTATAAAAAACATTTTTGTACGATTTTTAAAGAATCGAAACTTTTCGAAAATCGACCATTCTTGGAGATATTTTGTGTTTTTTGACACTATGTAAGATTAAGCTTAAGCTCCTTGTGACGCACCCTGTATATCTACAACAAGACGTACCGTTGAGAATTACAGTTGTACTGTAAGGTAAAATTTCAAAATCATCTCAAACATTCATTCAAGACATCTTTCTTGGTTCTAAACAGCAGTTGACTAGACCAAGTTATTCTGTTAAAAAAAAGAACGCAAAAAAATCTCAAATTTTCAATCGTGAATCGTGTTTTTTTGAATCTGTTTCGCTTTAGCGCCACATCATTAAATTCTTTATATACAATTTTCCCTATTTAGTCTTAAAATTCGAGTTGCCCGAAACGGCAACCGTTTATTCTAAAATTAAATCACTTATTCGTTCACTTATGCGTATCATCATCATCCTATCATTGTTTAACTCTTATCGTCGTATTGAATTCATCTTCTTCGTTCGGTTCCGGATTAGACGCCTCCGCATTTTTAACGTATATCGGATCGCATTTACCCCTAACGTAATCTTCCGTTACTTTCACTTCGGTAATATTCGCCCCTGGTACCTCGAACATCGGCTCCAACAATAGACTTTCCTAAAAAAATATCAAATCCAATAAAATCGATAATAAATACAGGGTGTATGCAATCATTAACATGATGGTATATTAGAAGTGTCACAAATCAATCTATTTTCAACTTTGGAGTCTGGTGAGCTCCAATAGAGGATTTTTGTGTGCTCTAGTAGAGGAGACTAGTGAGCTCCAGTAGAGGATATTGATGAGCTCTAGTAGAAGGTATTGGTGAGCTCCAGTAGAGGATATTGGTGAGCTCTAGTAGAGGAGACTAGTGAGCTCCAGTAGAGGATATTGATGAGCTCAAATAGAGGATATGGTGAGCTCTAGTAGAAGATAATGGTAAGCTTCAGGGGAGGAGACTAGTGAGCTCCAGTAGAAGAGTTAGGTGAACTTCGTTGGAGGAGACTAAATTTCTGAGACACTTCTAACTGCCCATAAGGGATGATTTAACGTAAATATTTTACCATGATAGCTCGTAGACCTCTGGCGCCCGTTTTCCTATCCATCGCCAAATGGGCGATGGCGTTTAGAGCTTCGGCAGTAAAGGTGAGATCGCAACTATCCATGGACAGGAGCCGTTTGTATTGAGGAACTAAAGCGTTTTTGGGCTCCGTTAGAATTCTCACCAACATGGCTTGGTCGAGCGAATGAAACGGAACTAGTACGGGAAACCTTCCCACAAATTCCTGAAAAATACAAACCAATGTAAACGAGTTGAGTTAAACAAACGTATTTTAGGCTCATTGACACCCTGTATAGCGTATGTTATTAAATACTTACTGGTATCATCCCGAAATCTATGAGATCCCTGGCCTGAACTTGCCTCAGAGCCGCGTCCTTTTCCGTATTCTCCTCTTCGGCGGATTGAGAAGAATGATGCAACGTGGCTTCTTGGGCGATGGCCCTTCTACCTTTGCCCGATACTACGGGAGCGCCGAATCCTAAATACTAAAACAAAAACCGGTAAATTGACTGATTGATTGGAGTAATTCATCAATGGAAACGCGCTTACGTTTTCGTTATTCCTGCGTTGTACTAATCGTTCCAATCCGTTGAAGGCACCGCTGGCGACGAAAAGAATATTGGTAGTATCGACTTGTATCGTTTCCCCTCTCAATTTGCGAGGCGAATTACGTTCGGGAACGTTCACCACCGTACCTTCAAGCATCTTAAGCATGCCCTGTTGAACTCCTTCGCCTGCAACAAAAACACAACAATCAGCAGTTGATTAAACGATTTAGATGAGTAGACGAGTAGACTATTAGATGTGCAGATGAGTAGATGGTAGAGGAAACGAGTTAATGAATAGATGATTAGGTCGTAGATGAAAAGATGCTTAGATGAGTAGAGGATTTGATGCTTAAATGAGTAGATTATTAGATGTGTAGAGGATTTGAAGATTAAATGAGTAGATTATTAGATGATTTGATAAGTAGAGGATTTGATGATTAAACGAGTAGACTATTAGATGTGCAGATGAGTAGATTGTAAGGGAGTAGATGAGTAAATGAATAGATGATTAGGTCGTAGATGAAAAGATGCTTAGATGAGTAGATTATAAGATGTGTAGAAGATTTGAAGATTAAATAAGTAGATTTGATAAGTATTTATAAGATAAGATGATTTGATAAGTATAGGATTTGATGATTAAACGAGTAGACTATTAGATGTGCAGATGAGTAAATTATAGAGGAGTAAATGAATAGATGAGTAGATGATTTGATGATTAAACGAGTAGACTATTAGATGTGCAGGTGAGTAGATGGTAGAGGAGTAGATGAATAGATGATTAGATGATGATGATTTTACCTCCGACGTCTCTGAGTTGATGTATGCCGGGCACGGCGCCGATTTTATCGACTTCGTCCAAAAATACGATCCCCACTTGCGCCCTATCCACGCTGTAACCGGCGTCTTGCAACAGCTTCCCAATGACGCTTTCGATGTCCTCGCCCACGTAACCCGCTTGGGTTAGCGTCGTGCAATCGCATATGGCGAACGGCACGTCCAGGCATTGGGCTATCGTTTGGGCGAGAAGGGTCTTTCCTACACGCATCGAAAACGGAATCATTTTTTTTTTGTCCGAGTTAGATAGAATCGAACGGAACCTTACCCGATCCGGTGGGTCCGAGCAGCAGGATGTTGCTCTTCTCCAACTTCAAATCGTGCGTCGTCCTCTCCAATATCTCGGAGCCCTGGCCCGTCTTGGCGGGGGCCGTTTGCGTCTCGAACGGTCCGCCGAAATTCAAACCTATCGAAGCATTACCCAAACCGGTTACGTGCGGTTGATCTGCAATATGCGTTTCACCTTTATTACATGTACAAACCGACGTATCAATGCTTCGTAAACAAGCCCAAAAGAAGCATTCGTGCCGCTCGTGTATTCGTTATCATGCAATAACAGTGAAAAGTATATTGTTATCTATTCCAATGCGCTAACGATTTATTTGGCTTGCAGAATGTTACCGTGTATCCCGCGTAAAGCGGGCGTTAGAAGTGAGATTGAGATGGAATTACTTTGTCTGGAACAAATATTAATTTAGCTATGATAAGTCGATTAAAACCACCCCAAAAACCTTCCTAAAACAACTCTTATTATGCTTCAAAATTGCTCAAAAAAAAACCAAATTAATTCGATCTCTGCAAAATTCTAATACCAGCTTTACTAGGCTCGCAGTGTATTATTATACCTCGGTGCGTTATACTGTGAGGCCCGTGCTCCATGACGGCCATATCCTGTCTGGAATTCGGCGATTGCGTCGGATTATTGTTGTAAATCCTCTTGTAATGATTGTAGACGGCCACGGACAGCACCTTCTTGGCGTAATCCTGGCCCACGACGTGCCTGTTGAGGTAATCGTAGATCTTCTTCGGCGGAGGCGGCGGCTTCTTGTGCTGCCCCATCTTGGCGTCGACGCCCTCCTTCTTCTTGCTGTCCATCTCGCTCAGCACCACGAAGAAATGGTGGCATTTCTCGCACTTCACGAACCGCGTCGAGCTGACGAAGGTCTCGACGTGCGTGCACGGATCGCCGCACTTCGGACACGACAGCGTGTTCTTGTTCTTACCGCCCCCGCCTGAGGAGTCTTTCGACGGCGGCGGCGGCGGGTTGAAGCCTTTAGGCGGCTCCGAGGTGGTCTTGTATAGTATGATGCTCGTCGATATCTGTCTGCCTTGCGTTAGATTGTTGTTGTATATTGCTGAGATTATACCTAAAAAATACGAACAGAAGGGTGTTGAAATTGTATGAAAATTTCCTAGTAGTAGAATAAGGGTTAATAAAATTATTTATTTTTGTTATTTATAGTTTTCTCAGAGTAAATATACTAAATCGTTCGGAACAGTTTTGATGTTCTGAAGCGTAGTAAATTGTTCTAGACTTCTATAATTCATGCAGGAAGAGTGTAGAATCGTCCACAAAGCGTTCTAAAGGGTTCTGAACAGTTTTAAATCGTCCTGAAGCGTTGTAAATTGTTCAGGACTGTTATAATTCTTCCAGAAAGAGACGAAATTATCCAGGATGCGCTCTAAATGGTTCTGAATAGTTTTGAATCATCGTCCTGAACCGTTGTAAATTATTCTGGACTAATATAATTCGTTCATGATGAGTTCTGAATCGTCCAGAAATCGTTCTTAATAGTTCTAGCGAGTTATGAATCGCAAGTTCGCAAAATACTTTGCAAAGGTTAGTGACTCGATTAAATGTTTGTAATTACTGCTTTTGTTTCATTGTATTTTCAAACGACTGTTTAACATACCCGTTTGAAATTGTAGCGAAACGTTTTTTAATTATGAGTATGAATTATTTAAATCACAGGAATAGTTAATTAATTGGAATATCATTTAAATGATTCGTTGTAGTTTCGAATACGAGCGGATTGTTACATTATAGCTAAAATGTGTATAATAATATTCACGACTACATTTGAAGTAAATTATGTATTTAATTAATTTTAACAAATCAGAATTGTGGAGGTCAAATAAATTTCATTGTTAATAACCTTAAAATTTGAATAAAACGATCCTTGACCAGCCGTGTCTGTCGTGTTTGTGTAACATTGAAAACAATTCCCATTTAAAAATAGACAAAAACGGAGAATCCTAAACATTTATACTTTAGTAATCAACTGGCTGTTTATTTACATCCAGAATAAAATGCAAAAGTACAAATACTAATTAAATTACCAACCAAATTAATTCGTAAACATTACGTCCGCTGTTATTTTTATTTAATTGTAATAACTGATTAAATTCAATCTCGAAACACTGTTGCAGCAATAAGCTGGCAATCGAAAATATGATAACTTACCGTGTTGCAATTTTATATTTCTGACGATATGGGCGCATTTTCCCACCGTAGATAAACTGCATCTCACGCTGCCCATCTTCGAAAATCGACTGTAAATTTAAAACCGACAGATTCTCCCAAAATTGCAGCACCAACTGGCAAAACAAGTGTCTGCGTTGCGGGTTCGTAATGTGTAAGTGATTTCTAAAAATTCGTCACGTCGCAAATGGCTGATTTGTAATTAAACGGAATTAGAATTGTGGGTAGATGCGAAGCGGATGGATGAATGTCTTGAATGCGAACAGCTAACAGATCGAAATTCGTAAGAGGATTACTGAAATTTTGATAACTGAATTGTGATTTGTCAACAATTGTCAAATGGTCGTTCACTCATCACTAACTCTTTGCTGATTATTACTAAATTTTAATTCAACAATGACATTTATGTCAATGTCGATATTGTCAGTGTCACTGTCAGTTTTGTCTTCATCTTATTTCTTTGATTTCTGCTCTCTACTATTGGGACTATTCAGATACCGTTAATATTGTTTAGTTCTTCTTTTTTATGAGTTACGTAATTTTTCTAGCTTTGTTCTGTGTGTATTGTCTCCTTCAACAGTATTATTTATGGATTTCAGGAAAATGAAACTAATAATAGATCATTTGTAATGATTGATTATTGATTTAGTCTATCATAATTCTTCTTTTTTTACTTTGTAACAATGAGTTCTGTGCGTTCTGTGCGTTTTAATGATTATCCTGCTATCTTTTGACAAACAGTAAAAAGAGAAAATTTAAAGATTCCTGTAAAAATGAAACCTATAAGAAGCCATTTTTTATCCACTAATCCAGTCCATTACACAAAAAATGAAGTAAGTACATTCTATAAAAACAATTTCCACTTCCATTAAGTCTACAAATTTTTCAAACGTTATAAATTCAACCCTTCCAGCGAATATTTTTCCCATAATTCGACTTCCCTAATCCCATCGATTGCCCTTCATCGTCTCTAAATTGTTATACGCACCTCGCCCAATTCATTACCAAAATCCCAATTTCAATTTCGCCTAAACGAGATTAATTAGCCGGCGGTAGGGGTTCGAATCGACGTAATTCAGTGTCGAGGCAAGTAAACCGGTGGGATCACCGCCTCCGGGGAAAATTAAAATCGCCCGCCAAAAGACCATCCTAATCTTGGCCGATTCGAAAACCGTTTCCTGCGAGGTACATACACCCTTTATTTACGTGAATAATTTAATTTTGATCGCAAGTTATGTGTAACATCGACATCTTGGTTTAAACGTGGATTAGTGTTGGTTCGAGCTAATCAAATCGCAGGATAAACTAGATTTAATCCAATCCTTAACCTCTTCATCATGGAAAATGGGGATTTTAATGAAGGGTACATTGAGATACAATAACAGAATTTATAACGCTTCAGGACGATTCAAAACTGTTCAGACGATTTATTCGAATGATTTCTGCACGAGTCAGAACCTTTCATTAAGAAATTGTAGCAGTCCAGAACATTTACAAAACTTTAGGGGATTCAAAAGTGTTCAGAACAATTTAGAACGTACTCTTTCTGGACAATTCACAACTGTTCAGAACCATTTAGAACGCTTTCTGGACGATTCCGCACTGTTCCTGGAATTATAACAGTCCAGAACAATTTACAACTGTTTAGGACGATTCGAAACGATGAGAAAGGCAACATTTGAAAGAGGGATGCCTGTTTATGCAGAAGTAGCGATGGAAAGTTGAGACCTTGATACGTTTAACATCTGAATCTCTAGCTGTAACAATGCCGAGCATTAATTAAGCGACTGTAAATATGTATCGCAGATATACGGTCTGGAGATTATTGCAGTGATAAAAATATACATCAAACGCCGCTCCAGCTACGACATGAACATGAGCTATGGCTCTTGCGGCCTTGGAGATTCGAAGAACAGAACAGCCAGCTACTCTACCTCTAAAAATAGACATTGTTTATTTTTATTATCGGTGCATTCTTTCATAATTATATCCAGTCAGCGCGATTTGATCTCACGTTTTTGTGTAAAATGCTTATAGGGACGATTTTTTTTGTGTACTGATGATTTTTTTTGCTGGTCATCGGTTTTTTTGAGGATATTTTTTGTATACAATTTTAATATTTAAAGAATTGTCAAATTTATTTAATTTTTTATGACACATATAGAATGTTCTGAAATATTTTGAACATTCTGTATATTAGTAACTAATTTTAACATATGTGAAGCCCCTCGTATCTTTCAATTGGAACCATTAAAGTCTTTGCCATAGAGAATAACTTGTACACAACTGTTAATTACTTTTCCATACATTTCTAATATGCTACCGTCATGACATATTTTATACAGGGCGGCCCAAATTTCGAAATCCGCTCTCCGTAGCTTTAGCCAGTGAAACTCGAGCTCGTAATCTTATCTCGGGAGTTCGGCGGCCGGGAGTACATAAACAATCACGTAATTTTTACGAATTTTGTGCACCGCCAGCCGGTATCTGATAAGAGCTGCGCGGGTCATGTGCGGTGCATCGAAACAGAAAAATATTCATAATTCGACAAATAAATTAGATAAATACGAGAAAATATCGTTGGTAGCTAGAAAAATGTACGCTCTACAAATTTCGACTCTTGAAAAATTTCGTAAACTGTTTTCTAGTTTTAGCGATGATAACAATTGCATCGCACACATACATGTAAATATTTTTTTATTTTAGCCAGTCGCGTAGATATGGGTAGGTTTTGGTACAATTTTATCAAAAAAGTAGTACGCCCTGTAATTTACAGTATAGTTTCAAAATAACTGACCATGACTAATCGTTTAAGTCAAAAACAAATAAAAAGTTGCGGCACATGCTAATAGTTGCTAGAGTAATGTTGAAAATTCGGTCTCGAATAGAAGTATCGAGGTTTTTACCGCTTCATTTAAAAATTGACCAGTTTCACTTCAAGTGCGAATATTTACGCGAGTAAATTTATATTACTATCTCTATCTGTTTTACAATATCTATATAATACCATCTCTTTCTCTTCTTTTTGCAACGAGACCGGTTTTTATCAGTTTTTTTTTTCAGTTTTTATCTATCGATTCCGATATTCGCCGATAGAATAAAACAGAAGCGTGTCAATGAATTGGTTTTATATTCTAATAATCTGTCGTTATTATTAATGTTATTAACATTTAACTAATACCATGAGATCCATAAAATTATTCAATATTAATTAAAATTAAAAAAGAGAAATATAGGCATTTTATTTGAATTAAATAATAATTATGAGTCCTATTTAATTTTCATTTCGCGCCACTGGTATTTTACCTCTCGCACTTCTCGAACCCACAAGGGCCACAAGTTGAAAAATTAGTCATGGTCAGTTATTAAGATCCCAACGTATAGTTGTTACATTTAAAACATTTAGTTTTCGAGCTATAGGGTGTTAAAATTTTAGAAAAAAAAAACTTTTCTATCATAATTTTCTTATTACTATTTTCTTATTATTTTTAAGAAATTGTGTACACTTTTTAATTATTAAGGAGCATTTTTTGAGGCATAAGATTTTTTTAAACATTCACCAGTGACGTTCCTACGGGGTTTGAACTGAATATGTTTGAAAAAAAAATTACACCACTGCTTTTTCTAAAAACTAAAATTATTTTTAAAATCCTCATTTATTTTGTAGCAAATTCAATCAGAAGACTTATTGTCGGACGAATAAAAAAATATAAACCAAAACCATTTTTTCACCAGTTCATTTTGAGACTGCGCTTTTGATATTTTGTTGAAATTTGATAGGCGCCCACCATGCATAGAAACACTTTTTTTTTGATAAAAATTAATTTTCTACTATTATCAGTGACGTCCACGTCCGAAATTTTATAAATATCAGCCGAAATAAGAAAACTTTTCTTCTTAAAATCATCCAAATATCCTGAAGTATCGGCATACAATTAATTAACACCTTGTATATCGAAGCATGCAAAAACGCTCTAAAGGAGCGATGTAAATGAGGACAAAAATATGGGACAGTCGTGTGCGGTGCGTGCCCTTCGCGCGGCCCTCCGTTCCACTACGCCTGTGCCCCGGTCGGTGCCGTGACTAACCTAACTCACGGAGCGGCAGCGAAGACCTGGAGAGCGAGGAGCCGAGGAGAAGCCAGTCAGTAAACAGTGTGGTGTCAGCGTGGGTACGTACCTGTCGATGGCGTCCGGACGAGATCGCTCTTTCTGAATTTCATCTCGCCATTTTGTGTGCGATGTATAAAATGCACGCGATCTCGAACGCGAATTTGTTGTTGCGAGTGTAGTACGCGCGCGGTTTTTCGTTGTATTCGTAGTTTTTATTTTAGTTTTCGTGTGCATAAGTGACCGGTGTGTGTGTTTTGGAATTTATTCGTTCGAGCAATGGCCTTTACAGACACTCGCTGCTTGCCTTCAAGTAGGTTCGCTTGCTGGTAATTTACGAAATCTCCAGCATTTCCTTCTATTTATTTATACGTTTGCATTTCATCACGCATGCATAGATATTCTCAAAATTCCCGTTTTTCTCTCTCGAAAAAGTCCTTCGAGCAAGTTCTTTTTATTGTTTGAACACCTGTCTGTTCTGTAATACATATAAAATAAAAATGTGAGACTGCGTCTCTCGTATAGAAACTAACCAGTAGCCATGACCTCACTCTTTAACGCGAAGAATTACAACAGCAAAATGTGTAAAATAATTAATGTTTGGTATACCGGTATTAATCGAGTTTGTTTTGAAATTTATTAGGTCAACTGTTCTAGTCCACTATTGAAATCTATTTAACAGTAGGTAGAGACAAAGAAGATATGCAACCTGTGATGCGTTTGTATGCGTATACACTAAAATTCCCAATATTTTTAATATTTTTCTATATCCACTCCAATCATTCATACTATTAGAACTCTTATTCATAGGTACTGTTTTTTTATGTACTTAGGTACATATAGAAGCCTTGACATATTTTATTAATATGATATATGTATAGATATTCTGAATAATTATTTTGAGGTATATTTTAAAACAATAAAATGAAACAAGTAGACACTTATTAGGTGTAGTTACTACATTTTTAATTGAGTACGTAAAAAACTGACTCAATTTCATTCGAAATGTTTCCACGAAATGTTTACCAAGGGCAAATATTTCATATAATAAGGGCCCGATTTCGATTGAATGTCGTTCATAAATTTAACGAACGCGTAAATTATATATGATTACGTAATTAGCATTTTATTTACACTTTGTTTCGTTCTCTATCATTAAAGTTGGGTTAAAGCGATGTGTCCCACTTTTCCAACGCAATTGTTTGTTTTCATTTCGATATATGTTCACGAGTGTATCGAACAAACGGAATGATGTAACGTTTTCAGCTCAAATAGTTGAATTTATTCCGCTGTCGTTTTGTTCGAAAATTGCTAAATTATTTATTTACCATTACCGATCGCTCTGTGTAGTTTGTCCTGCTAATAGTGTTGTTTTTTAACGACAAACAAGAATTTCACTAAATTACCGTGGAGTTTTCTAAAATGCGATAAATAACGTTTATAAATTCTACATAAAGAATGGTTGGTGTACTATTTCTTTCTGTGAGTTTTGTCCCACTTTAGTATTAAAAATTTAAACATTAAAATCGACCAAAAATTGATCAAAAATGGACTAAAAGTAGACAAAGCCATATTTAACAAAAATTGATCAAAAAATTACGTTTCTTCTTTTGAAAAATTGTACAAAAAATTTACTTTACACTTACTTTACATTTACACAATGGTAAAAGTATTAAACGTTTGAAATATTTTTATTGAATCACTCTTGCTACAAAATTAGATTTTAATACAATCTCCTCATATCAAACCGTGCGTATAGTAATTCTTAATTAATCCATTACAATTACAACATGATCATATATAAATGTATTATCTATTTCGATCTATTAAATATCGAGAGCAGCGAAACCGATGTATATCTAATCAAAATATTGATACTCGTTGAGCGTATAGTACAGCAATTAATCAAGATCGATGTCAAACGCTCGAACTTAGTCGGTTAACTTGCCAGAATTCCGCCGATCGATAATTCCTGGCTAAATTTTAATCCAGAGAGGTGTGAACTTCACAAAACCTAATTAGGCTTGATGGAATATTAAAACAAACAAATCATCCGAAAACGCAGGTAAACCAAAATTAATTTTCCCTTAATAAATACGCCAGGATCAATGTAATTATGGAACGATTTTATACAACTATTCTCCACATAAAAGAGTAAGTTTGATGGTATATTAGAATAATAAATAATTTATCTATATGCATTTATTTATTGTGGTTGAATGTGATGACTGTGTGCATACAGAAAAGGAAATATTTATACTTCCACGAAATATATTCGTTCCGAACTTTCCGATAGCCATTGCTTCATCCTTTAAAATTGCAGCGATGCAGCAAAGTTGAATTAAAATAACGGCTCGTTTTACATTCCGCGAAACGCGCGATGCACGATCGGGATGATACAAAATGCATTAAAATAATAGAAAGTTTCTAAAAATATCTGCGGCATTTTATGGAAATCGAACGGCGCTAAAAATGATCATAAAAGAGATAGATACTTAATGGGGAAGCGTAAATCGCCGAAGCGCATGAAATAAAATGACTTTTCTAACGGTAACGATTCGAAGAGGAGTTAGTTGTCACCGAAAGAGAACTTGTTCGCCTTTTATTCGAAGATATTTCACTGCCCAGCCGATGCTATCGCAAAAGCTATACCAAAAATCCTCTGTGTAAGGGCTTCCGGACCTCTCGGTGCAGATGTTCCAATATAGCACGAATCGGCCAAAAAGGGCGAAGGGTTGATCCAACAGCTGATCGTGGCGTGTAGTTGAATACATTAACAGTTTAAATTCTACATCCTTATGGGAAATATTATTAAACATGATTCAGATATAACCACTACAATATTATTATAGTTAAGCTCGGAATATATTCACAAAATGTTCATCAAATATGCAAAATATTACAATATAAATAGTGCATTAATAAACTAAATTTTTGTTAATAACTTATTTCATTTTATTTTTTACATATTTGCCTTAATTAACCCGGCCATACAATTTATTTTTCTTCTTATTTATTCTATTAAAATGATAGTCACAGGATAATGATAAATTAAGATTCTAATTTAGTTATAAAGCTTCAGAAATTGCTGGGTAATTACCGTAACTCAAAAAATGCAGCTTGCATAAAATCCGAGTTTTAGCTTTAAGAATAATCAAAGTGCTCGAATGCACAGAATGTATATTAAATTGACCTAAATTCTCATAAATAAGACCAAATCCGTCTTTGAATTAGTCAAAGCACTTGTTGATTCTAGTAAAATCCCATTGAATCATGGTTTAAATTTAAGAAATTTCTGTACTGGTAAGTAAGTGGATACATTCTCGCAGTACATTTTTCAATCTGGTCTTGTATCTAGTAATAGTCGTCGGTGCTTTTAGCCGAAGGGGGAAGAAATCGCCGGTAATCCCGCACTAAATTTTATCGTTTCGCTTTTAGGATTCCAGTTCGCAGGGAGAATATTTTATTCGACGTAGGGAAGGAAAGGCGAGCTCGGCTTTAAGCGCTGTATAGCTCGTTGCAATTTTCCTGCGCGTAGAAAAAAAAATACAAAATTTGCCTAATATTAAGTACGCCCGAGAGAAGATTTTTTTATACCGAATTTGAATATTTAATTAAGTCTTCTCCGGCTGACGAGTTGACTTACTTAACCTCCGAGCGCGCGTATTTACCTCGAGCAACGGCCGCTTAAGCGGACTCGAAATAACGAGAGTGATAAATTAACGACAATAGTAATTAAAAGGAATAAAAACGAGAAAAATTATGTCAACGGTTTATTTATAACCGGAGAGAGAAAGATCCGTTTAAATTAGGTACAGCGTTGAGATATTGACAATGACGCATTGGGGCATTTTCGTGTGCCCTTCTATAGCGGCCGATTCTTTCGCATTTCTTTACTCCTTTTTCTATTGCTTTATTTGTCGGTGACGCACGTGGGGCACTTTATCAAGTTTATTTATTAATCACGGGTCGGGAGACACTGTGAATTCCGTTTTTATCTATTTATACGAGTTAAGACATGTACAGACTTGATAAATTTAGATCTCGAATATTTATTGGTCGCTGGATATCATATTTATTATCACAGATTGAATGAATTATTTGTTATTAGTCCTCAAAGGAGTTTCGTCCGTGTAAAGAATTTCTGAGCATACGAAAATAAATAAATTTTCCAGAGCTTTTAACACTCCCAAATTATCTCCTCTCGTGATAGCGAACGGAGTATAACATTCTTATTTGATTATTACCATATTAATAATTAACTCTAAATGAAAACATCTCGCCTATTTACCAATTATCGATTAAAATTTCTCTTTGAAATTAAACAAACACTTTCCTTAATTCTTCCGTATACTTGTTTATTTTCATTATTATTCTTTTTAATGTTCGTTTCAAGCCCATAGAAAGGTTGATGAACCGATTTTTTACCGCATATCTGTGGGTGAAATGATTGACATAATAAAGAACAAATTGCTATATATGAGAACCAATTTCGTAGTTATGATAATGAGATAGGTGAATGGTGAATTCCTTTAATAGAGAAGCAATCACGTTTTCGGTTTCGTTATGAAGTAACATTCATTATTCAAACACGGCAAAGATTATAACATATTGATAATAATGTATAGCTAAAATAGGTAGTAGTCGACTTGCTAATAAACTTGTTTATTCCTGTCGTGAGGGACATTATTGCTGGTTAGTAGACACCCTCAAGAAGATAAGAATGGGGGTGGGTAAAGAACAGTTATAAAGCAAAACCCAATTTCCGAGAACAGCCTCAGTGCGGTCTAAATACTCGCATATATCCTTCCAAGAATTTGGTAATATAACCGTTAGAAAATTTATGAACTTTCCAAATTCATGCCGAAATTTATTTCAGTCATTCGTAATTAACTCGTGTCGTTTATTCTTCAATTTAACGAAATTTAAATAACAATTTATTTCGTCCGCCTACCACGGAATGTTTGACTAAATAAGGATAACTCGTTAGATAGAATCGAAATGTTTACGTGACATAAAGCTTAAGAAACTTTCGGTATCGATTATTTATCATTCGATTTGAATTAATTAATAATATTAGAAACTAAATTTTTCTCTATTACTTTTAAGTGTAAAGTATCGGTTTTTGTCGCTTATGATAGCGAATCTCGTTCCGGCAATATTTTCCATCCAGTTTCCGTGCAGGATATCTCAAAAGGAAGCTAACGTCAAGGAAATTCCTGCTAAAGACAACAAACAGGAATGAGCTTGTTTTGTACTCCTATATTTTTCGTTCCCATTGAACTCGCTAATAGATGCTACTATAAATTTGTCCTCGAGAAGTTTATAGAGGAATCTATGTAATTTTGTAGAATTCTAATATATATTTGTAATAATTTTTGAGATATTATAAATATTTCGAGTTTTTTATGGATTGTCTAGTAGTTACTAATTTTTAGAGCAATTACCTCGAAAGGCTGTCGAATTAGAAATACACGGTATTTTCATTATGTAGAAAAATAGTTCTTCTATAATTTTTAAAAAATGAAAAATTTACGAAAATCGATTATTTTTTGAGATATTTTGAATATGAATAGATTGTATAGAAATTATAATTGTTTGGTGCAATTAATTTCAAAATTTCAATTATCTCGAAAACTAATTGAGATAGAAGTACCCTGTATGTTTCATGTTGTAGAAAAACATTTCTCTGCATAATTTTTTAAAGAATCGGAACTTTTCGAAAAATGCCTAAATTTCGAGATTGTATATGAAGTTGCTTACTTTGGTGAAATTCAATGAAAAACTGAATGAAATTCAATGAAATGAATAAATTATCTAGAAAAATAATTAATATAAAAACACCCTGTACATTTTCTTATATAAAAAAAATATCCCTACAATTTTTAAACAATCGAAATTATTCGAGAATAGCTTGTTTTTGGAGATATTTCGTTTTACCTTTTACACAAAGCGGATAGCTCGAGCGGATCGAATCGACTAAAAATCGATTGATTTCTTTCTTTTTTTTTTGCAGGTTCCGTTGCGATGAGCTGAAATGATGAATCAGCGTACATTCGCGAGCAGCCTATTGGTCATCGCGCTTTCATCAGCCGTCGTCGCCGATGGCAGTCCTAATTTTCAGTTTACTAAACAACATTACAATGTCAGCATTCCCGAGAATAGCGTCGCAAAAACGTACGCGACTCAAACTCCCGGCTCCGACCTCATGGGCATTCGGATATCGGGAGACACCTTTTTCGATATTCGATATAAGATAGTCGAAGGCGATAAGGATAAATTCTTCAAGGCGGAACATCGCGTAGTCGGCGATTTCTGTTTTCTTTTTATCAGAATCAAAACGGGAAATAACGACGTTTTGAATCGAGAACGTCGCGATAAGTACGTTCTTCAGATACGCGCATTTGCATCTATCAGAGAAGGCAAACAAAAAGTTCAATACACTACGGACACCACCGTCGACGTAACAGTTCTCGATACTAACGACTTGAACCCGTTGTTCTATCCAACGGAATACAATGCGACGGTATTCGAAGACACTCCGATACATCAGAGCGTCCTCCGAGTGGTCGCCGAAGACGCGGATTTGGGCAGAAACGGCGAAATTTACTACAGTTTCATCGAAGATACGGATAAATTTATGATACATCCCATAACCGGAATAATATCGCCGACGCGTCCTTTGAGATACAACGAGGGCTCCTATCACGAACTGACCGTATACGCGCAGGATAGGGGAACAATCGTTAAAAACGGTTTCGGAATGTTCAGCAGGGCTAAAGTGAGAATACGCGTGCAGAAAGTTAATTTTCACTCGCCCGAAATTAAAGTGAGGCGGCATCCGCAAATCGTGGAAAATTCGAACGCCGACATCTACGCAATCGTTAACGTTTCTGATAAAGACGAGGGAATACACGGTGAGGTAGCGAGCTTGGAAATCGTCGACGGCGATCCTGACGGACATTTTAGAATCCGCCCCACCAAACAACCGGGCGAATACAACATAGAAGTCCTGAAATTATTAGACAGGGAAACGGCGCCGAACGGTTACATGTTACAATTGAGGGCAGTGGATCGCGGCATACCGCCCAAAGAGAGTTACAAATCCGTACACGTCATCCTGGCCGATTTTAACGACAACGCTCCGGTGTTCAATAAAGAGATTTACGACATTAAAGTTCCCGAATCCGCGCCGGTAAATACTCCATTAATCAGACTAAAAGTAACCGATGCGGACGAAGGTAAGAACGCTCAAGTTTATTTGGAAATCGTCGGCGGTAACGAAGGCGGCGAATTCAGGATCAACTCCGAAACCGGTATGCTTTACACGGCCGTAGAATTGGACGCGGAATACAAGCAATTCTACAGTCTCACCGTTTCGGCCATCGATCAAGGCAACGTGGCGACCAGGAAACAATCCTCGGCGAAAATCAAGATATTCGTCGAAGACACCAACGATAACGATCCGATTTTCGAGAAGTCCGAAGCTGTAGTGTGGATAGACGAAAACATGCCGGCCGGAGCATCGGTAACGACCGTACACGCCAAAGATAAAGACAGAGGCGAGAACGCTTACATATCGTATCTCATCGCCAATCTCAATAAAGTCCCCTTCGAAATCGACCACTTCTCCGGCATCATCAAAACCACGACGTTGTTGGACTACGAGAGCATGCGAAGGGAGTACGTACTCAGAGTCAGAGCCTCCGATTGGGGCCTACCTTACAGACGCCAAACGGAGATGCAACTAACGGTAAAAGTCAAAGACATCAACGACAACCGGCCGCAATTCGAACGAATCAATTGCTTCGGCCGCGTGTCCCGCAACACCCCCATCGGCGCCGAAATAATCACCCTCTCGGCCATCGATTTCGACGCCGGTAACATCATAAGTTACAGGATCGTTTCTGGCAACGAAGACGGCTGCTTCGGCATCGACGCCACTTCGGGAACAATCAGCGTCAGTTGCGATCTGAACGATATTAAGATATCCGAAAGGGAGCTTAACGTCACCGCCACGGATAATACGCATTTCGCTGATATAGCCCGGGTTCGATTCAAGCTCGTCAATACGAAGAGGAAGCTGAGCGAGGAGCCGGAGCACTTCGATTGCAGAGATACCGGCGTGGCCAGGAAATTAACCGAGATTCTGGCGGATGCCGAAAACAACAACAAGCCTTCGACGCGGGAGGAATTTCCGATGATGCCGACGCGCTACGGCACCAACGTGCACGCCCCGGAATTCTTGGATTTTCCCGTCGAAATTAAAGTCAACGAATCCGTCGCGCTCGGTACGACGTTGATCAAGTTGCGCGCCAGCGACAGAGATTTGGGCTACAACGGGAAATTGCTCTACGGCATATCCAGCGGGGATCCGCGTTCGCAATTCACCATCGACATGGAGACGGGCGAGCTGAAGGTGATAGGGTACTTGGACAGAGAAAAGGACGTGGAGTATTTCTTGAACGTGTCGGTTTACGATTTGGGCAAACCGCAGAAATCCTCCTCGAGAGTTCTTCCGATAACGGTGCTCGATGTTAACGATAACGCGCCGAAATTCGAGAAATCCTTAGCGAGCTTCAGAGTAACCGAAAACGCTTTGAACGGCACCGCCATATTCAGAGCTAATGCTACTGACGCAGACGAAGGAGACAACGCCAAAATAACCTACTCTTTAGTAACCGATACAAAAGACTTCTCCGTCGATCCATCCAGCGGTGTACTCATAGTCTCCAATTACTTAGACAGGGAACGCCAGAGTTTGTACGAATTAAAAATCCGAGCGACGGATGGCGGAGGGAAGGGCGCCGATAATCCTCCCTTGCATTCTGAAGCGCTCGTACGAATTTCAATCGACGACATCAACGACAACCCGCCGAGATTCAGCCTGCCGAATTACGCGGTGAAAATCCGCGAAGACGTGCCCAAAGGCACCGTCGTGGCGTCCGTTACCGCCTCCGATCCGGACCTCGGCGCCGAAGGCGACGTCGTCTACTCGCTGGAAGACAGCGACAGCGATGGAGCGTTCAAAATCGACAGCGCCTCGGGCACCATTCGCACGACCAAGTTCCTGGACTTCGAGGAGCGGCAAGTGCACGGGCTGGTGGTGCGCGCCAACGACAAGGGCAACCCCTCGCTGTCGTCGGAGGCGAGCGTCACGATAAGCGTGGTGGACGTGAACGAGAACGTGCACGTACCGCAATTCGGCGATTTCGTTCTGTCGGGAAAAGTGAAGGAAAATCTGCCCGTGGGCAGTTACGTAATGCAAGTGAACGCCACCGATGCGGATCCGCCTGGCGGCGATAGCGCTATTGAATATTCCATACGGGGCGGCGACGGTATCGGCGTGTTCTCCATTGATAACAAAGGTAAGTCGGTTGGTTCTTTTTACAATGGGGTTGTTTCTTTGGGCGATACTTTAACGATGGAAATTAGAGCCGAGTATCTTTTATCGGGAATATGATTTATGATGAAACTAATGGGTATAGTTTGTCTCAAAATATTCTGTCTCAACCCTTTTATCTGCTTATATACAAGAAAAAAAAACTGAGACTTGCAACTTGGGACAAATTTTAAGACATTTTCAGACATTTCAAATCTTCCCGAAGTGCATTCAGTTATAAAAGAGCTAAGTTAAAGAAGGTGCTGATTTATTATTTAGCGTGGGAAGGTCTCCAAAAATTTATGCATCTCACTGGTGATTTCACAATTTAATTGCATCAAATGTGACCGTTATTTGACGACGAATTCGAAATGTCTTTACTTCCTCGACGAAAATAAAACGCGTAAAAATAACATCAAAGGATTTTTGTTGATTTGATGATTGTTTAGCTTTCACTATTCTAAATAAACGAAATAAAATTGATAGTGCATTAGGAAGAAAGCGTGTGAATTATTGTGGAATATTGAAAGAATCGCCGCTTTATACATTTTTCAAATAAGACACTCCAATTTCCTGTATCCACAATGTCCAATGCTTTTATTTCAACAATATCTCACCAACTGTAGCTTGGCAGTTTGAATTTTTAATAATTGTGTGTTCAAGTTATTTTATGAAGTACCTATACTAAACAGTCCTACCATATATTCACTAATATTAAGTAAATTTCATATTGATCATTCGATATTATTATTTATTTCTCTTCTTCGATTCTATATATGTACCTTCATTATCCATACTTTCCATATTGGCTAGGTTGCGACTATTTAATCAAAGCCGCTTCGGGGGATATTCCTTTGGCAGACGTACAAACAGTATACAAGGCGTTCAGCAAAACGTTCTAATTTCCATTCGTAACGTTCCTCATTCATTCCATCAATTAAGACCAATTGGTAGATGGAATACGTCCCGATTACGTTCCCCTCTTGTTTGTGACGTCGGGTGTATATCGGACAGAAATGCCGTTTTCAATGATTTATATAAATGCTCTCCGCTTGCTTTGACTAATAACTGTATTCGAGGGGGCATCTAAATGCCCTAGTTTCCAATTCTCCCTTTTCGAATTAAAAATTTGAGGTAATTGTTCACAGACTAAGTTTGGTGCTTTCAAAAAGCCGTACAAATACAGGGAAAATATGTTTTTATTAATACTGTATGTAATCAAATCAATAAAAGTATAGCAAAATCAAATCAATTATACTGAGTCGGACGGTAAACTGATCTGCATAAAATTAGCCGGACGGTAAACTGACCTATACAAAACTACTCGGACGGGAAACTGAGCTGTATTAATTATTAGTTTCTGGACATATCTGTTATATAACCGAATTTCAAAACGATATGAGTAATATTTATTTTGTTAACTATTCTCGCATTTCTCGGCAAATTATAAATGCTTCAATGTGTATATTTTCCGAATAGTCTTAATTAGTTCTGCAAACCGAATGGTAACTAACCTATTTCAAAACGTTAAATATGCATAATTATTCGCAGTAGGTAGGCACTTAGCCATCTGGTGTTGCGGATGAACGTAGAATATGCTTCTTTTTCTCCATGGAAATATGGAAGTGGAAGAAATGACTGTCATTTATCATCTCCGCCGGTGGTAATTCCTGCGTTTAATTCATATTAAAATTGTCGCTAAGTTATTTCAAATATAAATTGCTCCTCTAATAATGGCGCGTTTCTTTCTCGAATCAATTTTAATTTTCTCGACTGGTATTATTAAAAAATATATCAAACACAGACGGATCGTGATTAAACCATAAACAAATTGCAAAAATATTGATAAATTAGAATGGTAATCCATCAGCACTAACGTTTTAAACAATACCACTATTAGTCATTCGCTTAATAATTACTTCATTAATTTTTGACCGGCGAGACATTGAATTTATATACGTCATATCAGTTTCAGCTGTTCGAAAATTGTATTGTAAATTGGCTTGTTTATTCATCCACTGAGCTATTTATTAATTAAAATACATTAATAGGTATATCTAATTACGTGGATATTCCAACGACTTTAATTTTAATTCGATATTGTTGTGTAGTTATTTGCGTTTTTTTGGGTATATGGAAGGGTATGAAGATGTACGTTTCCATCGAAGATCAATCAATTTTTATTTTTTACAGGTAGTTAAGAAATGGTCTGTGTAGAATTAGATAATATCGGAAATATTGTCATGCTAGAGCCATTAAAAAGCTGCTTCTTTGTGCTTTCTCAGAACGTACTGTGTGGGCTTTTATACTCCTCTAGATTTTCTTATATTTTTGTCATATCTCGAAATCAACTAGGTAACCTTTAGGGGTGATTTATTGTTCGAACTTTATTTTACACTTATCTTGATGTTTCCAATTAATGATATAGTAGATTTGATATTAATTTGAGAAAAAAATTCTCTACAAATTTCAGATAATGCAAAATATTTAAAAGGCCAATTTCCGTTGCGACTTACTCCAATTATCTCAGAAACTTATCGAGATAAAATAACCAAATTTTCACAATGTTGTTGACAAAACCAGTTTTAAAAATCCACAAATTTCCTAGATCTAATATTTTCTATGGAAAAAAGAAGTTTGGTTAAACAATTGGCGCTGTAACCAGCACAAAAAGTCGTCGAGTTTTGTTTTTCTAATTAACAGCGCCCTAATATTACTCGAAATAATAGAGGCGAAATTGAAAACTGCGAACTGAGCGCATTTTTTCATCGCTCCGGGCCGAAGGAATCCGCGTTGTGCGGCGGGAATCGAGCCGCCGGAAAAACTAATAAATCAGCAATTCCGTATTTTCTGTTTTCAATATACTTGTTTAACCGAGTTAGGGGGGCGCAATTGGCTCGAATCTATTTTTCACCAGTCATCGATACGCGAGCTATTTCCCTCGAGAAACGACGAATAGAAAAATCTTATTCCCAGCAAAACTTGGTTAATTTGTATTGCGCAAATTCATCAAACTCTCCCGGCATTCACCCTTTCAAGATGATTAATTTTCATAATTAATCCTCCGGTATGTTTTTACCTCTATACACCGTACAATAATGTAATTGCAATGGAGATTACTCCAGCTATTATAACTAAACCTACAAAACACGAATGAATTTTTTAATGCGTCTAATCCATCACAGAGTAAAATTTCGAGCCCTCGAACTGGATGTAACGCGCCTCTGATCTGACATTCGTTGTATTTGATCTTCTGGAGCCGGTTTTTTCCAACGTACGCGCCGTTGCTGCTTTAATTTATATAAATCGGTGAACGCTGAGCATTCCGCTTTTTATTCTCAGTTTGCTTCTATTATAATTTCGTTCCACTCGTAAATAAGAGAATCGGAGGTTATGGCGAGAGCACCTGTTGCACGCGCATTTTTCGAAGAGATTCGACAAAAAACGCGCATCGAGACGAGGCAATTTCACTCAAATAATTGATGGAAATTATTGTTGTTATTATCCGAGACATATTTCGTTGTAATTTGCGATCGAGCGATGTTTGAAATAGCTTACCTGCTACGTTTAATGGTCGTATAAAATTTAGATTGTTGATGATTGCTACTAAAAAAATTAAAAACAATTAGAAAAATAACGAGAAAACATACATTTTCGGTTAGGAATTTATGAATAACTAATTGGTATTGGCAGGAAAAAGTAAACAGAAACCTATTCTTATATTTTTAATAATTATCACTCTATTTCAATTCCTAGTATATTGCTAGTTTCATTAATTTTCTCTTTAATTCTGTTAATATATTTCTACCAGTTTTATTGATTTTCTCCCAACTTTTACAACTGTTCTTCAAGTCATTAAAGAACTTGAAGTTCTACTTTTAAGTACTTTTCCTAGATCTTGATGAAAATTAAATGAATAAACGGAGAAATAAACTTAAAGAAATAATATAGAATTTTATGATTTTGGAATTGATAAACATCTTTTATTAGCTATCTCTTTGTCAATTATATAAGAAACAAATATTCTACACTAGCTTTTATAGTCCATTCGTAGTTCAATAATCTTTTAAGTACGCAAGTTCAGCGAATGGACTATAGGGTTCCATCAGCATTTTCACGACAAATAGAAAACTAACTCGATAAACTACCATAGTAGTATCTACATACTGCAGAGTATACGTGGATTTAGCCCCATCGGACGCGCTGCATATAACAATGCACCGTAACAATTCAACATGCATTTTTCATGGAGATGGAAAACATCCATCACGACCTACGCCCGGAATCCGGGATATTCTTTCGGTGTCAAAGTTCGACGAATAAGTTTGCGGAATCGCCAATCAGAAGCGTATTATCCGGATTATGGGATTCGAGCTTTATACACCGAGTTTCCTTCCAAGTTTAAAGAAGTTTTGAGTCGAACAAATGGGGTTATATTTTCAATACAATCAGTAAGGGATTACCGCCTTCGATAAATCACTCGTCTAAACCGAACTGATAATCTTATTAAAGGATGTGGCGCGCCGGGAAAAATGCTATCCCGGAGAATTGAGAAATTGCATCGGCTCGAAATCCATTTCGAATTTTTTTAGAGGAATAGGCGAGTAGGTAATATAAGCGATATTTAAGATTTTGTGTTACTGACTCGCTTTACTATTATAAAAATGATAAAAATTTTAATCAACGCACTTTTACTATTAACAAACTTCTATATTAGCTATACGTATCTGAAGAATGTTCGTTATAAATAATGCGTTCCGTATAATCTATTTAATTTGTATAGTTAAGATAACACCAGACGCGCGGTTGATTAGTAGTAATAAATTTGCCCGATAAAGCTTATGTATCAATTATAACGAATGGGTATTAAAAAATACCATTAACGAATTCCAGCCGGTCGAATCTCGTATTTAATACAATATTGCTGCGCTACAATGAAAGTAAATCATGGCAAAAGAAACTATACTCCGTTCGCTATCAGGAGATAGCAATAAAATTGACTAGAAATTGATCAAAAATCGATTACAAACCGGCTAAAAACTGACCAAATAATTACTAAATTTTTTAAACCTTATTAGTTTTTAATCCTTGGAGTTTTATAATTTTTTTATCATGAGTAAAGGGCGCTTCTGCATACAAAATCAGGTTACGTTACAATCTACCGATGCTGAATGGAGTACAGTAATAATAGTAAAATAAGTTTTTTTAAATAAATCGATAATACATTAGAGATGCATAGAGGATTTGCCATTAAAAACCAGCATCGAGCTATCAGCTCTAGCGGCACAAAGGAGCGCCTTTTGCCTTCGACCATTAAGTACCACCGTATCGATGATTGATAGCGGGAAATTAATATAAAATAAAGAGCCGCATTATCGTGCAATCCGCCATTATTCATAAGTAGAACTATTCTCAAATATCTCCAGTTCTGGCAGACTCGACTTAACAATGAATTTCTCATGCATGAAACTGTCAGCGACCGGCAAACATTCTGAATGGGGCCTAACCTCGTTCTCTATCATATACGTACACTCGCAGCACTGCGAATTTCCTCTCCGGTTGGCATTTAGGGTGAGGTGGTAATTAAATTAAGAGTGCCGGGTAATCCCGACAAATTGCGTTCGTTTCGGAAAAATTTAATTTAATGTTAGCAGACTACGCATGGCGCGGATGGAGCGACATGCTGGTTTTAATTATCGAAATCCATGCGTACAGGTCGGATTATAACGGAGGTAAGATTTTAATTACCTTCTACGATGCCAAAAGTTGTGTTTTATAGATCAAAGACACATGTTTGGAAAAAACTTATTCCGAAGAAAAAGATGCGAAACTGCTCTAGGGTATTTGCGATAGGGAAATTTCTCCTTTGCGAGATTTTTAAAAGGGGGAAAATTAATTTCAC